CGCTTCGTCGTCTTTCGTTCTACACACTCTCTCTCTCTCTCTCTCTCTCTCTCTCTCTCTCTCTAGGGGTAGCTAATCTAATGCCGATGGTGTCTGGATGGTCCCCCAAAAAGTCCAGCCCCAGCCCCGACTTGGCCCGTCGGCTGCTGGAAACGTCAGGAGCGGTGGCAGAGTCACCATCATCACCGCCGCCGTCATCACCCGCCCGTGGTTCGGGGACCCAGGGCCAAGGCTTGATCGCCGCTTCAGGACCAAGGCCGCAGTCGGATCTCCAGTTCGTCGGCCCATGCGACCCAACAGTGATCGTCGCGGGAAAGTTGCGTCGGTGGCAGGCTTCTATTGGAGGAATATTAAGACGTCCCTCCAACCCTGGCCGACGGGGAAATTGCGGGGGGAAGTCGAGATCTGTTGGACAACCCTGAAGGCGGTGGAGCCGGCTGGGGACCCAATCCCAGCACCATGATGACACCCCCGCCCCTTCCAGCCTCCCCTGACAAAGAACGGCTTGAGAGTTCGGGACTGGTGGAGACGAGAGGGAAAGCAGTCAGCAGGGGAAATGGCCTCCAGACGAGCAATCCATTGGGAGGAACAAAGCCACCAAATGGAGGATATATTTCTGGCAGTATACCCCGTCCCCCCAAGCCGTCCGAGCTCGTTTCCCCATCGGGCGAGGGCGCTATCTGATGTTGATATTGCCTGGCTCCGGAGTCCGGACCGAGCTGGTGGACCGTCGTTGATCACATGAATGAGCCTATCTCGATGGAGAGGCATGACCGTTGCTGCCAGCTGGGTTGCAAATCCTCGTGCTCGCCGGGCTCCAGGCAACAGACAAAATACCTATGAATTAGTTCCAGCAGACCAGCAGCACTGAGACTGACCGCCAAGCGAAAAGCGGCCCCCCGGCCGGGCCTGCAACCGCTGATACGCAGGAGTTGTGGCTCACACGTCTTCTTTTCTTAGAGCGGACCCCACCGTTTGTCCACTCTCTCGGCGCCGGTTTCCAGCTTACCGGATCCTCTGGTGACCGCCGTGTGTGTGTGTGTGTGTGTGTGGTGCTCTTCGCGGAATATTATTCTTCTTTCTTGGAGCCCCTCCACCGTGCCACACACCCCATCCCGCTCGCTACGCCTCGTCAAGTGCTGTGCGCCCGTTGCTTTGACGGCCTGATAGGTCACCCGTCCCCTTGGTGTGTCAGATGCAGCAGTTAAACAAGGGGGCCACGAGGAGGGACGGGCAAATCGAGCGTGTCAATTTTTCCATCTGTGCAACAGAACCCGCGCTAGTGCCAACTAGTCCCTGGCCTAGGCAGGAACTAGTCGCGATCAAGGGCGACGTAGCCTCCTGTGGCTAGGATCATGTTGGTAGAGAGATGTAGGCAGAGCGGCACGAAAGTGAGGAGTTGGGAAAGGCGCGAAATCGAAACGGCCTTTCGTCGTCACACATTTCCCTCCAGTCACAGCCGGCCAGAAGGAGGGGGGCCATTACGCCATGCCACATTGACCGGGCAATGGTAGCGATGGAGGGACCCGCGCTGGGGACCCAAAAGACCAATCCCTGCTTTTGGGTCATCCCGTCCTGAAAAAAGGGACTGGTGTCGTTGCTGGAGAATTGGAGCGTCGCCAGAGGGCGGAGGCAGGAGGAGCAGGAGGGGACGAAAAGAGGAGGGGGGATTGGCCAGGAAAGCTCGAGATTCGATATCAAGATTGCGGAGTAACCCGCCTTCGCTGCCTATGCGAGCTGCGACCCTAGGCTGTGAGGCCCGTGGGATGGCACCTGGACTACAGAGGCATTAAGTAATAGCAGGCGGCGGCTATAGGTGGGAGCTGCGCGCCCGTACTCGCCACAAGGGAGATCAATTGATTGAATAAGGAGCCTGCGAATCCCACCGAACTCGCCAAGGTGAGTGGGCTGGAGCCAGCCTTTGAGTCTCTCCCAGACGGAAACAAGGCAAAGAAGAATACACAGTACAAGACCACACTCGACAAAAGAAGCTCATCCAACCCCTCGAGCCAAGCCGGTGCCGCCGAGGAGACCGATCCGCTACCGACGGCCAAAAAAAAAAAAGACAGCCCCTGGCTCGCGTGTGCAGCATGAGCTAGCTTCCATGCTTTCATGTTGGGCAGCCTGGTTTCGGCTGGTCTAAAACAAACAAAAAGAGGGCCTAGGTTCTCGCAGCAGTCACGGATATTCTCTCTGCATGACGGCCGACAACAGGGGTCCAATTCCGCAACCATCGGCCTGCAGCACTCTCGACCGTTGACTGTTGCAAGCTACCTAAGCACCAGCACGACAGAGCTCAACTAGCACAGCAGTCGGCGAAATATTTCGCCCTCCCTTGGCGCCTGTTCCGGACGCTCGTCTGGTCCGGGGTGATCTCCCACAGGGCCAGGCAGATCCCATCATCGATCCACCCGCGCCTCGAAGTTCGCACGCCAGCGCAAAGCCTCAACCCTCATCTTCACGACGACGGCCGTCGATCACACCACCCCAGCCCAGACCTTCCCCCCTTTCTGGGGCCACGTCCGCGCTCAATGCATTGAGGAGTAATCGCGAACCAGAACCACTCTCAGCCGCCTCCTGGGGGCGCCCTTCTGACCTGAATCACGGCGCAAACCATTGCATCTTGCCCAGCCCTGTTCGGACGACCCGAGCCGACTCCACGTCCCACTTGCACCTTCTTCAGCAGCATCCTTGGACCGACCTCGCTGCCCTGCTCCTTCCTTTCCATATCAACCCCGGCCATCGTCCATCGTCCATCGTTCATCACCCACGACAGCCTGCTCGTTTCCGTCGCCAACCGCCCGCGTGACTTGCAGCACACACCAGACTGGTGCCCTCAAATCCACCTGCCTGCGCCAATCCACCTTAGGGGTTTTTGTCGGCGCATTCTAATCCTGACCGAAACCACCCCCGACCACAAACGCCATCAAATAATATCAAATCAGAGAGCCCCAGTCCGGCATAGCACAGCATACATAGCACAGCACCGCATAGCACCGACTGCCGCCGCAACGCTTTTGTGTCGTTCATAACCCCCCGTCTGCGACACGCATCTCATAAAGCGCACTCAACCGCTCCAAAACTCGTGTTGCGCTCGCCGAGTGGACCTCGCAGGAAGCACAGCATTCGGCAGAATACACCCCTAGCACAGCCGAGTGGAAAAAGAGTACGTCGGGTTCTGGGTTTGTCAACACCGAGGCCAAGCTAGCCATTAGCCCTGCACGACACCTGCCGCCCAGCATCCAGCTTTCAGCATCTAGCATCGAACCAAACTTTGCGTGCGTGAGGCTCCATCCTGACGCGGGTGCTCTGCTACCTCCCTGCTGCTACCTCAGCTACAGGTAGCCTCCCACCTGCCCAGGTAGGTACCTTGTCGAGGTACCCTTCCTACACCACGATCGATCCAGATCCAAACCCCAGCATCGTGCATGCGCTTTGTTGAACACTCTTTTTCCCACTTTCTCTCATTCTTCCTCTTCAGTACCTCGCGCGACAACCCTGGCTGGACCACCAAAGGAACGACGAGATCACAGACAGGAATTAGACAGGGGCTGCAGCAGCCACATAAACGGGCGACCAGCCCTTTTTCGGATCCGATCCCCTCGGCTTATCACCCACCATACTCTCTAATACCAGACCGGACATATTCAGCCACCCGGACTGCGTCCGCCCAAATAATCGGCACTCGCAGCCAATAGCCTGATGGCGTAACACCTGATTCTCTGTCACCTCGCACTTCTCAGCCGCCGCCTCCCCTCATTCGGTCCTGGCCGGATCTGAAGCCGTCACTACCCATATCCCGTGTCTGGAGCGTCCATCCTCCTGTGGACAGTGATCGGTTCTCGTCTTTTGATTTTTCTTATTGACCACATACGGCGACTTCTGGAGCTTCAAACGACGATATTTCCACCAACGACATTCACTTTTTTTCTTCTTACCTCTTTCTTTTCCCCGGACCCTCGGTACAATAATGCCGTATTGCTGAGCCTGGGTTTATTTTCCGCCTAAATCCGCAACATCTTTTTTTGCTTTCTCGTTTCCATTTTCGTGGCGCAATTTGTATCCCCTCAGCGTCCTCGGCGGTTTTTGGTGCAGCCGGGACGATAAGAAACGCCCCCACGCCGTGGACGGTCCATTGGAGAAGACATTCCTGTCCGAACGAAGGCGTATCGCCCAAGACTTGGACAAGATGGCAGCTGTCCAAAAACCCTTCACTTTTCCACCTCAGGCGCCAGCATCGTCAGCCCTGCCGATAAGTCTCAGCACCAGCAACAGTCTAGGCAACGACGACGTGAATATGGACATGGGTGGCGGTTCCCAACCTGCTTCCCTGCGGAGCTGTGCCAAGTTCGGCAGCGGGCCTCAAAGGGGCGATACAAGAATCGTCGCCATAATGTACGGCCCCGGACAGGAGAACATCGTGTCTGTGTTTGCAGAGGTTCTGGGTCAGTCATTCAGGTTAGGCGGTGGTTTTGCCGAAGTCGCACCAACAGATCGCGGGGTTGTCGTTGGCATCCCTGCGAGTAGGGCCTCGGCCGACCTCGCCTCCCGAAACCGAGAGCTGGTTGTCGCCATCAACGCTCACTGCGTCGATCTTGGCATGCCACCCGATGCCCACCTTTCGTCCAATTGCGACTACGAGTTCCTGTACACCACCACCCCTTTCTTCCGCCGCGATCTGGTCAGGTTCATCTCGTTTACCTTGGGTCAGATCAACCACCACGAGACACTGATGGCCAAGTCGCGCACCTTCATGTTATCCACCACGTTCCCGGATGTCAGGGCCGCCTTGCCCAACATTGACATACTCACTGTCGGGGCCGACGCCATCGAACTGCGTGTGGACCTTCTCCGGGAGCCTCTCCCCACTGGGGGCTACGCTGCGGTGCCGAGCCTGAGTTATGTCGGCGAGCAGGTCATGCTCCTGCGTCAGAGGACCGAGCTTCCCATAATATTCACCACCCGGTGTACCAGGGAAAACGGCCGCTTCCCCATGGAGAGGCCGGAGCTGTATTATGAGTATCTATCCCGCGCCATACAGTGGGGTCTCGAGTACGTCGACGTCGAGCTCTGGCTGCCCGAGGAGATGAGGAAACAGCTGTACGAGAAGAAGGGCAGCAGCCGCATCATGTCGGCCTTCCACGACTTCTCGGGCACCTTCAGGTGGCCGTCAAGTCACGCGCAGTCTGTGTTCCTCGAGTCAAGTCGATATGCAGACATCATCAAGATGATTGCCATTGTCAACGACCACAACGAGAATTTTGAGCTCGAGTACTTCCGCCTCAAGATGCGTGCCGAATACCCGGACTCGCCACCTTTCTCTGGCGTCAACATGGGCGAAATCGGCCAGTTCTCACGGACCCTGAACCGTGTCTTCACTCCAATAACACATCCCCTCCTGCCACTGATCGGTGCGCCAGGTCAGATCAGCGCGGCCGAGATAAACGCGGCTCTGGCGTCGGTGGGGCAGCTTCCCAAGAGGAGCATCTACGGTATCAGCGGCCCAGCCTCGAGGGGAGCGACCCCGCAAGCGCCGTTTTATGAGAAGTGCTTCAACGAGCTCGGGCTGCCGCACCAGTTTGCCGTGGTTGAGCGGGGTCCAAGGGGCACGGGCGGCATCGAGGCCTGGTGCAGCAAGAGGAATTTTGGTGGCGCATATCTCAACCCTCCGATCCCACACCAATCCTTGGTGTCTTCTGGCTCACATTTCTTCCAGTCGGTCAATGGCGGGGCTGGCCCTATTCTAACCGAGGCCGCACAGATTATCGGCATGGTCGACACCATTGTGGTCCGGCCCGGACCCGCGTCACCCGCGGGGTCTGCGCCGACCTCGATTCCGTCGAGCCCTAGCCCAGGTCGGCTTCACCACCCTCACCACCCTCACCATACTCGCCACACGAGCTTCTCGGAACGGAGTGGGAGTAGCAATAGCGCTAGCAGTGGCAACGGCAACGGAAGCATGCATTCCGTGTTGGCCGAGAACGGAGGCCTACCAGCCGGGACCACCTTGGTGTTTGACAACGCACTCTGGAGGGGCATTCTGAGCACCCTTACACGAGACCTGGCGCCGTCGGCTTACTTTGGCTGCACGGCCGTGGTTCTTGCTGGGTCTCCCGACGACGCGGCTAGCGTGCTGTTTGCGCTCAAGGAACTTCGCGTTAGCAAGGTCTTCACCGTTGGGTTCAAGACGCCCCCGGCACTAGCCCAGGGCCTCGACATCGAGCCATTCACCTCGCTCGAGAGCCTACAAAGGGCACGATCCGGAGCATCGTCGCCACCACAGGGCGCCTCGGCCGAGCGAGGAGCGCTCGGCTTGGCTGCGAGGACAGAAGCCGTTGGTGAGGCTCGTCTTGGGCAGCCACAACAGCAGGCTCAGCCATTTGTTGTCATCAGCGCGTTGGGTTCGGAGAAGAGCAACATCGTGGGGATGCTTCTCAAGAGGGTTTTTGGCTCTCAGGGTGACGTTGCCGGACAGCAGCAACAGCCAAGACGGGTGTTTCTGGACCTGGCCGAGCCTGGTGGAATCGCCCGGCGGACAGACCCCGGCCCGATCGCCGAGCAGAGTGGCTTTTCTGCCTATGGGTTTGCCGATACTGCTGCCTTCACTACCGTCGAGACCCTCCGGCTGCTAGTCGGTCAGAACGTACCGTATAGCTTCGTGCGCCTCGCCAGCGGGAGGATACTCTACTGACCGGTTTCATGACAACATGGGCGTTTGGGCTTGGTATTTATTTGGCTGTTTGCTCACACCGCATGAGTTGGGCGATATGGGAGGGAATGGGCTGACGATAGGGTGACACGTCTTTGGATACCCGGAACCGAGTCCGAACTGCATATGGGAGTTTGGAGCATTTTTTTCTTGTTGGGAGAACAGGTTTCGGGGAGATGCGGGCCAGGCTCGGTGTGGGTGTCCCCATGGAACATGTGTTTTTTGTGGGTTTCTTTTACGGCGTTATTATGGTCATCACGCGCGATGTATTCACAAGCTTTCTTGGACAGTGGAGGGAAAATCACTCCAACAGATACTGCCTCCATGCGTCGACATGGTGGGGGATATCTATTCGCTTCTGTCGGCGTTTGTCATCCACTGGTGTTCATGATCGGGCGAGGGCAAGAGGTTACAGCCACCGCCGCGGCATTCAGGGGTCTTTGTCTTTGGTTGATCGTTGCGGTGCCGTCCTTGGACAGACAGGGAGATGTGGGATCTCAAGTCGAGCATGTCCTTTGATCTGAGTATGGGGGATCACATTAGGCATAGATAGATAGCATACTGTTTGGCTTGATATTATTCTAGATTCGTTCTAGTTGGTTGCCTCATATCTTTGCTCACATGTACTTCTTCTGGCTTCCGATACCCTTTCGCATATCTATCGTCTTGCCAATCACCATGATGAAGATTTTCTTTTCATCGACCTCGGCTCAGTCTTTAGACTTTCTACTGCTACACCGATCACATCAGCGATGTCTGTCTCACTTTCTACTCCCACTCCACTTACACTGCAGTCGGTCCACAACTGCCCCGAATCGATAATGGCCTCAGCAACCCACACCCCAACATGTCAACGGCCTCCTGACGCCCCATCCCCACAGCGTATTGCTCTGCACTGCTGCATCTTCCGGGCCTCGGAGGAATGGAGCCCCATCGGGCCAGACGTGAACCTTAGACCGTGGACCTCTAGAACTGCCCTATCTAGGCCGGAAGGCCCTTCCTATCCCAGAGGTAAGGGCAAGTGGGGGTGGGCAGACTGCCATTTTGGCGCGGAGCCGGAGCATACCCACCCGGGGAGACACTGCCGGCAGCATAGGGACGTTCCCCCCGATCACGAATCCCGGACGACGACGACGGGAAAATCAAGCGCCCCCCGAGTCCGAGTGGTCCGGAGGAAAAGAAAGGCCCTGTTTTTTTTTTTTTTTTTTTCTGCAGCAAGGGATTCCAAATTCGGAAAAAAAGCCTTCCTTTTTTCCCCCAGGTCTTTAAGCCCCGGGCCGCAAGCCACGGGTACAGGACCGCTCTTGGCCGCGTGGGCCGGCATGGGCTGAGTTTGGGTTTCTGGCAGACGGTGAGGTGAGCTATCCAACACGCGCTTCTCCTGCAGTGCGGATGCATCGCCCCGGCTCGGGATGCGCGTTTTTTTTTATTTTTATCTCTCTCGCGTGTTGCTTGCTTGGTTGACTGGGTGGCATGGACAGGGGGAGGTGTCTTCGATGACATGAGGCCACCGACGAGGCGCGCGCGCGTCAGGCGGAACATTCTTTGCGTCTAAAGGTGCATGCATGCATGCCAGCGGAAGCATGTTTATTTTTTGCCCTTTTTTTTCCTTTTCCCATCGTCCGCCGAGTCAGGGGCCCAAGGGGCGGTGACCCCGTTCTGGGAGGGCCGGCCGCTTAGGTAGGCACAGGCAGTCACCGAAGGGCGGCGGGCCGGGGGTCGGCGTGGACCGGACCTCTCGGGATAGACCGCGAGGTGGTTTTTTTTTTCCTTTCTCCCTCCCTGCTTCTTGTTTCCTCTACTTGCATGTACGGTGATGGCGAGAGCTGGAGGAAATGTAGATATGCTTGACGGCACCGTCAATGTGCCTCTTTGCACTGTTCTTCGCCTTCCCGGCTTCTTACTTGCCGTGATGGATGTCTTGCCTCCTCGGTTCTAGTTGCCGGTAGTAGTCATTTTATTGTCTCGGCGATCCCATGGATACGGTCTTGGCAGCGGTACATGGTCGCCTCACTCCCTTACCCCCCATCCTCTACATCCCTGCGCCAGCTGAGCGGTAGCCTGACTAAGCCCACGCGCTGTGGTCCATGTACAGACACAACGATGCACTATTCCTACTTGTGTGATTTTACGTATTTCGAATGCCATTCTGTTTTGCCATGTTTTCCAATCCCTGCTTGCCTACACCTAATAGAGCAAGCAATTCGCAAGAGCTACTGAGATTCATCTTCCAGAGGCAGTTCACACAGGTGGAGCGAGGGTCCTGGCTGGTGTCAGTCCTTAGTTGCGTCTTTTCTGGCTGGGAATTCGACAGACAACGGCGACAACGGCGACGAACCCGGGAGGGGGGTGGGCGCTTAGCTACCCTGCTACCCTGTCCGGCCACGATCACCACCGCAGACAACCCACAGACGGGGGATGGCCGGCGCTTCCCCTCCCCTTGTCGGAGCAAAAAAATAAAGATGGGGGCGGCTTTTCTCTCAGACTCATTCCAGGATATTGGTTGGGGGAGCAGGGATGGAGGGGGTGTGTGTCGTTTTTCTTTTTCTCTCCGGGGGTGTTTGTTTACTCGGCTCGCTCGCTCACCCCAGCCAGACCAGGGCCGCTAGCGTCATGTATTGGCCACCGGTCTTCCTTACGAAAGAGTGTGTAAGCAAGATTGAAAGATTGGCAGGAGGGGGTGATGGGGAGGGGAAGGATGAGTACATACGAGCCCGCCCGTGTTGAATGAGAGGGTGCGCAATCGAGACTGTATGTCTCATCGGAGGCAAGGTGGCACAGTGGGCAAATGGGGAGGAGAGGAGAAGAAAAAGAGAAAAATACAAGCCAAGCTGGCACTTGAGTGAGATACGGGAAGGGCAAGGGATGGGCGGGCGGTGGGTTTCGGGATGTCTTGCCGTATCCGTTTCCTTGGAGCAAGGATTCCGTCTGCCTGCCGGAGCTTGTGCGCGCCTGTCATCTTTCAGGGGTTCGCTCGGGAGACTATTACTTTGCATGCCGTCGATGCTTGTGTGCACGGTACCATGGTCAGTACATGGTGGCCATGATAGACTCATGCCAGAACAAGTGAGGCATGGTACTGTAGTGGCGGCAGAGATGGAAAGGAGTGCAGGCTCTGGTGTGTAAACGGCCCATCGAGTGCTCACACCTCACACTCGGGGGCGGATCTGCTTATCCACCCATGTTCTACTTGATCCAGGTACCCGACTGCCTACCCAAATCAAGCAACGCCGAAGAGGATATGGCAACATCGAAAAAGCGCACATGCCCTGGTCTCTCGATGGATGTATTGGTGCGGCTGTGGCTGGGCATTGGATGGTGGTGTTGTAATGTACAAAAAACGAATGGAGATTTAACCAGCAGGGATATTTATAGTACAGCACGGGAGGGCTGGCCTGTACCACGTGTTAACCCTGCATGTACCCTATATGATTTGCGAACAAAGCCGAGCACTAGGAGGAATGGACGAGTTCCCCCTTGACTCGCTTGTTGCATCTTGCATTCCATCCCATCCCTCCATCATGGCGATAATGTGGATTTGAAGGGGGCTTCGGCGCTTGCATGCTTTATTCTTTAGACTTTTCCATTTTCTCCATTGCGTTCCCCATAGTTGCTGGACGAGTGCCCCAAAGAGGGAACAAGCGGAAGGAGAAGCGTGTCATGATGGCACTGAGGACATGGGACAGTCGTGCCATGGGTTAGCACGCAGCGAGGCACGACGGGGGCGGCAGCTCCGAGGCGCAGTGATTTCGGGCCGGGGAAGCCGGCGCCATCGCAACCAAGTATCGACAAAGATGGAAAGTTTGCTTCAGCCCTCGGCTTCTCTTTCCCCTCAGCTAGGAGGCCGGCAAGGCGGCGGGAGGAGCTTGGTGCAACACAGCTCAACATGCTCAAGGGGGCTACTTTGGTGTCACCCACAGGCGCCGCGAAGCCGGTTGGGCTGTGACCCGAACGGTGTTTAGGGTTCGACGGGAACGCAGAAGCGAGGCGGCCAAAACAAAAACAAAGATAGCTGGGAGGGGGGGTTCCTTTGACTTGGATCCCGCGGTGTTTTACCACCGACGAACGGTTCGCGGCGGGAAGGACGACGAGCCACCGAGCGACTACCCATAGCACAGTACAGGGAGGAGACGACCCAGCGGACAGACAGAGAAGGAGAGAGAGTTTGTGGGCTGGTGTGCGCTGGCGGGCATCCTTGTGCCTGTGGTACGACTGGACCTGGGATGGCGAAGCACTAGCTCGCCCCGCCCCTCCGACTGGCTCGTTTGCGTGTCCCCCTCCTGCGCGTCTTGGGTCTCCTCCGCACTCTGCACCCCTCGCCGTTGTGTTCCCGACACTGTCCGAGGTCACACGCACCGTGGCACAACACAGGGCATGAGGCTTGTGCGCGTACACGGCAGCAAACCGTTCCTGGGGGGCAAGGAGCCCGCATATGCGTCGAGCTCATGGAGGGGGAGGAGGACAAGGGGGAGTCGAGGGCGGATAAGGCGGGCTGGTAGAGAAGGCGAGGCGAGCGGCCTACACGACAATCTTCCGGGAGCGATGGGAAGATGGTGCGGGTCTCGGTCCAATCCACAGCGTCCTAATCTCCTTGGACCAGTTGAAGGTACGAAGCAAGGCTCGTTATCCATTGGGGTGGGTGGTGGGTCGGGTTGAGTGTGGTACCCCAGGCAGCAATTTCTTTTCCTTTTTTTTCATTCTGATTTCGTCACTGTGTTTCCCTTTTGGTACTTTTCCTGTTTTTGCTTGCTCTCCTTCGGCTTCGTTGATATCATCGGACCACCGTACCGGCGGGTAGCCACGCACCCGAGATTTAGGACGGCTTCCGATGTTTCATGGCGCTGGCTGACGGCATCCGTCGCCGGGAAGATGCTCAAGGGGGAGTCGAGTCTCGGCTCACTGGACACCGTATCTATCTCTGTGGGTGTTGTCGATGAGGTGTCCGAGGAGGCGGTAGCGGAGAAGCAGGCCGGCCCAGCTTCTGTGCGTAGTTGCGGTGTGGTGTGGATAAGTCACAGTCGATCGAGCATCCGGCGATGGTGAGGCGGTCGACTGCAACCATAACCCCTGCCCAATATCTCACTTGTTAACCATGATAACATCCCCTCCTCAGGGGTCCACGGCCACCACGCAGCCAGGTAGCAGCGTTCCAATATGACCTTTCTGCTATAGGCTTCTGTGGGCTTGCCGGATGGTCATGACATGTCGGGCCGTTTCTCTGGTACAGGGCCGAGATGGGGGTCCCACCCGACAGACTTTTTTTTTGTCGGGGAAGAAGAGGGTGGTGTTCGGTGATCGATTCGAGACAGTACAATTATGATGTCGCCTAGGCTTTTTGGGTCATTTTTAGACGGAGACCCGCAGCCGAAAAAACGCAAGAGGCAAGGGGCACAAGGGGGAGGGCGCTGGCGGAGACGGACGTCCTCGGCCTCAGGCAAGGACCAAAAACTGGGTCGGGCTTCCGCCTTTTTGGCCACGGGAGGAGGGACGACTCGAGAATCAGCCCAGGGAGTCTTGGGCACAAAGTGTATGCTGGCAGCCGAGGAACTATGGGCTGTGTATGTTTGTGTGCGCGTATGTTTGTGTATGTGCCGCAGGGCAGATACTATGCCGTGACCCGCACGTCTTTGCCTGCTCGAGGATCGACAGCTTATACGACCAGATAGGTAGGAGACCCTACTGGCTTCCCCCACTGCCTGCCGACGCCTGCATGATTCCCTGTCGCACAACCTGCGCTGGCCTCATGTAGCCGCCCGGGGAAAGCAAAAGAGGGGTTGGTAGAGGGAGGGAGGGCCCGAGGAGGAGAACAAGAGCAGAGGTCCAGTGCTTGGTGACTTTGCCGATATTCTGATAGGCTGAGTGGGCGCTGGTTCTTCGGGCGCGAACATGCAAAGGGGAAAGGAATCCGATAGATTAGCGAGAATAGACCAAATTAGCCTACCAAAACGGATGTGATGGCTGTCTCAGGTTTATGCACAGGGCCGTGTCTTGGTTGGCCCGGCAAGGACTGTCCAGTCCACCGGAAGGATGCTCTCTTGCAGCCGGCAGCCTGCTTGTGCCGTGCTGCCCTGTACCGGTGCTGTTTAGTGCCAGAGTCCGTTCGCATATTCACCCTCGACTATACCGATCTCTGACCGCCACATGAAGCTTACTCGGAAGGCATACGAGGTACGGAGCCCCGAAACGGCAGCGCCTTGCACCCGCCACGAGGGCAGGAAGGGTGAAAAGGGGTAGCGGAGGAAAATAGAACGTCCGTCAACGCGAAAAGACAGCATCGTTTCCCTGCGACGCCCACACGGAAGCTCACACTTGACAGGACCCCGTCCTGGGAATCGGCACCGCCATTGGCCCGGACCACTGGCCTCTGATGTGATGGCCCATCCGGGAGCCCCCGTAGCGCCATCTGGTGGAGGTTTTTTTTCTCTTGTTATTCTTTGCTGCCCTCTCGCCCAGGGCGACAAGGCCGTAGGGTGATGAGGGTCCTTAGAAAACGATGGTAATGACAAGGAAAGTGATGCTTCTCTAACGTTAGCGGAGACGGCTGGAGGGCTCCTGAAGGAATGCTACAGTGCAATACGACGTCGACAAGAGGCACAGAGGGCGACGACAGGGGCCAGCGTGTTATTAGACAGGTTGTTGACTTGCGACGGACCAAAATAGCCTGACAGACCACGGCCCGCTGGGGCACGGCCATTTTCCGTCGCGCTGCATGGTTGGGTGCCACGTAATAGGGCTGCCGGCCGTTGCTGAGCGGGCAGGTAGGTATTTACCTCCTTAGGTAAGGCAAGGTGGGAGGTACCTGTCCTGGCAGGCAAGTGCCCAGGCAGGCAACCTAGCTGTCGATCCTGGCACCAGAAATTTCTCGCCTTTTTGATGAAGGGCCACTGCCATCTCTCTGCAGCCCCTCTCACTCAGGGTCAGGCTCTCCACGCCGGTCAATTGCGGCAGCAGCACCCCCAGCAACTTCTCAAACACGATATCCCTAGGCCCATGTTTATTGTACGATTTAAGCGAACAACCCAAGTGTGCGCGGTACCTGGCAGTTGGGCACGCGCGCACGACCCTGCCAGCTATAGTTGACGCACTATACGCATACCATACCAGAGACCCGGATTGTTGCATTTTTCCCCCCCCCCTCCTCTCTCTCTCTCTCTCTCTCTCTCTCTTTCTTTTGCTTCGCTCCCGAGATTCTCGCAGATTGGATTACCGCAAGAACTCGTTATTCTCGAAGATAGGACCGCTTTTTTTTGATGGGTTTGGCAGGGATTCTGAGGCAGGGCATGCGTCAAGCCATACCTTTTCCGGTTATTTGGCCGTGTGAGTTATGTGCTCAACACTGGGACCCACGGTAGGAATTTTGTAAGCAGAGGGGCACGTCAATCCCGTAGTTGAAGTTAAGTTGAAGCTATTCGGATTAGCGTTTTCCCTGTAAATTAACGACTTTATGGAGGTTACCCCAACTCGGTTGCCTGCCCGACGAGGGCAAGGGAGCCCGCCTGATGATTCTCCGCCCAAAAAGACTCCTCGCCGCCTACCGGGGCCCAAACTAAAGCCTTTAGGGCAGCGTAAAGTAACCCCAACCAAAGGGATCTCGCGCGTAACGAGGTCCTATTCCCGAGTTGCTCGAGTGCGGGCGCTCGAATATATGTATCGGGAACGGAAAACGGAGGTTCTAATTCTCGCAAAGGGAAAGGCGCGCGCCCAACGGCGGAAAAGCTATTTCGGACTTAAAAAAGTGGTAGATATCGTTAGCATTAATCCAAAAAGCGGGCTTATAAAGGTAAAAAGGATTCGCCCGTATACGTACGACGAGGTTGCCAATATCTTTAAAATACCCAACGGTAGCACCGTAGCTATTTGGTGGGCGCGGCGCAATTAAATCCTTTTCCGCCAAAGCAACGGGGAAAGGCGACCGGCCTGGCCGGATTTCGAGGAAACCCTAATAAAGCTATTCGATTAGCGCCGGCGCGTTTGTCAAGCGGTAACGACGACGTGGTTTAGGCTTACCGCGCAGCGCTTGTGGGAAGAGCTTTACGAACCCAACACCAACGGTAAAATAACGAGGTTCCGGTTTACCAACGGATGGTTTGGAAGGTAAGTTAACGATTTTTTTTTGGTGTTTTGGCCGTAGCGCGGGGTTAAAAGGTGCGGGGTTGGATTTAACGAAAAAGTAATCAAAACAATTAGCTTTCGAAAGCGTTGGGGTTTTTCGCTGCAGCGCGTTACCAAAATCTTTACCAAATTACTTGCGGATTGCGTTAAAGTCGCTAAGCGCTTTCTTTGTTACGTTCGTTATTTTTAAATCCCGCTTTTTACGGCCGAATCGGTCCCAAAGAACGAGCGCGTATTTTTTTGCTCGGATCCCGATTATCCTGCCGTTTTGTAGCGACGATTCCCAAAGCGTTTTATCGCCAACTTCGACGAAATTCCCGTACCTTACGAATACGCGCCCGGCCAAACCTACGAGCGCTACGGTGCTAAAATTGTTGGCATTAAAGTAACGCGTAGCGGGTGGGATAAACGGCAGGCAACTTTTCTTTTCGTGATTTTCGGCGACGGCGTTTGCAGAGTCCGGCCTTTAATTATTTTCAAAAGCAGCGCTATTGACAAGCAGGGGAATTAAGCAAAAGAAGCGCACTTTTGGCATCCAGGCGTCGCCGTGCGCTTTAACGAGATTGCTTATAATAACGAGGATTTTTTCGCTTGGTGGCTTAAAAAGGAATTGCTGCCCGCTTTCGAAGGCCGCCCAGGGCTGATTGTTATGGACGTGGCCGCTTTTTATTACCCAGCACGCATTAAATTCCTCCTTATTAAGTACGGCGTTTACGTTGCTTTGATTCCTTTCGGCATAATTTTAATCCTGCAACCTTTCGATACTGCAGTTAATGGGCCCATGAAAAAGCACCTCCGCGAGGCCACAAAAAAGCGCGTTTTCGAGCGTGCGCGCCACCTGCCGCCAGGTGAACTCCCTACCTTCACTACCTCCGAGATGCGCGTTATTGCTACCGAGGCCGCGGCGGCTGCCTGGGCAGTTATAAAGCTCCCAGCGAGCAAAAAGATGATTAGCAAAGCGTTTTTTGATTGCGGGATTACTTTACGGCCCAACGGCACCCAAGACAACCTTTTTCGGCTTAAGGATATACTTGGTAATCCCTTTTCTTTTCCCTTTGCGCGCGTGCTTTGTTGGGCTTTAACTAATCAGCTTTTGCTTTGAAAACAGCCGAATTTATTAACCTAACCAATTGGGAAAAGCACGTCGACGAGTTTTACTTGCGCTTTAATTACAATTTCGCCGGCCTGCCCGAAGAAGTTATCGGCAATTTCGAAAACGAACGCGGGGACTTCGAAGCAATTACCAACCGGGATTTGCGATACCGGTGCATTGCCAACGGCCTATTTAAAAGCGGCAATAAAAAGCAATTGGTTAAGCGATTTTTGGCCTGGCAGGAAGCCTAGCAAAAGATTTTAAGCCTTTTTGCAGCTTTCCAAATATCGTTTTTTAAGCGCCAACGAGAGTTGGATTAAAAAAAAGCGCCGGCAAACGAGGATTTATTCGAAGATTAGGATTAAAATTTAGAGGCAGCCTTTGACGTTAATGCCGCCCTCGACAATATCTAGAGTCTAGGCAGGCCCCAGGCGCTTATTCTACTGCAAAAAAGCTGCTTTTCCCTCGTGCCACCGCCTCCTTTCGTCAAGCCGCCCATCGTATTGCTCCCACCGTCTCCTCGTGCCGTTGCGAATAGCCTTACGGGCACGGCAAAGAGGCACGAGTAAAAGCCAAAGAACGGAGGAAACAGTGCGCCCCAAAAATTAGGGCGTTTGAGTTTTACAAGGTAGCCCGGTCACAGATCCACCACCTATTCTATATTGGGTTAGAATGAGCTGACAACCCCGGCAAAAAAAAGCGGTCCTATCTTCGAGAATAACGAGTTCTTGCGGTAGTGGCTCCTGTGGCTCCTGCTGTGGCTCCCTCCCAAAACCCAAAAGTACCGGGCTGAGAGCCAGTCAGCAGCCGAGTCTCCACATTGGAAGGCGCGCCGTCTGGGCGCTCGACGATGCAGTGGCCGTCCAGCCAAGCAGGAGCTCTGGTAGCGCCTGCAGTCTTGTTTTTTTCTTTCCAGAACCACGAGAGCCTTCCATCCCGCACCCCCCAATGGAACAGCAAGACTGCGAGGCAACCAGCCTTGACCACCAACCAGCCCTGCCGCCTTGTCTGTGCGCCTCTGCAACCTTTGCATCTGCAGGTGTGCGCATTCTGCTACTGTTGGCGTGTCGCTTTTGCCTCGACTTCAACTTGCGAGGCCGTCTCGACGCCCCCTGTTATTTCCGTCATTCTCAATTCAACCACTCAACTGCCCCAAAAAAAAAATCTTCATTTGTTTTTGCTGCTTCCAGCCCGCGGCCCCTCTCCCTGGACGACCTCGCTTCGCATCCCCCGCCTCCCCCATATGCAGGCTTCTCCACAAGTTTTGACGGGCGCTCTCGTCTGCGAAATCAATGCCGCTCTCGCGGGTGGGCGGGTGCTAAGATGATCGATCCTCAGCATATCCACAGCGTGGGTCTCTTCTATCTCGCATGCTGCCATCTCTTTGTCCATCGCGCTATCTCCCCTTTCCCGACTAGGTAGGTACTTGTCGATAGCCGTGCTGCCGTCTGTCTGGCAAACTGACAAACTGGCAATCTGACAATATGGCTGGGCTGTTTCCAGTGGGCTTTAGTAGGTTGCTTCGGTGCTTTTTTCCGCTGTGCTGCATCTCGCCGCGACGGGCAGGGTCTCGGTCGGTTCGGGGACACCTTCTCCACCAAGCACTATCCCCGAAGGGGCTGGCGCCCAGGGCCGGTTGAGGCGGATCGAGTCGCGTCAGGTTACATCGAGCTGCACGAGTTGCATGTCTGGCAGTACCTGGCCTTTGTTTTTTTTCTTGTCCCTTACGAAAGCCGCGCCCACACACTGAGCTGGCACTGGCCAACCTTAGTCGCCATATGTCGTGTCGGCCCAATTCCGCTATTCTCCACATCGCAACAGCGCCGGCACCCCTGCCCTGAACCCTGCTCCTCGGCCTAGCTCAGGCGCAGCCAGGGCCAGCCGCTAGCCTGAGTTGGAAGCTTCGCACGTCCAGTGCATCACACGGCAGTTGACACCAGTCCAGATAGGGAATCTTCACGATGCTACGGCACTTGCTCACATGGACTCCCTTGCAGTTCGACTCGGAGGTGACCACATGACGGCGCAGAGAGCTTCCACTGTTGCTTCTAGCGGCCGGCTTAGACGCCGATGGCGAGAAAATTGACGAAAAACAACCCCCAGGCACTCCGCCTAGCCCGGCTCCCCTGTTGCGTGCCCAACCGCCGACCCTCATCCCACGCAATAGCACACGGCACATATACCATCACTTGTCAGCGGATCCGGGAGGTCTGGCCTCTCTACCGGTGCGGCGGGCCCGGAACGCACGGGGACCAGAGTTTAGGGCGCAGCGCACTTGCCAACGTCTCACACCGAGCTGTGGACATGCGACGCCCATGTTCATTACGAAACCTCACAACCGAAGTGAGCTAGAATCACACCGGCCTCGCGCGGAAGATAGCCTTTCTTTGGCCTCGTGCTCCGGGGCCGTTAGTGGGGCCATATCTGACAGTTGCACGTTCATGCCACGTTTTTTATGGCAGGCTAACTTTGCACGCATCTTGCCCCGTGCTCCATAGTCCGCGCCCAGATACGGATCAGACCCTGAGTTTTGTGTTCCGATCTTAGCGGAGGTATCTCAAGAGAGTAATAGTCGATCGTTCGTGTCTGCCTGCCCAAACATGCGCATTTCTCAGCCAGGCGGGCCGATCCCAGCGGAACCAGGGCGGGACCCTCACCCAATAACATTCCCCGTCCCTGGCCTGAATCTGCAGATTGCGGTTGCTTCTTTGGGCAATACGTGTGCCCATGCTCACCAACAATGTCGAATAGGGCCATCTTGCACACACATTTGTTACCTATTCCTGACTGCAGCAATATCAGCCGATAGGGCCCTCGACCCCAGAACCCTGTCGGTCACATCGACGACACAGCCTTGTCTGAAACGAGCTGCAGCGGAAGCCAGGTGCGCTCACGATCTCACTGTTCTTGCTGCGAGGCGGGCCTGTCGCCGGTAATGCGTCTGTGTCACCTGCATGCACTACAATTTTTTTGATCGGATCCCGCACCTGGGAGAAGAAGCTTTCAGGTACTCTGCATGTCCGCCCTCGGGCGAGGGGTGATGGCATGGACCAGAAATGACCCGCCCACCGAGACACGAGATCCCGCAACACCGGGCGGGAAAACGGTCCTTTCACTTACCTAGTTTGCATTCGGATCCTTCGCGGCCAGGCCGCGCAGAACCTGGAAGGTGGGTGCCCTAGCTGCTGGTACCCACCCAGTTGAATGTCTCATCACCCATCCACGCCGGGATCGAGGTCTGTACGACAAGGTTAGGGGCATGGCAGCTGAGATGTCGACCAAACAGAGCACTGCCAACAAGAGCCATGACCTACTGGTGGCTAAGGGATATGTTGAGTAAGGGTGGGCAAGAGGGAGGGCAAGCGAGAAAGAGAGGAGAAAAGCAGAGAGGAAGCAGGGAGTCCACCCAACTGCTGCTTTTCGGAGCCTGCCGTTTCGGCCAATGCCAGTCGGTGCTCCGCCCTTGCCCTTTTAGTCTCCCAGCGGGGAGCTGCCCGGCCATGGCTGCCATGCCAGTCTGTCACAGAAATTAACTGGCAGGTTCCATGCCAGTCTGTCACAGAAATTAACTGGCAGGTTGACGTTTAGCAGACAACGTTGGCATGGACTGCACGTGGCGCCGGCGCTTCTACCTGCTGCAGGGCTTGTTGGCTACAGGCCTTGCGGTCAAGGGATGTAAGGGTCAGCCACCTCATGTCTTGCAGCACTTGGCATCTAGCTAATGCCTGTTGTTTCCCTTCCCACCACGTTTCGCAGCTGCACTGCGCCGTGCCTTCATTTTGAGGGCATTAACAGCCGCCCGGACAGACGGGTGTTCCCCTCATATGCCAACTCGGGCAGATCTGCCATGCAACAAGCGACAATGAGCATTGTTGCTTACTCGTGTCTCCAAACGGGAGATCGACTGAAAGACGATCTTTCCTGCCGGGCAAACGGACAGCCTCGCAGCATCGCTCTGGTTTCTTGTACAGGCGGCCCAATCAGGTCTGGCCGGCTGGTAACAAGAGGAAGCAAATTTGGTCAGGGTCGACAGGTTCCACACCTTTCCCGAACCAGCCTAGTCCCGGGCTAGGTGCGGGCGCAACGGGCGAGGGGAAGGGCTGGGACCAGCTCACGCCCCGACCACCAGCAGCCGAATCAAGCCTGCCTACCCCCCCGCCCACGCCTTCACACCAAGATGAGCCTGCATTTCCATGCGTCGTCCCATCCCTCCATCTCATTCCATCCTTCCCTCTCACTAGCTGCCTGCCGAGGCGCCATGCCTGGGCCGTCACCCCCGGAGTACCGATCCATAATAGGATGGGACGAACCCAATTTGCTTGGGTTTTCGTCGGCCCGGGCTTTGACGTTTTGTTGAAGTTGAGGGTTTGATAACTCTCCACCTCAGCAATGGGTGGTCTGCCATTGTTACAGCATGGATTAGCCTCATCTGCGGTCTAGATGGGAGCTGGTCGGAGCTCGAGAAAAAAACAAGTAAAGAAAAACAAGCAAAAAAGAACAAGAAAAAAAGAGACAAAGAGAGAGAGAGAGAGAAAAAGCCAAACGACCCCACGCTCACACGCTGGCACGATGGTACGCTGGCATAGTGGCAGTGGTGGCCTGTGCACAAGCCAACTTCCTGAGCTTCTTTATTCTACAATGCAGTCTCATCCCATGGCCCCAATACTTCCCAGGGAAGAGGCTCGAAGCGAGGCAGTGCAGATGCGAGAACGGTTCGAACGACTCGAGACGTTCATGCCAGACGCCAAGGTGCATCCTGTTGGGTCGACCACTTCCCTGGATTCGCGATTTACCTTCCCGCCCGCCCATCGACCTAACCGTAAATTTCATCGGGCTGGTTGGCACCCCCGCACTCTCGTGTCCTCTTTGAGCCGGACTCGAGTCGGTCCATACGGCACATATGCCTGGAAATTCACGGGTCACTTGTAAACCCATATTGCCTTTCCCAGTTCAGGCGTTCTCCCCTTGGGCGTCTGGACATGGGCGGGCCACCCCCTACCGCAGAGCAAGTCGCTCATTGTTGTGAACGTTTTTTTTTTTTTTCTCCTCTCCTCGGGTGATATTATTCTGACGCGGAGCCGATGATGTGCGGCAAGCATCAAGAGTCGGTCTCATTTTACATTTCTTACATCGCTGCTGTCTTTCAACTCCCGTCGTGCCCTCGCCTCGCCGTCCCCACCCTGCGTGCTGCCCTGCAATCCCCGCCCAGCTCTTCCAGACACCCCCGGCCGCCGACTCGAGAGGTCACTACGTGAAGCTGCCTGCGTGCGGCGACACCATGACTCCCATCTTGGCGCCATTTCTGGCCGTCGGCACCCCTGCCCGGGCCTGTTGCAAATCATTCCCAGGTGTTGATAGCCGAGTGCGCCCCCCCCCCTCCCTGGGTCTGGCTCGATTGCTGTATTCTTCCCCTCCACACCCTGACCCTGGCAGGCCTGGGTCCAGGATGTCCCAAGAGGAAGCTCGGTGCCACTCTAGATGCGACTCCAGGTGACCCGGCCTCACCACCCCTTTTACCTTTACCCCCCCAACATTTCGCTCAAGCCACCTCCACACTGAGGACGTGGGTACCTACCTACCCAGGTATGTACCTACGGGCCCGCCCACGGACCCAATCGAAGCCCGGGACGCAGTCGCCGCTCTGCGCCCGGTGGCCGAGTGACTTGTGGTGGGTGGATGGGCCTGGCTGGATACATGCATGTGCTCCGCCGTGCATGCCCACTGCGTGCTACTTACACCTTCTAACCGGCCCTTTGAATACATAACTTTTCATAGGCCTCGCTCCGGGGAGCTGTTGCATGCGCCCTGGCCTAGTTGACCTACCACGGTCTCTGCCGCCGAAATCTTGGATGCCTTTTTCTCTTTTATTTCCTCCTCCCGCCTCAAAACCCATCCACCACGACGATCTCATCTTCTTCCAGCTGAAATCCTCCATCTCTCTCACCCGTCCGGCAACGAAGACGACCAAAGAGTCTGTGTGAGAAACCTCTTCTGCGGAGCCACCCTCCCCCGCCACGCCACCTCGACGACTCCCAGGCCGGCCCCTCAGCCGCGGCTTAGCTCGCAGAAGGAGAAAAAAAAAATATCGACCATCTTGCTAGTGGCCAGGATATCTCACTGGACCAGCTTCCAACCATCATGAACCTACGATAACGAGCAACGACGCCTTTCTTCTTATTACTATTTCCTAAGCTGTTCATACGTATACTCGACATCACCGCTCCATACGCTCGCTTTGATCATCTGGCCCCCCGACACTCGCTTTTGTCTGCCCACGACGCCCACCCATGTCGTCCTCCGAGATGGCAGCCGCCGCTTTCGAACACGCGCCTTTACCACCGCACCTATCCGCAGCCCCCGGTATGCATCCAGTGGCCATGTCGAGGCCCCAGGTCAGCATCGAGAGGCTGCCCACCCGCCGGATGAGCAACGAGCCACGGGAGTCGATGAACTGTAAATCCTGCCGAAAGCGCAAGGTACGGCCTCTCCAGCCCTCCCCTTCAATGTCCGCTAGCCATGGGCGGAATTGCCCATTGTCGTGCCGGCGTGGTTACGGCCATCGCCGTTGCCTCCCAGCGTGGCCTCTCCTTTTTTTGTGCTTGGGGGAACGGTGTTCTCTAACCCATCCTGGTATCGACCATGTCCAACAGATCAAGTGCAATCGTCTTCGCCCCTCATGCGAGGCCTGCCAAGTTTTTCAATGCCCATGTATATACGGTAAGCACTCCGTGTCCTTGCCCTTTTGTGACCAGATGGGAACCGGAGCATGACCTTTGGGGGGCTAGCTTCGGGGCTAGCTCCCGGAATCAAGTGTGCCATGGCGAGGGACCATGAGGGCGGGGCGTTGGACTAACAGTCTCGGAACCCTCGACAAATAACAGACGCCGTACCGAAGAAGAGAGGTCCGAAGACGGACGTGTTGGAGGCATTGCTGAAGAGGGTCGATGGGCTCGAGCAGCGGCTCAAGGATCAAAAATCGACGGATCCGGGAGCGGCAGCTGCAGTGGCGGCCGAGCTTGCGGCACTGGGATCGGCTGCGAGCGAGGTCTCGCAGAGGGCTTCGTTACCTACGGCGGCCACTTCAGCTGGCGACAAATCCAAGTCTGATGCGACGACCTCGAGCCGTACCGTCGACGTCCCGGAGCCAGTCATTTACTCACCCTCAGCTTCAAGGTTAGCGAAGCCAACGACCCCTCCGGACTGGACAGTCCTCGGACCGAATGCTGACAGGAAGAGCAGCGAACCATCTCCCACTGGGCCCGTCCCCGTCGACGCCCTGCTAGACACCTACTTTAGCCGCTTTCACGGAAAGCCGTACCACATCCTTGGCGAATCCTCCATCCGGCAAAGGTTGCTAGTCAACCAAGTACCATCATTTCTAGCCCACGCCATTTATGCTGTTGCTGCGAGGTAGGTTATTTATAGCACAAAAGGCCCACCTGCTAGCACCTCCCCTCTTGTGGCCTCGAGAGCCGCCTCCTATCGAGCCAGTCTAATCAGCAGCTGTAGGTACACGCCACATCCTAGCGGATTCCAGTCAGCCGTTCAGCTGAGCGAGGAGTACGCGCTGAGGGCCCGGAACGAGATCGACACGGACGAGCCATCCATCGACGCGCTGCAGGCGCTGCTCCTGACGGCCACGGCCTTCACCGCCATGGGAAGGGGAAGGAAGGCATACATGCTTCTGACCAGCGGCATCGGCATGGCCATGGCGCTCGAGCTTCACCGTGAGGTGGATCCGAATGCGCCCATGCCGCCTGCCGAGCGCGAGATGAGGAGGCGTCTGTTCTGGAGCTGCTTTCTGATGGATCGGTTTATGGCGTGCGGGTCGAAACGGCCGTCTCTGATATCGAACCGGGTCATCTCGACGCGGCTCCCCAGCTGGTCTCCCGGCCCGCACTCGCTCCCGGTCGAGGGCGAGTTCTTCGTCAGCGGGTCGAACCTGCACTACTTCCAGGGGAGCGGAAAGAGGTCACAGGGCAGCAGCGGGATGCTGATCGACATCAGCCGGATACTGGGTATCACAAACAGATACCTGGCCGCGGGGGGCGTCAAGGGCGACTCGCACTTCCCGTGGCACTCGCTCTCGAACCTGTCCAAGATCCGGCAGGACCTGGACATATGGGCGTCGGGCACCGAGGACGTCTTCTCGAGCGTCGGCAAGCTCTTTGGGCAGCCCGACTCGACGGTGCTGGTGCTGAGCAAGCTGATCTACCACCTGATACACTGCCTCATCTACAGGCCCTTCCTGCCCATCGACCTGGTCGAGCTCGCTGGGAGCGGACAGCACCAGTCGTGGCAGATCGAGGCGACCAACATGTGCTTCCTGCACGCCAACGCCATCGCCGAGCTGGCGGAGCTGGGCAAGTCCACCATCGAGTGGCCGGCCTTTGTGGGCTACTGCATCTGCACGGCTGGCACGGTCCACGTGCATGGTGCCTTCTACAGCAAGAACAGCTTCGGCGGTGACGGCAGCGGCGGCGGAGTATTCTCGTCATCGGCCGACTTTCTGTCGCGCGAGATGCAGCAGCTGAGCGAGCTGCGGTACGCGTGGGCTAGCGTGCAGCACCAGCGCGAGACGCTGCAGGGCATCTACGGCGCGCACGCCGAGCTCGTCAAGAGCCACGCCCGGAACCCGATGCGGTACGCGCCCGTCTTCCAGCTCGAGGACTTCTTCGACCGCTACTCCAATATTGGCGGGCCCGGTGGCCAGTCGTTCCACTTCGACTCGGCCAACATCAGCCTCTCGGACGTCGTCGTCGACTACAACCCGGACGTCTATACGGGCCACGACCTGTACGCCCCGCGGGCCTCAACTAGCAGCAGCGCCACGGGCGGGCTGGACCACTCGCCCGCGACCGCGTCCGCCATCGTCCCTCCCACGATCCCGTCGGACCGCCCGAGCCTCAAGCGGAAGAAGATGGCCCCGACGGGAATCAAGGCGCCGCCCCCGCCCCCGCCGCACCAGCAGCAGCAGCAGACAATGCATTCGGACCCGGGCATGCCTACCAAGGGCGGGCTCCAGCCCTTGAACACCGCCGCCGGCATGGTCCTGCCGCACACGCCGCACAGCCTCCCGACGCCGTCGCACAGCCGCCACTCGTTCACGTTCCAGCCGCCCCAAGGGTCTCCCGTCATGCTGCAGTCCCCGGCCGGCGGCCCGCAGATGCACCAGGTCCCGGAGCAGATGGGAGCTGGAGGCGGCGTGGTCGACGACGGGCGAGGGGGCGGGTTCGGAATGCACGGCCAGCAACAGCACCACATGCAGCACCAGGCACTGCAGCAGCAGTATGGACACCACTCCCCCTACGGCTACGGCGGAGCAGGGACAGGCCCGGAGTCGATCCGGCACGGAACCAGCAGCAGCTCCATGGGACCGGGGACTCCGGGCGGCGGCGGCGGCGGCGGCGGCAGCTACGACCCCATGTTCGGCACCCTGCCCACCAACGCCTTTAGCAGCCCCGCGCCCGGGCCGTGGCAGCAGCAGCACCCTGGCGCCGGGGGTGGCGCGGCCGGCGGCAGCGAGGACGGCAAGCAGCACGGCGGCGGCGGGCAGGTGCTAGCGCACAGCCCCGGGGGCCGGAGCAACAACGGCAGCACGGGCACGGGCGCGGCCGGGGAGGAGAAGGACCCCTTCCTGAGCCTGCTGGAGCAGCTGGCCGAGAACGAGCAGGCCATGGGCCCCGGGAGCGAGCTCGACATGTTCCTCGGCACGACTGCGCAGCGGTAAACTCGCGGTCACAAGCCATCCATCCATCCATCCATCCATCCATCCATCCATCCATCATTTCATCTCTTTGTTTGTTCTCATCTAGACCACCGAGCGTTGTCCGATCTCATTTTCTGTCGGCACATTACCTCATCAACCGATCACTGCCTGAACGCCACGGCGTATATAACAGGTCCTCGTCAACTTTTCGAGCATGTCGTTTTTCTCTTTAAGCCCCGCTCACATTTTCTTGTCCTCGATCCTGGAACCGCCAGGGTCTCGAGGGCCGGCCTTGAAGGCCCATTCTATTCACGGCGGGAGACTCTCGTGCGGTTTTTTTTTTTGGAGCGCGGGTCATGACCACTTTCCTTGTCTATCTTTTTCCTACGTACAAGGGACAGGGTGGTTAAGGAGTTCATACAGAATTGGGAACTTTTTTTTTTTTTTCTTGCTTGGCAAAAAGGGGAGGGATATAAAACTGTTTCCGGTCCGGGGGTGGGCGGTCATATACTGCGCGCTACGCATTTCCTACTAATTCTTTTTTCCCCTGAGATACCACTGGTACTTCTCGTCGTTTCTCACTCTGTCGCTCCTTTTTTGCTGGAGGCCTATTCGGTATTCTACATGCGGGCTTCCTCTTTTCCTTTACTTTTTAGTCTCCCCCCTCCGTTATAAGGAAGCAGGTTGGCGGTGAACCCGGGTTTTCTTTATTTGTCCATCCATCCCACCACCACAACGTGGGGCCAACCCTGTAGAAAAGACTCAAAGCGTACAAACCTTGTTTAGCACGCATACAAGCATATAACTACACTTAATATCTTGCAATTCCCATTAGCTGCATGCACGAGTTGTGTCTCCCCGGGTAGGTTAGGTATGTTCTGTAGCCTGCCTGCCCCCTTGGTTAAAAGCACGCCCCTTTCTTTCTCTGTCACCCCGGCTAGTCCCGCATCAAAGTCGGAGAGATAGAGAGAGAGAGAGAGAGCGCGCAGTCGGACGTGCATGGAAGGATTTATGCCTGGACTTTGTGGCTGCTTGTCCCTTTTTTGTTTCTTGCTGTCGCCCCCACCCACACTATCGCTCAAATCGAAGTCCACATGTATGTACCTATAGGGCAGATAATTTCCTCGGACTGCATGAGGGGGATGGTGTGTGGGGTGTACAGGTAGAGAGGCTGGAAAGAGGGTTGCGTGCGGATCAGACGATGGCCTGCTCCGCAAAGGATGTATCTGGCGGGTCGTCTGTTCTGGCCGGAGGCTTGCTGGTTGGTTCAACCCTTCCCCTCCCTCCCCTCAACCTGCCCCCGAGGGGTCTCCATCACGAGCTGTATGTACCTGCCTCGCGTGCCCACCGCCCACCGAGCCGAATGTGCGGTGTAAAATTTTTACTTCTTCTCCCTCGTCTTTTTTTTTCTTTCTCTTTTTCTGCCTTGGATGCTCCGCAGGCAAACGTACCCGCAACGGTAAGGATCGATGACGAAGTCCATGCTTGGGGAGGAAAGTACAAGCGAGAAAACGAGGATCGAGATGGGGAAGAGAAGAGGGAGGAGACGGAGAGGGAAATCACCAAGAGGGAGGGATTGGAGATGGCTGGGTCAAACCGGGGTTACCATCAAGGCAAAGGCTCGCGGGGTGGGTGAGCTTTTCTTGGGCCTGGAATCAGCTCAACCAGGACATGGAACGATCTGGTACATCGGCGTTGACGGGGCTGCATGCCACCGTAGCTACCTATCTAAAACAAAAGGCCTCGCCGCGACTGGCGGCTAGGTACCCAGATTCCGCCTCACTCTAGGTCAGGCCCAGAGGCGGGCGATAGCGTGACTTGTTCGTTTGATTTTTCCAGAAAAACACGACCGGCTATTATTCCCCGGGGGGTGGCTGTTTCCCCCGGTCGTCCGGGCCTTTGGGGCTCGGCTATCGCTGGGCCTCGTTCTGGTTTGGGGAAAGTGGCTTTACAATCTTCAGAGGTACCCATCTCCCTAGGTACCTGGGTATGTATTTGCAGCACCAGGTCCAACTACCTGCGTCACCAACCTGCTCCGAGCATTTTTCTCGTCACTCGTCCCGTCCAGAAAGACCCCGGCGGGGATCTGGGGTTTTGCCGGCCGGTTGTTCATCGGTTTGCCGGCAGTTTTGTAGATCGATGACGACAATGGCGAGTAAACAACAGAAACACACAAGAGAAGAAAAAGAAACGCCAAAAACGGCCCCCAATGATGAAAAAAAGCAGCAGGAAAAAGCAAACGGGCGCACAATCCGCGATCTCTACTCACCTCGGCTCCCGGGCATGCTTCCTCCGCACAGGACATTAGTTTCTTTTCTTGGTATCAGCCCCCTTTTTGGCCCTTTTCTTTTTTTCATACCAGGTTTCCTAGGGCACTCTTTTACTCAGCTGTCCCTCATCTCACGCACGCACACACACCTCTTGACCCAACCCCCCCGATCTGCCCAGCCCAAAACCCTATTCCCCGCATCTCGCCCGCCGCCCCATAATTGCGGTACCGCGGCCCGGCATAACATCACCTGGGTCCCCACACATCCCAAAAGAAGGGCCTTTTGCTCCCCCCTCGAAGCTCTGGCTGCATGTTCCATGCGGGGGTGGGTGGCGCTCACCCTCCCGGGGGGGAAGTGGGACAAGGGGGGTGTGTGTGTGTGTGGGGGGGTGTGGGTGGTTGCTGTCGTGGATCTAGACGTGCCGATGTTTTTGCGCCATGAAGGCGAGAAAGGTGACTGCCCATGGCAGCAGCAACAGCAGCAGCTTTGCTAGCCGCACGGAGATGGGGCCAAACAGCTCCTCCCTCCTCCTCGCTTAGAGCAGCAAGCCGGAAGGAGCAAGAAACGGGGTCACCGGTCGACAATGTATACATGGGGTGTGGTGCGCGGCGGGCAGCCTTCCCCGCGCCGCAAAGAAGAAAAAATGCCGAGGTCTCAGCATTTGCAGAGTGTCTGTACCTGAATATGCATGATTTGGATATTCCTCCATTCGGAGCCTGTGGCGAGGGCGTGCATGAATTCCGATGATGCAAAAGGTCCTGTTTACTCTCCGTGCCGTGTCTGGTACGACATCAAGTCAGAAAATAAGACAGACCAGAGGGAGAAAAAAAAAGAGAAAAAAGAAAGAAATGAACAAGCTGCATGTATCAAATGAGGTGGGCGGACCAACCTGCACCGAGTACATAGTCTTCTTGTTGCTGCACTGCACCATCACCACGTGCATTATTGGCCAACCTGAAACTTGACGCGCCTTTTGGCTGCCCAGTTACGGGCAGTTTTTTTCTGTCTCCGATGTAGGTACATAGTCTGCATGTACCTCGAGATTCAGAGGGGTTGGGTGAGTCTTGGTCAAATGCTTGGCCTTCCCACCCACACCGTCGATCCCATTTGCCGTGCAATCGGATTCTGTTCCTGAAGAGTAAAAAAAAAATCAAGGAACGAGAGAGATGGTTAGACATATCGGGCCCCTCCTGGCTGGCTGCCGATGCAATGCCCCGATAACATTCCTGACCCCATCGGCTGGGCCGGTGGAGAAGAAAGTGGGAGAGAGAGGGAGAGAGAGTGAAGAGGCAGGCGAATGGGCGGCGGTGGGCGGCGGGCAGAGGAGTCCCAACAGGCCCTCCCCCTTCCCCTTCGGACACTCCCGGGCGGGAACGGCGGTCAGGAGCCGTGTATGCATTATAAATTGGACCCCTGGCTCCGGAAGTGCCCGGCGACGAACGGGGTCCGGGGAAGAGTGGCTTGCGGCGCATTTGGTCCGCCGGTCCCTGCTGTCGGCCCTCGCCTGATGTGAGCGAGGGGGGAGGAAGACGGGGGAGGAAAGCGAATACCATTAACAATGGCGATGGCGGTGATGCATTCGACTCAGTGTGAATCAGCCCGTGCCGAGGCGGGCAGGAACCCCCCACCAACACACTGGCCACCAGGCTTACGGCTTTGTCATCTGTCACGGGTTCTGGGGGCCTCGGATGAAGCAGATGCCGACTTCGCACACTTTCCCCTCAGCAAACTTGGCCGCGCAACAGAAAGGAAGCAAATAACGCCACGGGTAGGTTACCTAGGTGTATCTAGCCATACCCAGAGAGGGAGAAAAAAAAAAGAGAGTTACCCCAAGAAGCAACAATGGCGGCCACGAACCCGCTGCAGAAGTGGTTCCCCAACACCGAGGCACCCCTCATCATTAGCGCCCCAATGCTTGGCTTCGCCAACGGGACCCTGGCCGCTGAGGTCTCCAAGGCGGGCGGGCTGGGTAAGCAAGCGCAGGCGTTCCTCCTCCCCCTGATTCGCTCCCAGGTTGCGCATGACAGGCAAAGTTTGTTGATGTGTTTGTGCGACCCGGCTTGCCCTTTGCCTTTTGCACAGGGATGGTCCCCGGCGGCTACGACTTCGCCCCGGGCTCGGACCAGATGAGCAAGCTGGACGCCGAGCTCGGCACGGCCCGGGCCGCGCTGGGCCTGGGCGCGAACGACGGCCCCGCCCCCGTCGGCGTCGGCTTCATCCTGACCCGGGCGGCGGCGGGCGCCGAGAAGGACTTTGCCAACGCCGTCGCCGCCGTCGTGGCCCGCCGCCAGCCCGCCGCCGTCTGGCTGTTCGCGCCGCCGCCGCCTGACGACAACGACGACGACGCCGCTGAAGGAGCAGTCGGCCAGGCGAGCCTGATCAAGGCCGTCCGCCGGGCCGCCGCCGCCGCCTCCAAGGCCGCCTACGACGTCTGTGTTTTCGTGCAGGTCGGCACCGTGGCGGCGGCGCGGCGGGCCGCCAGGGAGGGCGCCGACGTCATCGTGGCCCAGGGCGTCGACGCGGGCGGCCACCAGTTCGCCGTGGGGAGCGGCGTGGTCGGGCTGGTGCCCGAGGTCCGCGACATGCTCGACGCCGAGTTCGCCGGCCGCCGCATCGGCCTGGTCGCCGCCGGCGGCATCGCCGACGGGAGGGGCGTGGCGGCCGCCCTCGCGCTTGGTATGGCGAGATACCCGCCTGGATCTGCACTTTTTCCCGGCTAACGTGGCTTCTTTGCCGCTGCTCAGGGGCGGATGGCGCCGTGCTTGGTACCAGGGTGAGTTTTCTCTTGGGGGCTTTCTCTGCTTCCGGGTCGTCAGACGCTGATCCCACCTTGAATTTCCATCTCAAAAGTTCCTCGTTTCCAATGAAGCGTCGACGCCCGAGTGGCAACGCAAGTTGTACCTCGAGACCAAAGACGGAGGTCTCACGACCAACAAGTGAGAAATATCCCTCAATGTTTGAAAACGCCATGGTGCGCATACCCCGACTAAACTCTGAACACCTCCTCGGTTTGTTGGCCCAGATCGGACTTTCACGACCAGGTTCGGGGAACGACCGACATATGGCCGGCCTTTTACGACGGGCGGGCAATCATCTCGCAATCGTACCGCGATCACCTCGCTGGCGTGCCCGGGGAGGAAGTGATAAGCAGATACGATGCTGCCGGCGCCACTGGGGACAAGTCGCGCATGGTCAGCTGGGCGTAAGTGACCACTGTGATGTGCCGCCCATTCACTTTCAGGCAAGTCTCCCTGCTGACACGTCACGCGACGCCAGGGGATCGGCAATTGGCCTAGTCAACGAGGCGCTGCCTGCTGGCGAGATCGTTGTCAAGGTCCGAGGACAGGCAAGGTCTAGGCTCCGCGCTCTACAGCCGCTAGCATGGAGAGCAATCGCCAAATATTAATAGCAGCTTGTAACTCGAGACAGCCTGGACAGACCGCTTAATAGGTCACAGCTAACCGGAGCTGGAAACGGAGAGTCTGCAGTTGCTATTCTAGTGATTTTCAACCGAGAGGGGCTACGAGGCGAGGATAGCATCATCAGCTGCTCGGCAAGATTCAACGCCGCTGTGTGACCATGTGAACAGTAAAGATTCGCCTGGAAGCCATCTGGACGACTCCTGCCAAACGCACTTTAGCGCTGAAGTGTCGATCCGTTAGCCCAAGCGCTTCAGCCAGCCAAAGGCCTGGGAGATATTCCAAGTCGGCATCGTGACAGTGAAGGAGCCCCTACACCAACCCAACCCAAGCTCACTAGAATTCCCGGCAAGTGCGAATGCAGCTCATCCCCTGGGCCAAGTTCATCTGCTTCTCGAGAATTATAGACGCGAAGTGACGGCATTCACCAAGTCAAAAACTCATTTCCCAAAGAGTGTAGCCTGTTCAGGCTGGGGATCCCTCCTTGTCTTGCATGCTCTTCAGAGCAGACGACACAAGGTGCGAGGAACCGACAACAAGGACATGTGACCCATCCGAATTGTCTGTTGTTTGAGCTGACCGCAAGGCCTCATGAATCGATGGCGAGATCTCGACGGGCGCCAGTTCTCTCCACAAGGGAGCAATCTCCTCGGCAGATTCGGGCGCAAACATGGGCTTGCCCGTGATGATATTCGCATGGGCTGAAAGGATTATGCGGTCGAAGGTGATGTCTCGTGCACGGCAGTGACGTGCGAACACGTTGATGAGATTCACCGCGTCGCGGTGCTTGGATGCCTGACCAAACACCAGGGTTCTGGTGCGGCGAGGCCGCGGACTGGCCTCGCCGTCGAACTTGCGCACCTCGGAGATGAACCAGTCAAGCGCCACTGGGATACTGATGTCGTTGTGCGCAATGTCAAGGTACCATCGGGTTTGGGATTCGGGCTCCTCGACTACCTGCATGCGCCCTGGAAGCTGGTACGTACGCATCGTCTCGGCAATATCGTCGTCGCTCAGCCTCCCTTCGAAGCGAGACTCCAAGTAGGCGTTGGCGAGCTCGATGGACAGTGCAAGATTCCCGCGCAGAGCCGGGAGCTGGAGGGCAGCCCTATCAGTCCGGTCCGTGGGGACTTGCGCATAAGTAGGGTCGAGGAATGTGATGGGGCATCCCAGATGGGCCGCCTCGGCCTCTAACTGCTCACGAGCCTCGGGCAGCTGCGGAACCGAGAAGGCGCGACAGCCGGGCTTCATGATTCCCGCCTTGTTCCGAGCGATCTCGGCGACGTTGTTGCCCAGAAGCGGAACGTGATCGAGGCCGATAGTGTTGAAGCCGCACACCATGGTCCTGTCGTCCCACATGTTGGTAGCGTCGACACGTCCGCCAGCATGGACCTCGTAGACGACTACGTCGACCTTCTCATGCGCAAAGACATCAGCCGAGAGGAGAGCCATGAGCTGCAGGAAACCTGGCATTTCATCTTCCTTGCCGCCAACATCGGCGAGGATGGTGTTCCAGACGTGGAAGAAGCGGTCGGCATAAACCGCCTCCGACACCAAGGACGAGCCGATCACCATGCGCTCGCGCGGCGTGGTGAGGTGCGGCGAGGTATAGCGGCCGACCCTGGCGGCGATGGAGTTGGAGCGGAAGTAGGACTGCAGGAGGGCCTGGGTCCACGCACACGTGTTGCCCTTGCCCTTGGTGCCGGTGACGTGGATTACATCGAAAGACGTCCGCTGCAGCCCATAGTCGGGGGCACCGACGTCAAGTCAGGCAATGGCACTCGCGGGGACAAGGTTCGCCGACGGCAGAGATGCGCACCTCAAGACCCAGGGCCTTCACCCACCGCCTGACCTTGGTGAGGTCGAGCCGGCCAGGCTGCAGCTGGACCTCGGCGGCGGGCACATACTTGATGTTTTTAAACCGCGTGGCGGCAAGACGGACTGCCTCCTTTGCGGTGGATTAGTCCGTAGTGTTTTTTTCTGTTTTTTTTTTTCGCATTTTATGAAGGGCCCAAGAGCGACAAACCTTGTAGGACATTGTCGAGACGTGCACCGTTGGACGGAAACGCGTCGCGCGACACGGTCTCAACTTTGCGAGGGTTGTTTGCAAGGGGCCAACATGACGTAGGTTTGCCCAGAAGCGTCAACCCCACCATTAGCTCGAGAGTACCCCCCAAGGCACGTGCACTTTCCACCAATCGAGCATCCCGTGATCAAGATTCCAAGAACTTTGTCAAACTGGTAGATTTGGACACTCACACCTGCCCAGCGCTTATCGAGGGCGAATATCTGACATTAAGAGCCGATGTGCCGATGCAACTAGTCGAAGCTCCCCCTGTCCAAATCTGTCCGCATGCCAACAATGGGACAAGGGTGACTATTTCCCAGTCGAGATTGGCCCTAAGCACCATCACATGCACAATCCCGACCTCCCCCTCTTGCCATCTACCCCTAACAAAGGCAGGGCAGATGGATTGTCTGGTAGTTGCTGCAACTGCTTCCACTCGGCATCGCGCTCCCGGTCTGCAGCCAGATCTGCCAGTAGCTACCCTCGAGGCGACACACTACAAAGTTCAAGTCTGGAAGGCCCAAAGACGCTTCCTGTCAGCAGACGGCGGGCCATGGAGTCACTACTGATAACATGACGCCAAATCATCCGGGTTGCTACTCATTGCTACTCACTCCTCCCCAGACTGCTCCCCTGCCGGGTGATGATGGTGTCGCCCTCGAGGCCCCACGCGTCGGTGCGCGAGGAGTTGTCGAACGTGAGCGTCTTGTACGACGTCGAGTCGGTCCCGATGTTGAGGTACCTGGCCGTGGTGGCCGACCGGATCGTGCCCGCGATGTCGAACTGTCCCGCCGTCGCCTCGGGGCCGAGCACTACCTGGGAGGCTGTCGGATGCGGTGTCCAGTCGTCGTGTCAGTCCCGCCCTTCTGTCCTCGCCCTGGGTAGGGTACTGTGACGTATGAAATAAAAGGAGCAGAAAGGGGCCATGTTGTTGGTCATAATACCGTTCCTAGGGTGCGCCTGTAGGTACAAGTGGTAGATGGGATCGCGCTGTGTTCGAGGCCCGAATATAATCCTGTCAGCACCCATGTGCATCTTTACCGACAGAAAGATCCGAGAGGGGCTGGCGTGTAGATCGTACAACACCACGAATCTTCTCCGGCTTGGCAACAGCCGTCCCAACAAACGGGAGAGCCGCCACCGCCGACTGGACAAGAAGCCACAGTCGCATTGTTTTCTTCGATCTCGGTTCTGTTTACAAGTTTTTTGCCCTGTCAGGAGGCGCTGGAGCAACCTCGCCTCGCTTCAAAATTTGCGCAAATGAGACAGGCGTGGCAGGGTTGAGAGCACGGCGCCGGGGATTTGCGCTACTTTGTACCATCCCAGCCCAGCCAACACCGGGCCATCCCTCTCCGAGCGGGCGGGCGGCTACGAACCGGGGAAATATTCAGCGGCGAGAAACGGCCGAGGCCGGATATGGACTCTGACGAGATCCAGCAACCATATGACAGACGGGTAAATAGAGCTGGCTGTAACGAGCCCACGAGTCGGGAAGCGATCCGAGGCGGCATTCGTTCAGAAATGCGGCGCCCGTCGTTCAGTGAAGGGCAGGAATCTGGTACGACGAATCTAATCCGTTCATTAGGTTTCTCAGCCAGCCACGACCGACGTTGTGAGGAAACTAGTGAGCTTATAGTCGCAAGCCGTTGGGCATATGAAGCCACCTCTTGCCCGATTCGAAAATACGGGGCCAATCAGAGGGTTCCTGCTACCCCTAAATGACCAAGTGTTGTGCGAGTAAGCGGCGTTATACCAAAATACCACTCGTGCAAACGCATTTGGATTGCCTATATTCTCACTATTTTATCTAACCACTGGACTGGAGCCAGATTCTCCTTTCCAGTTAAGCATCCTTAGGAGATCGACTTAAGCTTTTCCAAGACCAGATCCTTGCTGTAATACACAACATATGGCTTGCTCCTCTAGGAAAACTTTTTTGATGCCGGTTCCGACTTCCGCGCTCGGGGTGGCCATGGTGCAACATCGCTCGTAGTGCAGCCCGTTATAGCAAAAAAAAAAAAAAAAAATCCAAAAGCAGCCTGCAGCTATCAACACATCTTTTCACTTTAGCCGCCTGCCGTCCGCTTGCCTGCGCCAAGACGTGACCGCCCCTATCTTCGGTCGCTTGAGTGAGATACATTATCATCTCTGTCCACAAATGTAACAGAGATATACTGTGGAATTTGATGCAAGCCCGCTCGTGAAAAGAAAAGAAAAAAATACAGTCCTGCTGGGGCTTTTGGTCTGGGGCCCAGGCCAAAGCAGGAAACTACCCAAACAAAAGAAAATAAAAACGTTGTGGCCAATGTTGGCTTTACTGCAGGCCCGTATTGCCCACAACTAGCACGAGCAGTGCTCCATTAAGAACACATATCCCGGTGAAGGAGGCGTAAACCAACAGCGCGTTTACGAGGCTCACACCCTGCCCCGCGGGCCCTTCTCGCGTGAGTGTCATGCCCAGCGCCACGCAGGCGCATCCCAGGCTCGACATGACGCCCAAGATGACGCCCGCGTCCACCTCGGCCCGCAGCTTGTGCTTGCCCGTCACTATGAGCAGCGCGGCCACGCCCAGGAGCACGAGGGCGGCCGCGTTAGCCCCGATCGTGCCCCGGAACAACATCCGATCCCTGTAGCGCGCTATGCGCTGGTCGTTGATAGACGGCAAGGCAGCGAAGCGGGCATCGTAGCCGTTGGGGAACTCGGTGTCCTCATCACTAGCAAGGTCCAGATCTTCCTCATCCCCGCTGTATCCAGCCGCCGCCGATGGCCCTGCCGTGTTTGCACCGCCGTCGCGGCTGTGTGGTGTGACGGTTCCGTAGGAGCCTGATATGGTCAGCCCATGGTTGAGGGGTTGGGTGTTACTGTCGTTGGCCGTGTGCAACAGCGGTTGCCTCTCGGAACTGCTGCGCGTAGCGATCCATGCCTTGGCCGTCTCAACCGGTATGGACAGAAGAGCGGCCAGGGCCGAAAACCCGGGAATTCTTATTTCTTCGTTTTCGGGGTTGATATAGATGACGTAACCGCCGTCATTGTCCCCAGCCTCGCTGCCGTTGTCGTACTCGTTCCAGTAGCTGGTTGGTTGTTGATGTTGTTGGGGGTGGTCACCGAAATGGGTCGGTAGCACCACTATCCCCTCGGGCTGATGTTGCCCGCTGTGGCGTCGTGCGGGCGTCGTCGGTCGATCAGCCGGGGTGACGGAACCCGAGTCTGGCGGGGTGGCTGCGCGGATCTCGTTGATCAGGTCCTCGTACTGCGTCTCGAGCTGGTGAAAGTCGCGGTTGGTGAAGCCCTTGGAGTCCGAGAGCACGTTTTCCTTGAATCGGACGCCGAGCGATTGCGAACCTGTCCACTTCTGCAACGTTCACAAGATAACTGCCGTTAGCGTGACTGGGCGTTGCCGGCGCGTCCGGACGCGGACATGTCGCACTGGCGGGCTGCACAAATCACACACCCTGTACTTCTTGAGAATTTTGCCGAACGCCGTGGCCTGTGCGCCGATGAACCGCAGGAGATCGCGGATCTCGTCACCGCACTGGAGAGCCACCTGGCCGTAGCGCATCAGCCTGCGCTGGCGCTTGGCCGACATCTTGCGTCGGGCACATAGTCGGAGGGTGTTGTGGATGGAATTGGACAGGTGTTGGAGGCGGCGCGAAAGCTCCTCGGCCTTGCTAGTGACGAAGAGGCCGACGCGGTCATGTTGGCGGCACAGCTCGGCGTAGAAGTCTTCCTCAAACTTTCCCAGCTGGGCATCTTGGTGACCCGGAATCGTGATGGCCCGGACGCCCTGCCCTTTCGTCGTGTGGGCTTTGATGTGGTGCTTGAGACTATTATAGTCGATATTGTCTGTTGGGGTTGGAGGAAGCGGTCCGGTTAGGATGAGGCAATCGAACGCGGTCGGTACGCGTTTGCGCCGAGATAAGGAAACCACTTACGAAGACTCCATTCTGGGACCGAATCTTGTTCAAACTGCTCGCCGTACTTCATGCTTTGGTCGCTTGGACACGCCAGGGCACCAATTGATGCGCGGGGCGTCGGGAGAGGAGAGTCAACGTGGTTTGGACGCAAGCTCGGGAGGAGGAGCGATGCGACGGCGGATGGAAGAGAACTCCGGATCGCAGCACACGGAATAAGGGATTTCACAAGTCTCGGACTGGGCCAATTCCAAAGTCTCGAGCGGCGCCAACACGCAGAAAGGATTTGATTCTCGGCCTAGGTCAAGAGGATGGAGCCGGCGCGGGAAAGGAAGAGACTAGATCGGGCCGTTGGGAGCGAGCGATGGACTTGGGGCCCTAGTAGCGAGGGGGGCGGCGGGCCGGTCTGTTTTGAAACGGAGCGAGAGCAGCTACCAAGCGTCTGATAAGCAGCTCCGTGGATGGGTTGAGGGCTGGGGGGCTGTGCTTGGGTTTAGTTTGGGTGCTTGTTCGGACCAAAGTGCTGCTGGCTCCTGGACCGAGCTGCCTCCTTTGTTGTGTCTGAGTCGGTCTTGCGGATCGGGGGTTGCAATATCGAGGCGGAGCTGCAGAAGCCAAGGCCAGACGGCGGCACAGAACGAATGAGAACCGACGAGGGCCGGGGGCCGTTGAATGTTATAGAACGGGGGCTCGGGGGGGCACCCGGTTGCACTTGCGCTTGCAAATAGAAGACGCCAAGATGGCACCCAAAACTTGCCAAAAGCGACAGCCAGGCCCCACCCGCGCCGCAATCCGGACGCTTGTGCTGCGCGGGAGCGTATCGCACGCACAGGGAGCTAGGGAGAACTAGGGAGCGACACCAGCACAGAATCCAGGAGATCCGATCACAGCATGGACAGCAGCACAGCGGCTGAGGCGGGTGGAGCTTGCGGGCGGTTTGAGCGCAGAATCCATGAGTCTAAAGCCCATCCAGTCCGCGTTGCAGCTGGGCTGCTTTGGAGGGGCCCGCTGCGACTCTGCGATGCGTGCCTGCTCGCCTGTTCCAGGTGCCTTGCTCCATCTCGAGTGGGGCCGTAGGAGTCAGGGCCCGCGCTGCACAGCAACATTGAGAGCCGCTTTCCCTCCAGCCTAAACCGCTGTTGTCATTGTGGAGTTCTTCCCCGCCTGCAGATTGAGTCGAGAGTCAAGCACCCAGGCGGATCGAAATGGAAATGAGGCACGAGACCTAGCTTGGCGGCGTTCACCATGAGGGATTCCACGAGCAAGGGGCCCAAGTGGATGCGGTCAGCGGCTGCGAGCTAGCGGGGCGCAATGATGTGTGCCACGGGCAGGGGTAGGTGGGCACCCGGGCAGGCAGTATCAGTACCTGGCACACACACCAGCTGACCTACACAAGCACGGATCTACCTACCTCCATGGCCTAGGGAACGCTGTTATCGGGAGCAATCGAAACAGCATCCATCCGACTTCGGGGCGTGCGGGTCTGATGCAAAGATAAGGTCTCGAGTCCGCATCTATGAGAGAGATACACAATCTCGACGATATCTCTTCATCCTTCACCTCACCGCGCTCTTTTCTCGCGGTGCTGCAGCTCGCCAGTTGGCACATGCAAAACGCTGGATCCTGATCTCCCCTTTGCCTGGGAGCCAATCATCCACGCACGTGGCTCTTGGTCCGTCACCAACATCCGGTGTCGGCTTTGCGGGTTGGAAAAATAAAAGCCAAAAAAAGATCAGAACGAACGCTTCCGGACCAGTCAAAATCGAGCCGCGCCAATGCACGGCATCTCGCTGAAGCGGGCGCTTGGGTAAAGAACAACCTCTGAAAATCAGAGAGATGGTGGGCTTTTCCCTCCCTCTCTGCGCTCTTATTCGAACCTTTCCCTTTTTCGCAGCAAGAAACACATGGAAGGCTCTGGCCAGCCCCGTCTCCTCGCCTCAGTAGGACGGCATTCTGCATTGCGCCATCTCCACCCCGGCCCCGTTGCCGGGTGGTCCAACCGACACCCTTGCCGAGAGGGGACATGAGCCGAGAGGGAGGCGGGACCGGAAAACTGGACCTTGGCGCGGAAAGCCCTCTCGCCTAGCACCCATGCTCGATGGATGATGGGTTAGATGGGGGGGGGGCCTTTGCCATATTTTCAGCCTCTTCGAGTGTTGGTGGGCTTACATCATTTTGCTCTTTTTGGCTATTTTATTTTCAAAGGAGGCTATCTTAGTTGCTGTTTCTTTCTTTGCCGCAGAGAAGGCTTGGAGTATAAATAGGAGGAAAGAAAAAAAAAAGTCAAGCGAGTGACTGGTACCTAGGCGACCGTCATTAGCCCCCATGATACCCCTGACAACCCCTCAACTCATTCGTCCGCGGAAAAGCATGCCGACACCGCGGCGTATTAACCTCATTTTGCGTTATTATATGGAGCCATCTACCAAACCAACACGCAGCGATGGTAGCTCCGCCGTGATCTTTTCCGTCACATCTCCATCTCGGCGCCGGCCCCCGCTGATCACATGGCCTCTGGACGGGTTCCCTACCGAGTCTAAGCGATGCTACTACCTCTTCTCGTCCAATGTTGAGGAGGGGAGCGGGTGAAAAAAAAAAGAAGAAGAGGAAAGTGATAAACGCAGCAGTCCTTTCGGCATGCTCGGATGTTACACTAACCCAGCAAGATATGTGGGGGTTGAAATGCAGGTCGCTGCGGGTAGCGTATGCAACCCTTGGCCTCGGCGAGAGATGGGCGCGAGGAGAAGGCTGCACCTCGGCCGTGTCCCCGAGAAAAGGGAAGTTTTGTGCTCTGCGAAAAAAAAGGCATCCGTTTGACACGGCTATGAGCAGTCGATAGCGTGCTTGATGATGCGTTGATGCTGCAGCTCTGCTCGTGATGCATGCATCGTGTGTAATACCTGTATGTTGGCAGATGCAAAGTCGTTCGTTCTACGTGACATTCTGCTTGTGTGGCCTGGCGTAACAAACCTTACAACCTGGGTACCACGCTAATTCGCAGAACATTTTTAGCCGAAAACAAAAACAGGTTGGAGGGGCGAAGGGAGTGGCCCATGGCGGTGGCAAGGGGATCACGCACAAAACCCCCACTGCCTGCACCAGTTCACCATCAGCTCAGGGGTGACGGCCTCGAGCTTCGCAAACGTCGGGCTCATGCCCACCGTCCTAGCCAGCTCGTACGTCCGAGCTTCCGTGCCCCCTTCCACCAGGGCCTGGTAAAAGTCCAGCAGCTTGACCGCCGGGTTCCTCTCGACCTGGTCCTCCACCGCCCCCGTCTCGGCCGCGCTCCGCTCCAGCGCCGCCACCCACTCAGAGAGAGGCACGAGCCCGCGGATCCGCCCCGGACCGTAGAACCCCCTGATCCCCTGGGCCAGCAGCGCCCACTTGGCAGCGGTGGGGTTGATACCGTGGTAGTAGCCCTCGACCTTGTCCTCGTCCTCCCCGGCCGCCCAGCCCTCGCGGCGCGGCAGGACCCCGGCGACCTCGAGCACCAGGGTGGCCACGTCCTCGACGGGCACCCAGTCGACGTCGGCGGCCATGCCGCCGCCCAGGTCCGAGGGGAGCAGGCCCAGGTGCAGCGAGCTGCGGACCAGGGTCGGCAGCCACTCGCGGCGCGTCCACTCGCCCCTCCGGGACCGCGGCCCCGCGATCTGGCCGACGCGCACGATAGCGCTCGGGACCCCGCCGCGCGCCCGCGCCTCGTCCAGCACCAGCGACGCCACCAGCTTGGACTGCCCGTAGCCCATCCCCGGCAGGCCGAGGTCGGGCAGCTGCCGCTCCGGCACGGGCTCCGGCCCCAGCCACCCCTCGACGGCGGCGATGCTGCTGACGAAGGCGATGGGCACCCGGCGCGCGCACGCGGCCGAGAGGTCGATCAGGTACCGGACGCCGCGCACCCACGGCTCAAAGGTCGCGATGCTCATGTTGAAGTTGACGGACCACGCGTTGTGCACGATGCGGTCCGTCTCGGCCAGTAGCCGCTCGTACACCTCCGAGGCCAGCCCGAGCCGGGGCTCCGAGAGGTCGGCGCGCAGGAACTCGGCTTTGGCCAGGGCCGTGTCGAGTCCCCGCTCCGTGTTTCCCCGGACCTGCCGCTCGCGCGCGTCCTCGGTCCTGTTGAGGCATATGACCTTGGCGACTGCCGGTGAGGCCTGGAGTTGCTCGAGGAGGTAGGATCCGAGTCCGCCGGTCGTGCCGGTGACGATGACGGTCTGCCCCTGAGTCCTCGCCGGGGGCTTTTGCTTCTGGGCGGCAGGGTCGGGGAGGCATTGGGTGTACTTGTCCAGCTGGGCTTGCATTATTTTGATGCTGGGATCGACTCCGTCGATCCCGCTGGTGTGGCCGTTCTGCTTGCTGTGACCGCTGACGACTTCCCGCATCAGGTACGAGGACAGCAGGTTTGGAGTGGGGTTGGCATAGATCAGCCTCGGGGCAACTGCGTCGACCGGTAGCTTCTTACTGGTGGCAGTGCCTAAAGCCTTGCGTAATATTCTCGCCGCCTGTATGGTGGCCAGGGAATCTACCCCAGCGGTGTAAAAATCCGTGTCGACATCCAAGGTCGCGCCCCTTTCCTTGAGACCGGCCAGGCGCCTGAACAGCTCCGCCAAAGACTGTGCGAGCGCCTGGTCCGAAGATAGGTCTGGGACAAAGCTACCCCCGTTGAGAGGATCCTCGTCGCCATCGCGATCGAAGCCGTCCTGCCCACCAAAATTCTCGTATAGCGCCGCCGCCTCTTCGGCGTACAGCTTCACAGCAGCGAACCGCTGAATGGTGCCCTTGGCGGCGCGCGGGAAGGGCTTGTCCGGCCGGGTGACGGCCACCAGCTCCCGGACGATGCGGCCGTGCGCTACCGTCTCCCTGTTGGCGCGCTCCACGGCCGGCCAGACGCGGGCGATGAGCGCCTCCTGCTCCTCGGGCGTCGCGGCGGCGTCGTCGGCCGGCTCGACGAAGAGAGCAGGCTGGAAATAGCCCTGCCCCACGACGAGCGCGCTCTTCACCTCCGGGAGGCGCGAGACGGCGGCCTCGATGCTGACGGGGTTGAGCTTCTCGCCGTTGGAGAAGACGATGATGTCGTCGGAGCGCCCGTGGTACCCCCAGAGGTTGGGTACGGTTGGGTGCTTGAAGTACAGGTCCTTGGTGCTGTACTCGGTCGCTTCGGGGAAGACGTAGAATGGAGCCTGGTCCCCTGGATCCTTGGCCTTCCGCAGAATGACCTGCTCGTATAATGTGCCATCCTCGCTCTCTCCGAATTTGCGCCAGTCGATACACGTGGCCTCTGTATTGATGAGGAACCAGTTCCACAGCTTCGGGTCCGTCTGTCGATAGTAGTAGAGCGGAGCCATTCTAATTAGAGGGCGTAGTTCGAGCGTTAGCGAAGGTAACCGAGGCCAGACCAATAGACCTGTTCACCAAAAGGAAGGATTCAAACTAACTCGGTAGCGGCGATTATGTTCGTGAGCCTCACACCTCTCCCAACCAGCGTGTTCCCAGCCTCCTGGCTGAGCGGGCCACCTCCAAAGGTGACTCTCTCCAGCTTGGCCAGCGCCGCAACGGCCTCGGGCATGTGACTCATCTCCTCCAGGATGGCGGGCGGCAAGACGACGACATCCACGTTCGCGTGCTTGACCGCGTCCATGACGGTCTGGGGAGTGAGAGGCTTGTCCGGGAAGCCCAGCGCGAAGGGCTGGTCGAAGAAGAGGCTGGACGTGAGGCTTACGTATAGGCCGGCGGCGTGGAAGAGCGGCATTGGCGAGAACACCCGGCCCGCGCCGAAGGTGTCCCAAAATATTGACCGGCACCCCCTGAAGTCCGGAACGGCGCGGCTAAGGTCTATGGTCGCAAACGACCCGGCGCGCGCCACCACCGGCTTTGGCAGGCCGGTGCTCCCGCTAGTGTGCAGCACAAAGAGGGGATCCCACCTGGCCTCCTCGAACGTGCGCTCGTAGGGCACCACGGGGGCCGGGCGCGTGCTGCCCTCGCCGAGCCACTCCGCCACCGACGCGGCTTCGAAAGCCTGCATCCCTACGCGGCCTTTGATCCACACGGCGGCCCTATCCTTGAAGGAAACATCATAGTAGAGCGCGCCGCAGCTAGTTTTGTCAAAGAGGTTCAGTTGCGCCTGCAGCGAGTTGCGGGGCGAGATAAGGAGGGCCTTGCAGCCGGCCTTGACGCAGGCCAGCAGGAAGATATGGTAGCGCACGTCGCTCGGCCCGACGTAAGACAGAGTTGGGAAGCGCGTGGTGTACTCGTCCGATGCTCGCAGCATCGACCCGATGGCTGCCGTGTCATCTGTCTGTGGTCGCGGGTGTCGTTTTATGAGAAGTGCCGCGACACGGTTGACGGCGTCGGCGAATTGGCCAAATGTGATGGGGCGCCAGCCATCACTGGCCTTGTCTGAACGTGGCATCGACAGCATCTCCCGGCCCGGCTGGGTCCGCGCCATCTCATCCAAGATTGTGGGTAGGAGGCGCCTCCCGAACTGGGGCCTGGCGGTCGCTGTCTCTGTTGCTGTGGCCATGGCTAGGTATGATGGAAGATAACTTATACAAGATGATAATTCGGGGAAGATGTGCAAATCAGGGAATGATGTATAGTGAAGGGAAGAAAACCAATTCGAGGAGGGTCTTGATGCTAACAACCCCAGACATATATACATAATCAGTCCCCTCTACGTCGGCGCTCATAAGGACACCCTAACCCGCTGAGGGGATTGCCTTTACTCAACTATTTCATCCTACCGGATCCTGCCTACCTATACAGGTATTGGTGCGGAACCCCGGAAAAGCCCGTTGGTGACACAGCCGGTGAGGTTGAAGCTAGACGCGAGGCCGAAACGCGAGCAAGACGCGGGGCCGAAACGCGAGCAGAGGCGTAGGCCGAGTCCAAGACGGGCCCCTCGGGTTGGGATGATGATGGCGTAGTGACTGTAAACACCCCAAACATCTGCAGATCAAATTAGTTGTGCCGATCTCAAATAGAGCTACAGCACAAGAGGACCAACGAAAGTGGGAGATCTGAGAGCACGGGAACGGCGGCCGAGGCGGCTTACTGACGTTCCAACCCGTGGTCCCGTGGGAAGTATTGATGGTTCACGTCTGCCCGGAGATAGGCGACCGGAAATGGGAAACTAGGCATGTTTTGACGCCGATGGTAACGTCGGAGTTTGATTTCCCGCCGACGTATTGTACGGTACAGAAGCTGTGCGTGCGCAACAGCACAGTGGACTAGGTAGTCAGCTCCGTCATGGGTGAGGTGAGGCTTTAGCTACGAGTATGGATGAGGGATCGAGGTTGGCATCCATGGCAGTTTATCGATGCCGGTGTGGGTTCGGCTCTTGACGACACGGATCTGGGAATAATTCGGAAATGGCAAAGATGTGATACTAGTACCCTAACCCTGAAAACGGGGAACTCAGGCGGATTGATGAAGGCCCCACTAAATATTTTTTTCTTCAAGCTTGAGCCCGCGAACTCAACCTGCAGAATTGAATGGCGAGCCGAAGCATCGACAAGAAATTATCGACCATCGCGCTCAACCAAGCCATCTGCCAGCCACCACGGGGCAGAGCAACCACATAAGCAATGGCAGGCGCAGGGAGCACAACATCTTCACTCACTTCGACCTCACATACCCTCACCCACGCCCCAATGGCGTCGGCTTCGAGCGACATGCCACCCCCGCCCGAGGGCCTGGCCGCCCTCCTGAGCTCCATGCAGGTCGCCAACCGCCACCAGTTTATGCGGCCCCCGCGCACGACTCCGACCGCCTCCCTGTACCTCGCAAAGGACACCCTGGACGCCTTCGCCGGCCAGGTCAGCGACGAACAGCAGGCCCGCCTGCGCGATGCCAACAGGAAGCGCAAGCGCGGCGGCGGCGACCTCGACCGCGCCGATGTGCTCAAGGTCCGCAAGCTGCACGTCGACGGCTTCGAGACGAGCCAGGTCTGGCAGCAGGCCAAAAGGATCATCAACTCGACCCTGTCCGAGTCGCTGGCCGCCTTGGAGGAGCTACAGGAGGACGGCGAGGTTCTGGACGGCGAGCAAAATGGCAACGCCAAGATGCTCGAGTTTGGTAAGGATGGTTTCGAGGTTGGATCCGACGGCGACTCGGAAGATGACTCGGACGCCTCTCGCTCCTCACCATCCGACGCCGAATCTAGAGATGAGGAGGACGTTTCCGCCGAGCTCTCGGACGAGGAGGGCGTTGATGTGTCAGATGACGACGAGGATGCATTGGAGGGGGATGAAGAGCAGGAGGAGGGCGAGCGGGACGGCGAGGAGGAAGGCTCGGACGCTGATTCAGATGCTGGGCAATACATTGAAGACCCGAATGGTCTCAACGACGGTTTCTTCAACATTGACGAGTTCAACAAGCAAACACAATGGTTCGAGGACCAGGACGCCAAGGCCGACCCGAACACGGATGTTGTTAGTGAAGATGAAGACCTTGATTGGCACACCGACCCCATGGCCCCCTCAAAAACCAAGTCCAAGTCTACGCCATCATCGTCGAAACGACCTAACAAGGAAGAGATCACGTCTGATTTGGAAAACGACGAAGAGGATGATGACGACGAAGAGGATGATGACGACGAAGAGGGGGGTCCAACTTTTGGGGACATGGACCTGGACGCACCGGAGGGTGCGAGCGACGACGAGTTTGGCGGCGATATAGAAGGCGATCTCGAGGGTGGAATGGATCTGACGGCGGACGACATATTCTTCAAGGACTTCTTCGCCCGACCGCCTAGAAAGGCTCAAAAAGGAGACAACAAGCGTAACAGGGACTACCGGCCGAAGCAACCCAAGGAGTACGACGTTGAGGCCGCCATGGAGGGCGTCAAGCGGGATCTGTTCGATGACATGTCGGAGGGTTCGGGCTCCGAAGGTGCGCTTTCTGATGTGGAGGCTGGCGACCCCAAGGCGCGGAGATCGGCACACGAGAGGCGGCAGGCCAAAATCACCGAGGAGATCCGCAAGCTTGAGGCAGCCATGGTGAAGCCAAAGGAGTGGACGCTCTCAGGAGAGGCGGCGGCTCCCGATCGGCCGGTGAACTCGCTGCTGGAAGAAGACCTAGAGTTCGAGCATGCCGGCAAGCCCGTGCCCGTCATCACGGAGGATGTCAGCGAGAGCATCGAGCAGATGATCAAGCGCCGCATCATTGCCCAGGAGTTCGACGAGGTCATCCGCCGCGTCCCAGGCTCCGAGCTGCCGGTCAACACGCGCAGGGGTCTGGTTGAGGTGGACGACACCAAGGCCAAGCAGGGTCTCGCCGAGATGTACGAGGAGGAGTACGTCAAAAACGCAAACCCGGACAGCTACGTCAGCCAGTCGGACGAGAAGCTGCGGCGGGAGGAGAAGGAGGTGGAGCAGATGTGGCGCGACATCAGCGCACAGCTCGACGCCCTCAGCAGCTGGCACTACAAGCCGCGGCCCGCCGAGCCCTCGCTCACCGTCGTGGCCGACGTCGCCACCGTCGCCATGGAGGACGCGCAGCCCACGACGGCGCAGGGCGTCTCAGGCGGCGCCAGCACGCTCGCCCCGCAGGAGGTCTACCGCGCCGGCAAGGCTACGGCGGGCGAGGGCGAGGTCGTGCCCAAGAGCGGTCTGCCCGTCGCGCGCCAGGAGCTCAGCCGCGAGGACAAGGTGCGCCGGCGCAGGCGCGAGAAGGAGCGCATCCGCAAGGCCGGCGGCGGCGCCGACGCCGCCAGGGGCAAGGCGCCGCCCGGCAAGAAGGCCCAGGAGCGCAAGGAGACCATGGCGGACCTGCGCAAGGGCGGCGTCATGGTCATCAATCGCCAGGGCGAGATCATGGACGTGGACGGGAATAAGCCCAAGGCCGCCTCCACCATGTCGAGTGGCGCCTTGAAGCTTTGAGGATGTATGTTAGTTTACAATTTTGCTGCTTATATATCAATCGAGAATGTAACACCAATCTCCTAACGCTTTCCAATGCGGTGTTATCTCCAAGCTTCTCGACTCATTCCTGACTCCCTTCCTGCACAAGCTTCATGGGTCGCATTCCGATACCTCCCAGCTCTCAAATCCGGTCCATTGTCTTTCATTTCGTCTATCATGTCTCTGTTCCTAATCTAAACTTGCGATTCGGCATCCAGATAATCATAAGGTAGTAAAGATTCGCCCAGTATCAACGGTATCAAGGAATCGTCTGAGCGTGAGAAGAATTGAATCAAATTCACGGCACCCCATATTAAAAGGTATCCGCGCAAAAACAGAACTGCCCAGCCGATTGGCAAGACGAGCATCCCATATTAACGGGAACCCATGTCGATATGTCCACCTCTGCGGGAAAGTCTTCGGGTTGGCCAGAGTTCTGAAATTCGAGTGTTGCAGGCGCTGGTGTGGCGTCCTCATGGGTTGTTATCCTTGGCCCTGCATGAGCTCCGGCAACCGGGAATGAGATGGTGTGTTGGACGTGACGGAGCCCCGGGCCTTCCACAGTGCCCCGGTGGCCAAAACCAGACGCGGCCATGGATCTGTATGGGCGCAACGGGACATGATGGGAAGAGGGCTGCGGCGGGGCAGTGTCTGGAGGTGGAATGGGACCGCGGTAGCCTCCTCTACCCCCTTCACCCTCGGAGGCGACCCTCTGGGTCCTGGGTCGGCGCATGACTGCTGGGTCTAGGGCAAACTCGGACCTTTCCCGGAGCCGATCCGTCATGAAGGCGATGAAGAATGCCGCTGTGGCCTCGCTAACCTCGTTAGGGAGTGCCGGGATGCTCTCCTCGAGAGCCTGGGCCAGCCCAGCTTGTTCTTGTCGCAACACGTCTTCGATTTCGAATAGTTCATAGCACGTTGCTGGCTCCCAGCCTTGAAAGAAATGCGCGAACGGTCAGTCTTGCCACGTGTGGGCACGGAATCTCAGCAGAATACCACAACGAAGTGTTGCCTTACCGGACGAAGGTACCGTGGAATCTCCAGGGAAGAGCAGGTTCCAAAGGTCTCCCCAGCTGCTCACCCTATTTCCTGGACTTCGGCTCATCATCACATTCAACGCTCTCTCCGTGATGCCGTCCTCGGGATCCGGGGGAGCCGATGTAGGCGCTTCTTGACAAGCACATGGTGGGTCTCGTCGCGAGTGCTCCGCGCGGTCGATACTTGTTGCGAAGGAAGCGTGGCAGCGATCGCACGTGTAGCGGGATCGCCCAAAGGTTCCATGGTGAGTTTCAATGTGTCTCCTGGAGGGGGTTGCATGTAAGCGTCTCTGAAAGTGATCGGAAAACCGCACACATGGATGGGAGATTCCCTATGCCCAGCCACATACTTCAAGAGAGGCAAGCTGTCGAAACAGCCACTTGTGCAAGCTGGGCGGTCTCTAAAGTTGAACTTCCTTGGGTTCCGTTTTCTAAAAGGGCACGCCAAGTTGGATCCACCCTTCCTAATGCGCTTGGTGAGATCGTTCGGCGCGACGCTAACGCCTTCCTGCGACTCATTGATCTCGTCCAAGGGACGCTTCCTGCTGCGAAAGGGGGGATCCATTATATGATCGCTTTCCCCAGAGACAATGCCTGGACTTGGCGTGTTGGGGTCCGGGTGGTGCGAAGGACTGTAAGACAGGGTGGTTGACAATGACAACAGGCTTAGGCAGGCCAAATCAGCATCTTCGTCTTCTGTGACCCGGCCAGAGGCATGGTATGCGAGATCTTTGAGACAGCGATACAGTGCCATCCAGGCACCTAGTGGTCGTTTCAGATCCTCGAGTTGAGTCCTGAACACGCAGTACAAGATATCTGGCAGCATTGCATCTGTCTGGCGGCAGAGATCCCCAAGCGGACCCTTGCCTCCATCGACTGGCAGTCGAAGGGAGAGTCCACCAGGCGGTAGTTGCGCACACGGATCACCTCCATCTGAGCAGAGCTGGCGACCGCTTGGGAGCCAATTCATGGTCTTGACAGGGAATTCCCCATTGAACTGGAGTTGAGGCTGGGTTGGCAGGCGAGATTGGCATGGGCAAATTCAAGTATGATGGAGGAAGGGAGACCTAGTATTCTTAACTGGGGAGGTCCGCGTGCGGGTGCGTGTGTGGGGGTGTATAAAAGCGAACGTACCTAAGGCACCACGAGGATGGCGTGGAGACCTACACAAGGGTTCACGCATCGGTATCAGACGTGTGGCCCCCAAACTAATTTGGTGTTGCAAATCTAGTATTGTAGGGCCTGACTGGGCTGAGCTTGATCCCCAAGAGAAACGACAAGATGTTGACTCCGCGACTCATTAGGCAAACCAAGGTAACAATTGTTGTCTACTGTGTACCCCTAACATTTACGAGGATGAAGTTTGCCTGCACACCCCCATCTTGAGGGTGTGGGATTTGGCTTGATTGGTTACGATAATGGTGGCGCATACAATGCTCTCCATGATTTGCTCATACAGAACAGGTTGATTCCGTGCTAGCTGAGATCAAAACAGTGAATACTGGAGCCGCAAAGATGGCGGACCGTGGTTCGCATTCGTGCTCTTGAGGCTACTTATACAAGGAGCAGCGAAGGATGGAGGCCCTGTTTTACGGAAGCTTCACTACTAAGCAAGCTCCCCGGACTGTTTGACCGATCCGACACAAGGAAATAAGGCGACAATGGCCGCCCCAATGGATATTCAGCTAGATTCTGACATAGATCAAGCCGACCATCCACGTATGGTGTATAGATCTATTCGGTTTTTGACTTGATGAGCCTATAAATGCGATTCCGTAACGTTGGACGAGACAAGGCCTCTGAAGAAAAGGCTGCGAATTTTGGGGATATAAAAAGATGCAAGCAAAAAGAGCACAGGGAATAGAATAGGACAGCTTAGCCCGCCCTTTCAGAGCAGCACACATACCACCTGCTGCTGTGGTCGTCGGGCGAGGTAAGGCTGGGTTGAGCGAGGCTTTGCCGTCTCCCGGATTATTGCCTTGCCGTTTCCCCGCCCCACACAAGTTCGACAGCAAGTCCAGCCAATCAACAGCCATCGTTTTCTAATTAGCGCAGCGCCGCAGTCGCCACAGCCAGGCAATCAAGTTGTGGCCGAGCCGAGGGGACGTCGAGATCTGAATTGCGTTGCCGCCTCTCGATTCGCCCCGACCTCAATCGACAAGGCCGGAATCCCCGTCAGAAACCTCTCCACTCTGCACCAGCCTTGGGAGGTCCCTGGAGAACCTTCCAAGCTGTTTGTGTCCTTTCTTCTTATTTTCCCCAAATCACAATGGCGTCCGCATTGAGGACGACGGGCTCGCTGGGCCTCAGGTGTACGTTCTTCTCCCTTCCTCCATCGCAACCAACCGACCGCGGACCGCAATTGGGCGACAGCGACGAAACTACCCCATGCTAGGGCCGGCTCCGCGCGCGGGCCGCATGCTCCAAAGCCTGCTAGATAGACAAGCGCCGTTGCTGACAATTGACCCTCCGCACCCGCGCCATATCCAGTAAAACCGACCGCGGCCCTCATCCCCTACCGCAGTGTGGCTGCCCTGTCGAGCTCGTCGAGGACACCGGCCGCCGCCACTTCGCACGGTCTCATCAAGCGCGAGAGGAAGGAGGTGCTCCTGCCGAGCCAGGAGCCCACCAAGGGCGTGGTTCAATATGCGCTGTACGTGGACCTCTTTCGCGTCGGATGAGTCTCGGAATGCAGGAGGAAGCAGCCGTCGCGGGGAAACATGGCGCCCGGGACGGCGACACCGAAGCAGATAAATCGGAGGAAACATGGCTGACCCGGACGACAGCACCACCCTCGATATCATGGCCAACTGGGCGCGCCAGGGCTCGCTCTGGCCCATGACGTTCGGCCTAGCCTGCTGCGCCATCGAGATGATGCACCTCTCGACCCCGCGGTACGACCAGGACCGCCTGGGTATCATCTTCCGCGCCTCGCCGCGCCAGTCGGACGTCATGATTGTGGCCGGCACCCTGACCAACAAAATGGCGCCAGCCCTGCGCCAGGTCTACGACCAGATGCCCGAGCCGCGCTGGGTCATCAGCATGGGCAGCTGCGCCAACGGCGGCGGCTACTACCACTACAGCTACAGCGTCGTCAGGGGCTGCGACCGCATCGTGCCCGTCGACGTCTACGTGCCCGGCTGCCCGCCAACGTCCGAGGCGCTCATGTACGGCATCTTCCAGCTGCAGCGCAAGATGCGCAACACCAAGATCACGAGGATGTGGTACAGGAAGTAAAGTGCTGGCGTGGCTGAGGGCTGAGGCAAAACGCGGGATCCGGCGTGGTTGGTCGGATGTCATGGGCGAGTCGCACAAGGGGAGCTCGAGGGGTTCGAGCGACGGGCTGGGCATGTACACATTTAGGCCGGCAAGGGTGGTTGAAGTGTGGCGAGTATAAGGGCCGGTAAAGAATTAACTGAAACATTGCATATTTCGGTGCTTAACTGCCCCAGGGGCCGACGGGGAGCTGGGCGGAAAGGATCCGTATTTGGCGGGCAGGCCGTCTTCATCGCGGAGAGCGGCCGCGTGAGGGCTAGGTCGATACAGCGCCAGGCCTGTGCAACGAGGCGCGGCTCGCTAGTGGGTCCGCGCTCCCGCCACTCTTGGTGCGGCAGGGGGAGGTCCCCGGACCGGAGGGAAGCCTGCCGTCAGGGCCGAGTGCCGCGTGGACTTTACGGTTGTAACCGACGTGGCCGTGTACAGCACCATAAAGGGCAAAACATCGGGGAAGATTGCGCAAGAGACAGCCAAGATGCATTGATACAAGAGAGCCCTGACCTCCAAAGACCCTTTGCTAAATGCCACCCGGCGACCTATATGTTCCTGCCAACACCACCATCAAGCTGCCACTTGCCATAGGCAGTGCCGGAGGTATGCACAGAGCAGGCCTCACCAACGGGGAATATAATACGGCAGCGCCTCGAAGGCGCACTCAAGATGGCATCTGCAGAGGGCCACGGCGTGCGCCGTGGCCTCCGCCTCCGTCTCGGGGGATGGCCACCTTCTGTTCCCAGCTCAACGAGTCGATCTTGTAGCGGCCGCCGCCATCGACGGGTTTGATAGGGAAGGTGTAAAACGTGAGGCGCGAGAAGAAGCGGATGATGTGAAAGACCAAATTTCCGGCCTCGTCGGGATTCATGGCCAAGAAGTACCACTTGTCGTCCTGTTCCTTGGGCCGGAAGCCGACCTGGAGGCGCTTGAAGTCTGCCTCGCTGATGTCGATGTCCCACGGTACCGTCTTGGGCTCCTCCATGACGGGTACCACGTACGGCCTGGGCACTATGTCTTCGAACTCCGCTTCATCGGAAGTTGTCCGTCCGCTGTTTGGCATTCTCATTAGTAAAGTACCTACCTAGGTAGGTAGACAGAATGTATGACCAAGCTCCGCTATGGGGATGCTAGTTCGTACATTTCTTGTGGCACCGTGTTCTCTGTCGTGGTTGCTTCCGGCATGGTGTCTTTTAGCACGCCGCTTACAGGTGTGGTTTTGTGCTGTTGGTGTGTCCCATAGGGAGCTAGGAGGTACTTGTTAGCAGCCATATCGCGCATGAGGTGCGATTTGGAGGTTAGTACAGACCAGACCGACACAATGGAGACGAATCTCAGTGTACCTGCGGGAATAGTCTAGGAACCACTTGTGTGACGAGTTTCCTTTTCAAAGAGGGCGATAGATGAGAGGAGAGTGACGAACGAAGGGTAGTTCGTTTTCGATCAAACCCCGGAAATTATTAGAGGCGCACGCGGGGATACCAGTGTGAATTTTAATCACCCTGGTGAGGTACCAACACGTCCCTAGCACACAGGGGCAAGCACACTCCTCTTGCGCAGCGTGATTAGTTGCCTTGGGTTGTTTCCGCGAGCGCGCACTCGAATGTGTCGGCCGAACTCGTCCGAAAGGCGGCCCCGCCCTGTATCTACGGAGGGATCGAATGTGAGTAGTCACAGGGTAGGCAGGTACCAGGCATCTACCTACCTAAAAAGCACATCTGCTGGAGATGAGAAAAAACGCGAGCCGCATTACCGCTCCGACTGTCCAGGCCCCTTGCCTTGTGGGCCTTGTCGAGCATGAGAGCGTCAGTGTCCCGGAGGCTGTCGAGAGGCAGCCTCAGGGCCTTCCCAGAACGGGGTCCGCGCAAGTGCCGCCCGGCTGCCAGCCATGGATCTAGAGTGGTTCCGCCGTCATTGTGTCTGCCCAGGGGCGATGTTGGCCTTTGTCATCGTGTCCCTTTTTCCCCCGCGTGTCCCCGCTGCGAGATGTACGAATCCACGAAAGTTTGGTGTAGGGTGTGGTTGCGTCTTGGCTGTTGGAGCAGCTCGTAGCCCTTCACTTTGATGCGTAGGTACCACAGTTACGCCACCACCTCGAGCCGACTACCTGTGAAGTAGGTACCACGGCCTCTCAGGCGGCGCGCGGGAGCCCAAACGGAGTCCGTCGCGTTAAAGTAGCCGGCATTGGTCGTGCCGCGCGAGACATTGGTCGGACAAATAGCTTATCAAGCGAGTGTCGCTCGTTGTGGCTATTGTTGTGTTGCCGATAGAAGCTGATGCGACTGACAAGTTGCTTCTACCCGCCCATCACGGGGCGTTGCCCGCGATTCTGAGCCTTGACCAGACGTTCAGATATCTCCTAGGCTTGGAGAGGGCTCTACCTGCCCCCAACTACCGTCACCCCATAGAAACCCGCTGGTACATTCTCTACTTCCAAAGCGATCGCTCAGGAAGCAAACAGCTTCCCAAATCGTATAGCAAACATCTCAAAAGGTCCCGATCTGGTCTGGCAAACAAAATGCTGGCGCTTGATTGTGCTCCTATAAGCTAAGATAGTCGATTGGTCCTTGGCTAAAGCTACAATTAGTAGTGTGCGAAGAGTAGATCAAAATGGAAGCAAGCGAGAGTGAAAAGCGGGGAACGATGATAACACCAAAACTCCTCCACGCCAGATTCTAACAGTCCACCAACAATTTCCTTCTCATCTCCAAGCGGAAACGCGATGCCACCTCCACCAAACTGTGCATATAAAGCCGTTGCCGATGGTGGACGCTGAGTCCCAATATGTAGGTATATACCGTGCTTTCTCATGAGAGGGCGCGTACGTATTTCTCGACTTGGTTGGGCCGGAGGGTGTCAGGCACAAGGGTCGGGCCGGGGAAAACCGGGCGGGTTGCAGGTGATTGTTCGCGGCGTATCCAGCGGTTAAACGTGCTCGGGGTCGACGCTGAACCAACAGAATAGCTAGCGAGATATTGATCCATTTTCGAAAGGATTCGCGTGTCTCCTCGCCGGCTCGTCCAGTCCTGCATGTCGACACTGTACAGGTGAGGGCAACCGTGACGGCTCTCAACACGGGCAGCACCAGGGAAGGAAATAGAACAAGAAGGAAAATGATGTGGCGCCCCCGACGAAGAAGGTCTGACCATGCAGCAGGGAGCTGACTACTCCTGGCCGAAACCCATGGTTTCTTCAACGGCAATAGTCATCTTCTGCTGCAGGACCTCGAGCGACTTGTATGGCGGCAAGTCAAGGCGGTTAAAGCTATTGTCCGGAATGTTAACACTGTGGTCCTCCGAAAGTCAACAACTGGCAAGGTCTCTTCAATGCACATACCAGGTGTGTGCCTTGGGCAAGTTGTTGATCTCCCCGGCCTTCTCGATCGTGAACCTCCTCGGCCCATCGCTACCCTGGAGGTCCTTGAATCCGTTGACGGGGATACGCGAGGTTCCCGTTGTGAACTGAAGGAGCCGTGACTTCTGCTCGCCATCCCAGGACCGGACAGTCTGCCAAAAGAACTGGATAACCTCGTCCGACTCGGTGTAGCCCCTGTAGTCCGTGTGCTTCTTCCAGTCGTCCACGTCGATCTCTGCAATGCCACCGATGAGCAGTTCGAGCTCGCGCTCATCGAAGACGTTAATCAGGTCGATCGGGATCAGTTCGTGAAATCCAACCTTGAAGGCCTCGAACTGCTCTGCAATGCGCTTCTCGATGCGCCACTTCACCATCAGGTCCACGTATTCCTTCTTGTTCTCGTTGGTCACGTCAATGTCGCGCCCGTTCGGGATCAGGTCTTCCACCGTGATAACACCAAACCGCTCGTCTTCAGTGGAAAATGTTTGCTCGAGGATACCACCCGAGATGTCATTGTCGATCATCCACTGGAGAGAGCGGTGGAAATCGGCATCCACACCCTCCATGTCGGGCAGGGCCACCGCCTTGCCAAGCACCATCTTGTACAGAGCCCCGATGAAGAAGGCGTCCAAGAAGCGGCGGTGGAAGATGGCCAGTCCAACAACACGACCAATGAACTTGAAGTAGTTCAGATGTTCGGGGTTGATACCCGAGTGGGGATTGATCTGCAGCGTGTAGTTGTCGTGCGCCGAGTACTCGAATAGACAGTAGAATGGGTTGAACATCTCGTGCGATAGCAGGAAGAAGAATTCTCGAGAAAGACCTCCGTAATCGAGGCCGTCCTCGCCGTCGAACTTGATCATGAGCCTCTTCTTGAGGTCCGTGGCCGACTGGCGCGAGATCTCGGCAAACGAGTCTTCGAAGATGTGCGATCGGCGCACCTTGATGTGACACTGGCCCGACAAGATGCGCATCGCGGGCTGGGAGCGGAAGTAGATGAGCTTCCTCCTAAAGTCGCGCTTATACTGCGGCACGTTCTGGTCTAGTGAGGACGGTAACCTGGGGTCGTCCCAAGTGGTGGTCTTGGTGTTGTGATCGACAAAGTAGACCCTGGCCGTGTTTGTGAGCCGCATCTCCCAGCCGCTAGGCAGGGGGCCGAGCTGCGAAACCGGCTGTTGCTGGATCGTGCCGTTCGCATTGTTCTGCCCACCGTACATGCGGATGTACTGCTGCCTGCGGGGATCGACCCAAGTTGTGGTGCGGGTGTTGTGGTCGACAAAGTACGAACGGCCCTCAGGAGTGAAGCGCTGCTCCCAGCCGGGGGGAAGCTCGCCAGTTCCAGGGCTGGTGGCGCCCGTGTGCATCATGGTCTGCGAGCTTGCCGCCTGGGCTGCCGCGACAGCCTGCTGCTGCTGGAGACTGGGAGAGTTGGCACCGGTCCGGTCCTCTGGCAGGGTTCGGTTCTGGTGGCGCTGGCGCTCAACCTGGGTAGCCGCCTCCTGGGCATTGCGCGTCTCCGTCGTGCCGCCTGCCGCCGTGGGACGGTTCCAGCTGGTCGTGCGAGTGTTGTGATCCACGTAGTAGGTCCTGCCTAGGTTGTCCTCGCGCCGCTCCCAGCCGGCCGGGAGACGACCCTGTGCATCCTCGAACGGGCTCATAGCACTGCTGTGGCGATTCTGCTGGGGGGCGCCATTCTGTGGTGCGGCAGGAGCGGCCATCATGCTGGCTGGACGTGCTGGCTGCGGGAAGCCTTGGTTCGGGTTTTGCCCCGACATGGCCGATGTCGGGCGGTTGTCGGGGAGCCTTTCGGGGCCGAGCGAGGTGGATGAGCCCTGGGGAGTGGCGGCGCCTGGGCGGTGGGGCACGGACAGCTGCTGTTGCTGCCCGCGGGCCGGGGTGGACAGGTTGGTCGACAAGTTTACTATAAGCTTGCCGTGCACCACAAGGTTGTCGGTTGACTTTTTCAAGTCCCGGGTGAGCATCTGGTCTGCATGAGAAAAGGGGTTTGGTCAGCGGAACCAGTTCAAGCCAGCAGTTGAGGGAAGTGGTGTGGTATTTTTGGCGCACCGTCGGCATCAGCCGCAAGTTCGATAATGTCGCCAATCCGGATATTGATTACGCCCAGAAAGCCCTGGTCCTTCTTCTTGAACTTCTTCTGGTCAAAGACTTGGACAGCCAGTATGCTGTCCTCGGTTACACGGCTGTCAAGTGAATGAATGGTGAGCAGATGTTCTGTCGACGGGGAGGCTTTTGACCGTAGGCTTTGAAAAGATGGAAATCATACAAGTCGAAGCTCTCGTTCCAGTAGGGATTGAGGGTTCGCTTCGAAACCGAGGTTGTTTTGGTCTGTTCGCTGTTGATCGTGGCGACGGCGAAGGGGTCGGGGAATCCTGAAGACGAATGTTAGACAACAGGATGCGACGACGGCAGCATTCACAGTGTTGCGGGGTATGAGGTGACACGTACGGAAGACATCTCGCTTATAGAGCCCATCGGCGGCAATGACTGCGCACGCCTGTTAGTATTGGCGATGACAACGTGAGGTGGAAGGACGGGGTAGATCAGCATGTACTTGTTACTCGTAGATTCGGTTGGCTGGAGAGTCAGAGAGTCAGCGACGACGCCCTCACAGAAAGCACGCATCGGTCGGCACAAGCTGGGATTGAGAGCGATTGGGAGCAGGGGAATAGCAACATACGCCGGAAGGCCCGCGTTTGGGCGAGAGCCGCTCATCTCGGCGACGGCGGGCGGCAGACGAGCAAAGCAATGAGAGACAGGGCTGCCACAAAGTCGGGGTGGTGGTTGGTGTCGGCACTCCAGCCGAGTGGTTTTCTAGGGAAGCTGCAGCTCGGCAGTCCGACGGTAGCTCGCGAGAGCAAATCGAGTTGGCTCCGTCGCAGGAAGCGACCTTTGTTCTGGTGGGGATGTGGACGACGAGGAGGGATGGACGTGGCTCCAAATCGCAGATGGGGGAGCGGTTCGGTGGCTGCGACGACAACGACGACTACAGAGTGCAGCGCCGCGCTTCACTGTGAGGCTGTGTCTTTTCTCGGGCTCCCCCGCTTCAGGAATCCTAGACCGGGGTGGCGGTTGGGCGATGGCAAATGGGGGAAGGGCAGCTGATGGATGGGCTGTGTGGTGCCTGTGCCGCCAGCCGAATGCGATAAGCTGATATGGCAAACTCAAACCGGATGGGCGTCAGGCTGGCTCCTTCGGTCGGCCACGGCGAATGCGCGGTCTTTTGTTCTCTTCGCTCTTCTCTGCTCGCTCTTTGTCCTTTTTCAATGTCCTCTTTTCCGCTCGCCAAATTGAAACAAGAACAAAAAAAGGCAGTCCGGACCAGCCGAGGATTGTGAGACCGAGGCGGGCCTGTACCAAAATTCGCTCTTCCTGACCAACAGGGGAGTGAGCGAGATGGAGTTTGGGGTGGGGAGGTCGAGCGGAAGGGACAGACACACAGACAGCCCAGGGCAGTGGTTGTGCGATCGACGCAGCGCCCAGCCTAGCGAGCAAGCCCGCTTACGGCTTGTCGCTGTGGCGGCTGGTGGTGGTGGGGGCTGCCTGTTGAGCCAGTATGCCAGTCCTCTCCAGGTCCTCTGAGACCCCACCCGTGTGTATTTTTGGGACTGCCAACCATCGGCTGCCCAATCAACTCGGCACAGGTGCACCATCTGGTCATGTAATCATCAATGTTGAGCCATATTTGCATTTCATTGTCTCTCGACTGGTGTCTCGTTGGTCGATTTGCAGCCTCTTGGGCCTCGCGCTGGCTCCGCGCATTTCTTCAAAAATGGACAGCCCGGAAAAGGCACCGGTGCAGCCAGCGTTTGAGTTTGAGCTGGAGAAAAGGGTGTCTAATGCTGACCTTGTGCTCACATTTCCTCCCTTCTTTCCGTGCTTCCTATCGCTTCCGCATGTATGCTTCATTATCATCTTTTCTTATTGCCAAGTCTCCAACCGCCAACTGAGTTTCTGTTCGCTTCGCCCCAGGCTGCTGGGGCTAGGCACTCTCGCGCGGCAGCAGCAGACGGAGCACGTTGGTGACGACAGAGGCGGGCCTTTTTTTTTTTTTGGATGCACTGACCAAGCCGCACGCGCCACACTGGTCCACAGACGTCTTCTTGGGCGTGGAGATGCGACTCCGCGATCGCCATAGCGACGTCAGTAGGAAGGCCCAGAACTCCACAGCCAATGCGACTTCCTTGCCAAGAACCGCGAGGACCGTGCGTCGCGTCACCCGTTATTCTCGCTGCGGGAGATGCTGCACTGTCTGCTGATGCCGGCCAGTTCCTTGAGAGCAACTCTCTGGACAGCGTATCGCAGGAACCTACCACCGTATGCGGGATGGAAGGACAGCAAATGCGGTGGTGGACGGGTTGGAGGCTCGGAGGAAAAACGAAACGGGGCTGATGGGAGGCCACGCGTCCCTGTTGGTTCCATTTGTTTTCCGCGTGCAACCTTGATATTGAGGCCGCGAACGAGACCCCCAGCAATCAAACAAACAAAGAAAAATGGCAGCTGTCCCCACCGAGAGCCGAGCGGCTATTGTCTGTGTTTGATGTGACTACGAAGGCGCTCATTAGACGCCACGCTTCGATGCATCTGCTGTGTGTAGCTCAGCAGAACAATGCATGCCATGCATATATCATTGCCCAAACTTGTCTCTGGGTGTGCATCTGGACCCCTACTTCAGCCTTGACCCCTTCAACTGCCATCACTTATTCGCCCGCTTCGAAGGCAGCGCTGAGGCAAGAGGTCGATGACTATAAACTGTACAAACTTTCGAATTCCTTTTCTTGTCCAGACGCCCCAGGAGATAAACGAAATGAATACTACACAGCACCTCGTGCCCATCTGTTTGTGGGCCCTCCTTCATACCAATAACGTTCTGTCTAACATACACCGCAAAGTCTGGGCTTGTGGTTTGGGGAAAGCGTCTCATGAGGTGCAAGCCTTGGATGAACTTGGCTATTATAATAGCGTGAGAAACTGAGGGAGAAGGGGGAGGAGGAAGAGAGATCGCGTTCTCCGGAGAGTCTGGGATGCAGCGTCTAGTAGGGCGCGTAGCTTCCCCGGCCGCGGCCACGATATCCGCCACGGTAGCCTCCCCTCGGAGGGAATCCGGCATAAGCACCACGGCCGCCGAACCCCCGGCCGCCTCGGCCCCTCCCACGCCCTCGGCTCATCCCTGGGTAGTTCGTCCGCTTCGGCACAACCTAAATGATGGGCATTGTTAGTTGGCAAGTCTCCATGACCAATCTGTGGTAGGAAGCTGTCGAACCTTGATGTTGCGTCCCTTGAAGACGCTCTCGTTGAGAACAAGCGCCTGAGCGACCAAGCTTGGCTCGGTGAACTCAACATAGGCATATCTGGCACGGTGGGTGGGGACCTCTGTCAGAACTGCCAATTCGGAGATTTTTCAATGCTCGAGGCAACTCCATGCGCGCCACTCACCCCTTAGGCTGTCCAGTAAACTTATCGAGGAGAATAGTGACCCGGTTGATGGAGCCACAGCTCTGGAAGTGGGCCTGAATCTCTTCGGGAGAGGCTGAGTAGTCGACGTTGCCCACGAAGATGCTGCGGCTGTCGACGTCGTCCCTAGATTCCGACAGCTCCTGGGTTTGGTGGTCCAGGTTCGCCTGCATCTCCCTAAGCTTTGCAGCCTCCTCCTCCATCTCGGCGACCCTCTTCTTCATGGCCGAGATCTCCTCCTAGATCCTCAGAAAAAGGTCATTAGCCTCCACCCACGCGACTCGACCAAGTCTGTCACGGTGAGCCAGGGGATATCAGTAATCACCTCGTCGTTACCATCTTCACCGGCGCCGTGGTCATTGTCATCTTGTTCTCGCTCGTCGGCCGCGTCGTGCTCGTCCTTCTTTACGTCGGCCATATTGGACTCGGGCGGATCCTGCGAGGGAAGACGAGAGCGAAGGAATATGCGAGGTAGAGGAAGAAGACGGCGCGTTTCTGTAGAGAAATCAAGCTTTTTGTCAGCGTCGCAAGCTTTGTTGTGGAGCGTCGAACACCGCCAAAGCCTCCTAGCGCAGCCTTGCCGCTGTTGGAGGCGCTGGGCGGCGCGCGCAATGGAATGGGTGAGCTGGCGCGCATAAAAGGTATGGCTGGACAAAGTGGCAGACGAAACCAATGAAAAACAACGTACTCTGCCGGTCCTGTATCCAACTGAGCCTCAAAGCCGACAGGCGGCTACCGGTCTATCTCAAGGCTGGCGCAGGTTGACGAGCGGTGCAAGACGGTGGTGGCCTGGGTCGGCCTTTGGGTTCTGTCCTGTCGAGCGGGAAGCCGAGATGAGATCGCGGTCGACAGGCGCGACCGTCCGTGCGCCTGGATCTGCGATAAGATAAGTCACGTGTCAGAGAGCCTCTAATGCTGACTCGCCGCAGCTTGGTGGGTCCGGAAACCAACGTCCATGGACGTCACCAGTGCGGGTGTCTCTCCATGAGGGTGCCGAGGCGTTTTTGCTTGTCTGGCTTTATATCACACTGTGCTAGCTCGCTGCCTGCCTCTACCGGCCTCTGACTCTTGGGCTCCCGACGTTGTTGCTCCCATGCACACTATGTCGGGACTTCCAAAAGTAGCGGGTTGTTGAACAATAGCCCTGGTTACCTTTCGAGCACTCAAATCCTGTCACGAGACCATCAGGCAGAGACGCTACTGTTACGACTGCTATATGTGATGCAAAGGGCGGTGCTTCTCTGCGATTCTCTGTTGCTTTTCTCGATATAGAGCACCGCTTGTTAAAGCCGGTTTCCGTCCGCACCTACTACCGGTCACGCCAGAAGCTGCTGTATCCGGAGTACCTCAAAATTCCCCATCTTATATTTTTGAAGTGCTCATGAGATTCTGTTTCCCTGAAGCCTTGTTTGCCCAACACAGTGCAGGCTGTTGCCCATTTGGGGAACATGCGGCTCCCTGACCGGAGAAGTGTCCACCAATCTCCATGTGGATTGTGGATTAGCAACCCGCGCAAAGCTGGGAGCTATTGGGGCGGGCGACACGGCTTCATGCGTCCGAAGATGCAGGAGGCCTTCTAGTCAGACAAGCGAATGACTAGACCAGTAGCCGGAGAGGTAGCGTACAAACAGTACAGGTGATTGGCAGCTGGCTGCCAGGAAAAGATACGCCAGGCCAATGTGATGTCCATCTGCCCTTTTTTGTTTGAGTAAGGCAAACGATGGTTGGCTGTCTCTGGCGAATCCTGACACGGCATTTCAGATGTCTGCACCTGCCTTCCCGGGCAGCACTGTGCCAGTGTTTGCCGCCCAGCGTTCACACAAATTCAACCCCGCCATTTTCCCCGTATTTATTTGGCTGCAAGTTCAGCTCCCACAACCCAACTTCTGGGCCACCGCAAACTCAGCCCGCCGCCTGGAAGATACCTCTAGTCCCCCACCCACAACACATTGAGGTGATTCTGGGGCAGCAACGAACCTTTGATCTACCGTACCTACTTTCGTCTTTCTAGATCGCATTTGTTCCTTCCTACTGCAAAGGACCTCGGCGTGCCACCATGGCGGCCACCGAGCTGCTGGATGCAGCTGGCACGGTCCAGACATGGTACAGCCAACGGTCAGGCCCAAGGGTCGATATCGTGGGCGACTTTGCTGGCAACGACCTCTTCGCTATCCATGGCGAGTCTCTGATGGCTCAGTGTATCAGCCAGGCAAAGGTTGACTACCAAGGTAAGGCACTCCCATCTCCTCCCCACCAAAAGCTATTGCGAAAACGGCGGCCAGCTCACAGCTTTGGTACCCAATGAATAGACGGATTCCAGCTTCTCCATGCGGTCCATGCGGTCGAAAAATTCCTCGCAGATCTGGAGCGATGCGGAGCTCGCTTCCATGTTGTCTGGTTCTCGAACCAAGAGCAACTCTGCATCCCGCCGCAGGCTTTGGAGGCCAACCATGCCAAGTATCACCTGACCCGCGCGGTTCTCATCGAGCACCTCAACCGCAATGCCGGAAGCGGCAGTCCCAAGGTCTCATTCGAGTTTCCGGGCTTATCTAGCCCCGAGTTTGAACTCTACCTTCAAGAGAGTGCGGTTCAATGCTTCGTGTGCTCGGATGGTCGCCCTGGGCCGACCGACTCTCCCAAGGACGATGAGAGACGCCAGAGGTGTCTGGACATCATCTTTCGCCTCAACACCCATGAATACAGCATCGCTTTGCTGGACGGCATGGTGATGACCTCGTCAAAGGTGTGTCCAACCCTCTATGTGCTCCATCTCAAACGGCCATCAGTCAAAGTTGATGTCTAACGTTGAGCTCTCCCAGGTCTTTACCACTGTCTTTTCTCCCCAGTACTCTTCGGAGCTTCCCTTGGCCCAGGACAAGACGAGCGATTGCAATGAGCCACGGATGAGCTCTCTCTGCTACGATGTTCTATCTGTGCCAGCCTCACATAGCTGGACGAAGTGGGAGGATGGCACTGCGCTGACTGCACGTGAGGCATTGACTGTGGCTGCTTTGGCGGAGCTGGCTGGCAAGACTGCTACTCTCGATTTCAATGCCATTGCCTTCCTGATCCACTTGGTCATGCTCAGCGAGCTGCCCCTCGCTCATCGGCGGTCTCCCGCACCACAGAAGCTTGAGGCCCAGGGCGGTTCCTTCTTGTCCCTGGTTGCCGAGATATGCGTCAACACAATCAAGGATGGCGCATGCACCGCCGCCGCCTCGATTCTCCGAGGTCTGGAGTGGGACCTATTCGACATGATCGATGGACGCTTGTTTCACACCGTATCAACGAGGCTCGACTCCACAAACCTTACGGACTCTGCCAAGGCAAAGTTGCTTCAATTGGCGGAAAAGATTGACCAGCTTTCTCCGGCGGCTGGCTGTAGCAAACTGGCCTGCAGCCTTGGCCAAACCATCGATCAATCTGAAGCGGCTCCGTCAAAAGACACCCCAGACAGCGCGCAAGACGTGCTTCCGTTCAGCCATCCTGTCCTGGATGACTTCTTCGGTGGAGTCAGTCTCGAAATCTCGTCGGCTCCTGAACGGGTGATCTCCACCGATATCTTCCGCGAGGTCTCGCATTGGCACAATGCCAAGAAAAAGCTTGGTGGCCGAGCCAAGCCGAGGCCTCTCGATTTCTGGGCCAGAAAGCGACACCAGAGACTCATGGCCGATACCATCTCATACGCGGCCAGTCTCTCTGGCGGCTCCGGGGCTACCATCAAGCCTGAGACAATCTTTATGGTGACGTCGGCTCCGGCTGAGAAGGCGCAGGACTGGAAGCTGGCCTTGCGGGAGAAGACGGCATCCGCCGCCGCCTCAAAGAAGGCCGCTGCCGCTTCCAAGAACGCCAAAAACAAGAAAGGAAAGACAGACTCCCCAAAGGATCCTCGACAGGCTGCCGCCCAGAAAGCAGACCTCAAGACCGCTGCAGCCCATCGTGTCTGGGACGTCAAGCGGAAGGAACTCGAAAAAGTGGCAGACTTGCAGAAGAGGCTGAAGATGACCGAATTATTCGAGTCCGAGTTGCTCAAGCCGGCCCAGTTGCACAAGCCGGCCATGAGCGAGTTCGCACACGACGTATCTCTATATATTTGCAAGATCCTCGCCGGAACGCTCAAGGATATCATGCCACGGGCAGTCGAGCACGAGTCGCCGGAGAGCGAGGAGGTTATGGATCATATCTGGCGACGAATCACCCACCTCAGAGGGCAGCCGCTTTCCGAAAGCCTATCTGCAGAGCTGAGCGAGTTCGCAGCAGCTTTACAGGGGTTCACAGAGCGAGCTGCAGCCGATGGAAAAAACACTCCAGGCACTTCGATCGAGTTTCAGCTTGAGCGCTACGGACCTTATATGGAGCGCGGCTTCGACTCGGCCCCCGACCCGCGTGTGCCCTTCAAGCCTGACGCGTGGCAGAGGAAGGTTCTCGACGCCATTGATGACAACAAGAGCATGTGCGTCATCGCGCCGACATCGGCCGGAAAGACCTTCATCTCCTTCTACGCCATGAAGAAGGTGATGCAGACCAGCGACGACGGGGTTCTGGTTTATATTGCCCCGACCAAGGCCCTCGTCAACCAGATCGCTGCCGAGATCCAAGCTCGCTTCGCCAAAACCTTCAAGTTCGATGGCAGATCCGTTTGGGCTATCCATACTCGCGACACTCGGGTGAACAACCCTACTGGCTGTCAGGTTCTGGTGACGGTGCCCGAAATCCTGGAGATCATGCTTCTCAGCACAGTCAACTACGAGAAGAAGAGCTCGTGGGCGCACCGCATCAAGCGGATCATATTCGACGAGGTCCATTCCATTGGCCAACATGAGGAGGGCATCATCTGGGAGCAGCTCCTGCTTCTCGCCCCATGCCCCATCATCACGCTGTCCGCGACGGTTAGCAACCCTGAGGACTTCAAGGAGTGGCTTGTGGGCTCACAGAGCAACAAAGGCTTCGGCATGGAAATGATTGTTCATAACTCGCGCTACTCGGACCTGCGCAAGTATATCTACACCCCACCTGCTCGGCCTGACCCTTTTCAGGGGCTCCCGCGGAAAGACCCCCCCGGCACTCCTGAACTGGACAGGGCTGGAGCTCCATTTGCCTTTGTGCACCCTGTGGCGGCTCTTATTAATCGGTAAGGGCAACCCCGAATCAGCCAGGCTCTTCTTTACGCAGCCACTTACCCTCCCTCCCCCACAGCATTTCGGAATGCTTTTGACTCATTGATCGTTCATTGTCTCGTTTCTTTTACTAATTACCATTCATCCTACAGCCACCGTGGCAGGCTTGATGACATCAATCTTGAGGCTCGGGATTGTCTCACTCTCTGGCGCAGCATGAAGAAGCACGAAACACCCGAGTTTCCTGTTGGCGAGAATCTCGCTCCTTCCAAGGCCCTGCCAGCTATTGTCAAGAAGGCGGATGTCACGCGTTGGGAGACAGACCTGAAAGCCCGCCTACTTGATTGGATGAACCAGCCGGACTCGCCCTTCGCCGCCGTGCAGGAGGAGCTCAAGGTCAAGCTGCCTCAAGGTGGAGAAGGCGAGACTCGCGTGCCCCCTCCGGGAGAGACAGGGAACCGTAAGGAGAGCGGCGAAGCATACATGAACGACTTCTACCTGCTCCTGGATCTTCACCGTCAGAACGCCCTCCCTGCCATCATCTTCAATTTCGACCGGGACGAGTGCATGAACACCCTCTCCACGGTCTTGAACGAGCTGGAGAAAGCCGAGAGTGAGTACAAGAGGACGAGCAAGAAGTGGGAGAGCAAGATGGATAAGTTCAACGAGTACAAAAAGACTCAAGCCAAGCGCAAGCCGTTCGCGAAGTCTACAGCGCCTGCGGACGACGACGGAGCCACCAAGGGAGATATACAACGAGAGCTCGCCGAGACGGAGACCAGCTCTTGGGCGGGATTTGACCCTGAAGCCCCCCTGGACGACTTTAGCTTCGCCAACTCGAGTGTCTGCTCGCGCTCCGAGCTCGAGGAGCTGATCTGGGTTCTTGGGAGGCGAGGCATCAACAACCCGACGCTGATCAACGGTTTGCGACGCGGCATTGCCTGCCATCATGAGGGACTGCCGTTCAAGTATCGTCAAACGATTGAGAAGCTCTGCCGTCGCGGCTATCTGACTGTTGTCGTTGCCACCGGAACGCTGGCCCTGGGTATCAACCTCCCATGTAAGACGGCTGTTTTCTCTGGCGATTCTATCTTCCTGTCGGCACTCAACTATCGACAGGCAGCTGGCCGAGCCGGCCGACGAGGCTTTGACTTGCTGGGAAACGTCGTCTTCAATATCCCTCCGCAGCGGGCGTTCGAAGTCATGTCTTCTAGGCTGCCCGATCTGCGTGGCCAGTTTGCCCTGTCTACGAGTCTGTTGCTCCGCGTCCTGGCCCTGTGCTATCACACCAAAAATTCGGATCCCGCCGTCCAGGCGGCCCAATCGCTTCTCTCTCAGACGCGACTGTACCTTGGTGGCCCGGCGGGCGAGACGGCTGTCAAGCACCACATCCGGTTCTCGATCGAATACCTCCGCAGGCAGCACCTCCTCTCGCAAGATGGCGCGCCACTCAACTTCGCGGGCCTCATCAGCCACCTCTACTGCACCGAGGACTCGTCATTTGCGTTCCATTCCCTGCTCAAGGAGGGCTACTTTCACCAGCTGTGCGCCGAGGTGGAATCACGCCGCTCTGAAGTGCTGCTCGAGCTGATGCTTGTTATGAGCCACCTCTTCGGTCGGTTGCCATGCGACCAGTATAAGGACAAAGAGTGGCTCAAGAAGATCAAAGACTCGCCGTCGATTGTTTTGCTTCCGCCCGTTCCGAAAGCTGCCCACGCCCTCCTCCATAGGCACAACAAGGAGACCCTGGAAACCTTTTTCAACTATGTGCAGACTTTCGTCCGTCAGCATCTTTCAGAAGTGCCCGACAACGAACTTCCCTTCACCAAGTGCCGTGCTGGCGCAGCAGGAGCCCACGCCCCCGGCGCCCTCACCATGGTCCCCGGAGCGGCCTCTCTGCCCCCTGGCCCGAAGATCCGGTCCCCCTTCGCGGCCCTGTCCGGGTTCGGTGATGATTTCTACTCGATTCATGATCTGTGCGCAAACGTTCGCGCCGGCGTCTTCCTGGACGAGCCGTCGGTGCCTTTCATACCCGTCTACCCGGAAGATACGGAAGGCACGCCCTGGAACGCGTACCTCTACGACTTCTACATGCACGGCGATCTCGTGGCCCTGACGCGTGACAACGGCATTAAGAAGGGCGACGTCTGGTACCTCCTCAAGGACTTCTCCCTAACGCTCGCGAAGATCATCACTTGCCTCACCAGCCTCATCGACCCCAAGTCCGGCAGCGGCGACGTGTCGGAGATCCAGGACGCTCAGGACCGCAACAACGACGTGTCTGAAGAGAAGCAGATAATGATGGAGGATGAGCAGGCCGCTACTGGCGAGGGCGGCACTGCTGTTTCCGCTGCGGATGATGACTTGGGCGTCAGGAAGAAGAAGGGCAAGGCCAAGGCTCTCGATTCTTGGGAGGACGGCGACGATTCGGATGACGACATCTATGGCGGCAGTGGCGGCGAAGGCGAGGGCGGCGTCCCAGCCTGGCAGCGAGGCGATGGCAGGAACCTCCAGAATGTGCTGAAGACCTTTGTTTATCTTCAGCAGGAGTTCGACGAGAAGTTCCTGAAGATCTGGGCCTAAAAGTGTTGCGTCGTACCACATGCGCAGGCGATGTATCACCTGGCTTCGTTTCGCTCTTGTATGCCTTGTTGGGTAGGTTTCCTGGCGGTGCCTTATGGGAAGCTTCTGCCATCTTGCTTTCCGCAAGCATCTCAGGAAACCTCTTGAGAAGCTCTGACTTCCTATTTTGCGAGGATAGAGAATGAGAATACTTGATTGTACACCTATCGGCTGCTTTCACCTTTGCATCATAAGAACTCGTTTAACGCCGTCTCTTTTTGGGATTGGCCGTTCCCTATGGCCAAATCTGTCCCTCATCAGTCCTGCCTCCGCTGTCTCCTGCGTTTAGAGACGTATCGAGACGTATCTGTAGTTTTGGTGCATTGTTTTAAAATTCCGGTTGCCTGGGAATTGTGGTGATCCTGTGTATTGTTTCGAAGTCCATCAATCTTTTTCACGTCCTGCCCCATCGCTTGTGCCACCGGCAGGAGCTGTAAATGCTTGGTATCTCATAATTTGCATCTTAGAGTTGATAATCCTGAGATACTGACTGACTGTCCTTGAGGGGTCGAGGTCGCCGAAGGTGTCTCATACAGGATATTCACCGGCGAGTGGCGGAGATTACGGACAAACAGTAGCGCACCTAAACTCACAGTGAAGGTACAGTCCATGTATCTAGCTATGCATGTCTTCAGGTCCAGAAATATGTGCGCACGTGCACAAACCATTTGGGAATGGACCATGCCGGGTTTCAGAGTAATCTCTCCAGCTTGGTGCTGCCCGCCCAACAGTTCAACGCACGCGATGCCCGAGTTTCAAGGCTCACCCATCCTTGCCTTCTGAGCATCCTGCAAAAGCTGTATGATGGCAGCGTCGTAGAAGCTTGACCATGCTCTCGTCTCCCCAATGTACAGACGAAAAGAGAGGCGTGTTCCCGTCGTTGTCGCTGACATCGGGGTTTGCTTTCCCCGTTGAGAGTAGTAGCTCAACCATCTCTTTGTTTCCCGCGATAGCGGCCCAAAGGAGAGGCGTATCTCCTTCATCGTCCCTGAGATCAGAGTTCGCTTTCCCCGTTAGGAGAAGCTCGGCGATGTTCTCATGCTGATTTGCGACAGCTATCCAGAGAGCACCGCTGGCGTGCTCGCGCGTCAGATGCTCTCTCCCCCGGTATAGTAGCTCCGCCACAATGTCATTGAAACCGGTGGTTGTAGCGTAGCTTAGCGCCGACAAATCGATGTCTTGGCCCTGTGGCTGTGCCTGGTCCAGGGCCATCGTAACGCCTTCGGCTAACCCATAGAAAGAGAAAAGGCCAGAGAGGTGACGGCGGGGCGATGGGGGTAACGGCTACACGTCGGGGCCAACCCCAGATCTTTCAGAGCTGCCATGAGACAAACTATGCTTGGCGGCCAGACGGGATTGCATAGTGATTTCTGGAGTCGGCTGAGGGCCAGGGAGTCCAATTTACTGGAAGTTATGTGGTGTTTGGCCCAAGACACCGTGGCGTACTGGAAACATCCATGATTCTGGGCGAGCTGATCCGAGTCAAGACAGCCCCTCCACCCGTCAAAAGAATGGCTGTGCTGAAGGTAGCCGGGGACTTGAGGGTACTCCAAGTCTTCGAGATATCGCACGCAAATATCTGCCAGAATATGGTGCGAGTGTCTGGTTCGCAGTGATTTTTTCCAAATTCCTTCCCGGGGGCGGTGCCGCCGCGTCCGCGACCTGCAAGAAGTCCCTGGCCGTTTGGTGGATCAGATATATATATTGCTGCTCTTGGTATCGAGGAAGAAGCCGCAGAGGTTCTCGAGGGTCCTGGTAAACCTTGCATCGGTCTCGTTCGCATAGCGCGATCCCAGGGTGTGCTTCATTCGGTGATAGTCAGCGGCCTGAAGGCCACAACGGCTATTTGCAGAATGCGCCTCGTCATCGCCGGGTTTCGGCTCTTGCTCAGTATCTTCTCGTAAACGTCAGGAGCGGTCCTTGGGAGAGTCCTGATAACCTCCAAGAGAATCTCTTCAGAGGTCCCGATGGCATCCCTGAGCTCGGGGACGATGAGGCGAGCCTAAAGATAAGTCCGGCTCTTCTCGGCCTTCAGTGTGCTGCAGACGGTGTGGTGGACTTGTTGTTTGAGATCGAGATGGCCGACTTCCCCTTCGATGAAGAGGTCGACCTCTTGCGAGATTTGCTCTTGCTCTTCATCTTTTTCCCCGCACAGGTGAGTATCAGGCAGACTGCTCTTCAAAGATTGGAAGGATTGCTTGATGTGCTGATATGAGCGACTTGTGAGGAGGACCTTTATGTTGCTGTTGATATTGGGGGCCTTGTAGTCGCTGTATGGAGCAACTGCTAGATGACTTAGGAGCCCGTTTCGTAGCTTCTCAAGCTCAGGGTCGATAGGGGGCGCACTTCGGGCTGGGAAATCAAAAGGGTTGATTAGAAACGGGACACTACAGCACCACATACACTGTGACAGTGCTTCAAACTTCTCAACGATCAGAGTACACCTTGCTTCAAAAGAAAAGGCTCAGCATCTACCTTGAAGGATCCTGGAAGCTTCCTCAGCGAACCTCCCGAGGTGGAAGGGAACGGTCAGGAAGTTTTCACATGTAGGCTTGTTATACCTGTGCATCATGCTGTGCGATGCGTCCAGTTCGTACACATCGATCCCCGGCAGGCAGGAGGAGGACCGAGACACCATCTGCAGGGAAAGTTCGGTGGTGTCAGGAGGCCGGCGGAGTGACGGCGACAGCCCAGGTGAGCTGTAGGGACTTGATTTACAACCCGTTGGCTGCCGATTTTAGCTCGCAGAGATTCTCTCTCAGCCTCGGACATCTTGTCCAGCATCTTCTCGAAGTTTGTGGGTCTCCCTTCGAAGAAGCAGGTGATGGGGAACTTGAAAGCCCGGTCGTGGATCAGCTTGCTGAACTCCTGGACGAGCTCATCCAGGCCGCTCGCGTTATCAGCGGACCCTTCCTTCAGGTAGGAGACCAAGTCGCTACTGTGCAAGACTCCCGTCTCGGCGCTTGTCTGCTGGGCAATAAGGAGGCGCAGCTCAGCCGCCGTGGAGGCGAATTTCTCGCAGCCCCTGAATGGTGTGCCAAGAAAGGCGACACCCACAGTATATCGTAGGACCTCCGGTTTGAACCCGTCGGCATAGATCCGTCTGTGGACCTCGGAAACAAGCGCCTTGGTTGGTCGTGTGTTAGTTCGCGCTCGCAAAATGTCCGTAAAGTGACAAACGACGCTCACCTTTGCTAGAAGAAGGCCGCCGAAGCCGGACGTTACGAAGATGATGGGATACTTAGATCGCCCCTGTAGGTAACTGTGAGTTTTTATTGCGCTTTCCCGGAACAGAATGGACTGACTCCAGACTACTCACCCGACGAGAACGTTCGGCATGGATCCGCAGCGGGAGTGTCTCGGCGTGCCCGGAGAATATGTCCGCCGAGGCGCTCCCGACAAAGTTTGCGTTCCATTCGTACGTGAGAATGCGTGCGCTGGGTATCAGTGCCGGGAGCATCGTGTCGTCTTTCAGCCAATTGACATTGCCCGAGTTTGGGTTTTGGGATTCTTCCAGGCGTTCCATGTCCTCGAAGATCTTGCCTCCAACCCATGAATGGCAATAATGCTGAAGGACGGGAGGAGATGTGTCAGTGAACAGACCTGGAGCTTGGAGGTGCGGACTATGTACGGACTCAATCTCCTTGCTGACAGTCGCTTCGGTATTCCTCTCGTCGGGGTGCACCTGTTGCAGCCCAAAGCTCCGAGGCTCCTCCTCAGCCGGCTCAGGCCAAAAAAGTGATCTTACGGAGGACATTATTCCATTGTGAAGCCGTGTATGGGAATTGAGTAGTTGGAGGAGTTCGTACAAGCAGTGCTCGAATCACACTCGCTCCGGCGCCTTCGACTGAGCAAATATTTGTCCAACATGAACAAGGTGAAACGACCAAGTTCAGGAGGGCAGCTCGTTAAACCCGGGAAGAACAGGCGCTGGGCCTTCGCATTGGCACATGGGCAGTATCAAGGCCGCATCAAAATCCCTGAGGCGCTTAACTGCGAATTGTTCCCGCTGCCAAAATCGACCACATCCGGATTGCTTAAAACTCACCAAAGAATTGCAAAAGCTCTGTTCTTTTTTGAAGCCATTTAATGCTCAGGGTGTGGATTTAAATAAAAAAAATTAATACGGAGGGTGAAATGGTTGTATTGGCTGTCGTGTTGGATGGCTTTTAGAGGCCTGGGTAACAACTAGCAGTTAAGCGTTTCAACGATTTCGCGTGACCATGAGTACCTTGTGCACCCCCTCCTTACAGCTGAAACGACCCCTCCCCATTGTGCGGTTTTGGGATGGAAGGGACACGGCCCAAGCCAATACGGCTGCCCACCCAGGTCCACACTCATCGTGCTCAAGTAATGGTTTATGATTTACCTTTGCCGTTGGGGCATCTTCCAGATTGTGTAAAGAAGCAAGCGCAAAGGTACCCCTCATTCACATCGCGGGTAGTTCTTACATTCCAGCCTGGCGCTTTTGCGGATCCCAAAGTCTGACCTTTGAGTGTCAACCATGAGAACCAACTCCTACACAACACCCCAGGTACCCGACATGGATCACGGCGAGCCAGAGCAATACACCACACTCCCGCCTGGACACATCCGCCTTCTGTGTCTTGTGCCCACCAGAGATAAGCAAGCCACAACGGCAGGAAGCCCTGAGTGCTATCCACTCGGGGCGGCACCCCCTTACTATGCTCTAAGCCATTGCTGGGGCAATAAGCCGCTGGAGGTGTCTATCCGGCTCGATGACTGTCATTACCAAATCTCATCTGCCCTGGCATTCTGCATCCAAAGACTGCAAGAGCTGGCTGCCGACGAAGGGCAGTTCAGCCCCCCGATCAAGCATGTATGGATCGACACATATGCATCAACTAGCGAGATATTAAGGAGCGCTCCTCACAGGTGGGGATTATGGGGAAGATATATACTCGATCCATCAGAACTTTGATCTGGCTTGGGCCTGCCCTTGTCTCATCACTATCGGCGTGGGGGGTGGTTGATCAGATCTATGGCGTTTTCGGATTATGGCATCCCACAACAGACGGCGTGGCCGAAATCCCACCCCGAATGTATTCTGACCCCTTTCACGCTCTCACCGGACTGCCCGGCTGGGAAAGCCAGATCTGGCAACATTTGGACGAGCTGATGGGGCTGGGGTGGTTTTCTCGGATTTGGGTTATCCAAGAGGTCGTGGCATCGCCACAGGATCCCATCATCCTTCACGGGAAGAACCTCTATCCTTGGCATCGTCTCAGCTGGGCCGCCGCCTGGCTCCGGCGGAGCGGTTACTGCCGGCACCCCCGGATCTCTCCCCAGATCCCCAATTTGGATATCATGGGCGCCCTCCGAAGATCCAAGTGCAAGTGGCCGCTCGACGCCCTCCTGGTGACAACCCACGCAAAATTCCAGGCAAGCGACCAGCGAGACAAGGTGTATGGCATCCTTGGACTAGCCACTGAGTGGCAGGACGAGACTGCGCATCCTGCGGCTCTCCGTCCAGACTACAGCCTTGATGTCGCCGACGTCTATCAATGAGCCACAAGATTCCTTCTCGAGAAGGGCAGCTCACTCTCCATGATGGCCATCTCAAGGGGCACAAACGGCAACCTGATGGATGGTCAAAAATTGCATGAACTGAACCTGCCCTCCTGGACACCCGATTGAAGCGACTTCCGGCTGTTCAAGGGGATCACCAAGACACCCTTCTGCTGGGTATACTATGAGAATCATACCAGGCCTGCAAGGCTTGGATTCCCAGCCCAATACGCCGCATCCCATGGGGAACAGCCCAGGCTTCCAAAGCGAGCGGCTCTTCTCTGAGGGTCGCAGGTCTGGTTATGGGAGAGATTGCCCATACCCTCCGCTTCAACCCCAAATTCGTCTCCAAGCAGCAGTTCGACCGAGAACTCGACCATCGCATGGGTCAGGTGCTAGAGCTGGCCCTCGAGACATTGGCTGATAGCGACCTCTCGGGCTGGACGGCACGGCTCGCCGAGGTTTTGTCGGCCAAACAGCATTCCTTGGGCAGCCGAGACTGGGAACAGATATGCCAGGACGGAGCCGCATACTTGTGCACTCTTCTGACCTCGAATGGCTCTGAGAAACAAGCTAAGCAAGCCGAGCTCGCCGACTTGATCAGCCTTGGGTCGACGAACGGCGTGGCCGAGGAGTTTGCGGCCTTCGCACGCGATTATTGTTTCAACAGGACTTTTCTAGTAACATGCACTAGAAAGATGGGTATCGGGCCAGCCAGCGCAGAGGTCGGAGATACCATCACGGTCCTCCTGGGTGGAGACATCCCTTTTGTCACTCGACGGCAGGGGAACAGCTGGGCCTTTGTGGGAGGAGCATATATCCAAGGGCTCATGGACGGTGAAGCCATTGCGGCGTGGAAGCAAGGAGATGTCAGCAAAACGGTGTTTGAGATTCAGTGAGGATCTCTTTCAGGTCCCATCGCATGGAGGCTCATGGGATCCATGTGAGCATAACGTGGTGCAGCTCCGTGCCCCACCATTAAAAGTCAATGGCGCCCTGGGCGACGGCCTGGATCCTTGTCTGGCCCCGCAACTACTGCGTCACTGCCCCTCCATGCAGACCCACGGGAGGGCATCCCACGTCTCACTGCCGACGAGGCACCTCGCGGAGCTGGTGTTTGGTCAAGAGCTTCTTTTACCGTATCGTCTCCTCTCCTTGTCTCCAGTGTATCTTCGTCCAGATTCTTCGACTTCTTGTGTCACTGTCCTCGACGTCACCCCATTCACGCTTGGCAAACGGCTCAGCAGTCCAGATAGAAAGTCCCCTTTTTCCGTTAGAATTCGACACGTTTCTGGCAAACGCGTGAACTTCGCTCGGAAGAGGCCTAGCTTGAGCCAACCATGTCGGTCACGATCGACAAGATCCTCGCCGCCGCCCCGGCCACCACGAGAGGCCAGCCCACGCAGCTGTCGTGCGACGCCAAGGGGGAGCGGATAGCATATGCCGTAAGCTACATGGACCTGATACTCGCCCACCAATTATGAATGCCGCTGGCCTTCTAACCAGCTTTGCTCTTAGTCTGGCAAATCTATCTTTGTCCGGTCCATCGACAACCCCGAAGTATGCAAGCAGTATGTCGGACACACAGCCTCGACGACCGTCGCCCGCTTCTCGCCGAGCGGGTTTTACGTTGCCAGCGGTGACGTCTCGGGCCAGGTCCGTGTTTGGGACGCGGTAGAGGCGGTCAACACGAAAGGTGCGAACGGAGATCCAGCCCCTTAGCATTTATAGGAGGGCCAAAGAAGAGGGTTAGGGCTGACTCTCGGGCAAACATGGAGGATAAACAGGCGAATACCACATCATCTCGGGCCGCATCAACGACGTCGCCTGGGACGGCGACTCGCAGCGCATAATCGCCGTGGGCGACGGCCGCGAGCGCTTCGGCCACTGCATCACGGCCGACTCGGGCAACAGCGTCGGCGAGGTGTCGGGCCACTCAAAGGTGGTCAACGCCGTCGCCATCCGCCAGCAGCGGCCCCTGCGCGCCGCCACCGTCTCCGACGACGGCTCAATGTGCTTCCTCCACGGCGCCCCCTTCAAGTTCGCCGCCAAGGCCTCGGGCCTGCACACGGGCTTCGTGCTGGGCACCGCCTTCTCGCCCGACGGCGCCCTCCTCGTCACCGTCGGCGCCGACAAGCGCGTCCACCTGTACGACGGCAAGACGGGCGAGCACAAGGGCGAGGTCGGGGCCGGCGCGGACCACACGGGGAGCATATTTGCCGTCGCGTGGGCGCCCGACTCCAAGCGTTTCGTCACGGCCAGCGCGGACCAGACGGTGCGCGTCTGGGACGCCGAGGCCGGCAAGGTCACGCACACTTGGCGTCTTGGCCCCGCCGACGGCTCCTCCAGCGTGCCAGACCAGCAGGTAGGCGTGGCCTGGCCCGCAGGACGGACCGACGGCCTCATAATCTCGCTCAGCTTGTCAGGCGACCTCAACTACCTTGTCGAGTCCAGCGAGAAGCCCATCAGGGTTGTGCAGGGCCACAACAAGAGCATCACGGCGATGGGATGCGAGTCCGACAAGAACTTGTGGACGGGCAGCTTTGACGGAAGGGTGTGCCGGTGGGAGGTAGCCGCAGGCAAGAGCGACGTCGTCGACAAGAGCTCGCACACGAACCAGGTAACCGGGTTCGCCGAGGTTTCGGGCAAAGTCTTCAGTGTCGGCTGGGACGATCAGCTGCGGACTGCCGACGGCTCCGGCGCATTACCGGCCGCCCTCGGCGCGCAGCCACACGGGGTGGCCGCTTCGAGCAAAGCCCTGGTTGTGGCTCTCGCAGACGGCGTCGTAGTGTACAGCCCTACCGGAGAGCTCGCCAGCAAGCTGGAGACCAAATTCACACCGACAGCGATCGCGGCACACGAGTCGCTGGTGGCGGTCGGCGGCGCGGACGGCAACGCCGTGGTCGTGTACAAGCTGGGCAGCGACAACAAGCTCGTCGAGGCCGAGACGCTGACCAAGTCGGCGGCGCAGGTGACGGCGCTCGCCTTCTCCCCGGACGGCAAGGCCCTGGCGGCTGGCAACTCGTCGGGCAAGATCATCGCGTACTCGACGGCGGCCGGGTGGGAGGTGCTCACGGACCGGTGGTCGGCGCACACGGCGCGCGTCACCGCCATCGCCTGGAACGCGGCCGGCACGCACGCCGTCAGCGGCGCGCTCGACACGAACGTCCACCTTTGGAGCCTGGCGAAACCCGGGGCCAGAGTCAAGGCCCCCAACGCGCACAAGGATGGCGTCAACGGCGTGGCCTGGGTTCAGGGCGACCAGAAGGTCGCTAGCGCTGGTGCTGATGGAGCGATCAAAATCTGGGATATCTCGGGTCTCCAATGATTGTGGAAGGAAGGGTTTACTGAAACGAAAAGAGCTTATGTTTCCACTCTTGCTGTCATTTTGAGGCCAACAATCCGTCAAGATTAGCGTGACTTTTGTGAATTTCCTTTTTCCACGCACGCCAAAGCAAGAAGCTTCCCAGGTTTGGGTTTATCGAGTTCCGGACGGAGCAGGCACATCACATCACAATATCACTTGCGAACAGGGGTGGTGTACGTTTCCTATCACCGTAGAGTGTAACGAACGTTGGGCTCCACCGAAGGGAAGATACAACGCAGATGCATGAAATGAACGAAAATGACAACCAGACTCCTGATTGATAACGTGATACCAAGGCCGAGTCAAAAAAAAGAGCAGGAACGCCGAGCGCTATGCGAGACAAACAAACGACGGTCATGGTGTGGTTTAGGAGGCTGGGGAAGAGGTTAGAAAGCCGTTCGGTCGCCTCGCACTGGGGAATCCAAGGTGTACCCTACTGTATCCATGCGGGTACCGCGGCATCTCAGGGGGGCCTCATAAACCAACCAACCTTGGCTCCTGGGAACAAGAAAAGGAAAAGTGAGACCTATGACGATACGGAGGGGAGGGGCGGGATAAGGGCCCTATGCGTGGCCACTGTTAGAGCTCCTTGGCGCGACTTCAAGCCCGAAGTCGCAGACAGGAGGCTCGATACAGCCACTCCGTGAAGTTCAGGGCCAGTTGAATGGGTGACCCTTTTCACTCGAGAGCTGCGGCAGTCACCAGCGTTAGCAGAAGCACTCGATGTTTTTAACGCGACAAGTAGTGAGTGGCTCGGCAGGCTTACACATCTTATCCAACTCGTCCAGCTCCTCCTGGGTGTGCAGGCCGGGGTCACGACTCGTTGAGCGGCGGCGGCGGTCAAGTGCAGGATGGGTCCTCCGCTCGCCGCTGGAGGGGCCCTCATGCGAAGCCGCCGAGGACTAGGCGGCGGGGCTGGCAGCGTGGGACTCGCGGGACCTGGTGCCGTACTCGCCCTGCTCCGGGTAGCAGGAGCGGGCCATCCAGTCGAGGAGCGTGATGCGTTTGTGCGGGGGCATCGGGAAGACGGTGCTATCGGACTCGCCGTTGAGGTCCAAGTGCGCCAAGTCGGGAGCTAGTGGAAACATGCCGCCGGCGTAGGCCTGAACGTGGGCCCTCATGATGGCTTCGGCAAGTCCCCTTCAAAGTTGTTTTGGTTATGAGTATAAGTGGGTCTTCTCATCGTCACCAATATAGGCAATTCTGACTCTCAACTCACTTTGGCTTCGCCGATACGCCCCACTGCTCCCCGTCGAGATAATTAGCCAGTTCGACCTGATGGTTGTCCAAAAGGTCTTCGTTCGGGACTATGACGAAGGGAACACTGCAGCGTGAGACATCAATGACGGTTCCGGCGCCTGTAATGTTGATTATCAGTGAGTTACTGGTCCTCCTGTTTAATCGTCTGAAACCCCCGGCCTCAGGGATGAGATGTGTACAAACCAGCATGGCATACAACGACCCCCGCGTTACTGACTCCCTCCACGGGGCGGCAACGTATGATAAAGTCACGCATGCTGGTAGTATAGCGAAAGCACGAAATTTTGAGATTGCCGAGATCGATGTCCAGCTGGTCGACCATGGACTGAAACCAGGCCAGGTCGGGCCCGCACTGGACCTGGATGTCGTCGAAGCCGTACTGCATCATCCAGGAGAGGAATGACGGGCGCAGTATCTCGGCGAGCAGGGGGCGGAAGCTGGCGGTGGCGCCCACGGTCACGAAGGCGCGCCGTGGGAGGTTGGGGGTGAGGCGCTCGGCGTGAGGCGTCGCCACGCTCGGGAGGACAAACTCCTCCTGCATCCTGCCCAGGAAGGTGTCTGCGCGCTTGCGCTTCTTGTTTGGCTCTGCTGGTTCCGAATCTTGGGTTGTCCGTTGGTGAGGACGCACTGTGGCCATGTGAGAGTGAGGTGAGGGGGACCGGACGACAGGGGAGGTGCCTGTGTCGCCGTCAGTGGTGGGGCAGGACGAATATCGATGCTGTGGCTGCGGTGACGAGGCCGCAAAGTGGCCGCTGAGGCCAGAGAGAGGCTCGTGGTCAAACTGATGGATCGTGTGCGGGGCCCGTGCCTCCCGTTTGTCCCGCTCAATGGCGTCAAGGCGCTGGAGTTTGGACCGGCAGATATTGAATGCCAATGCAAAATGGTGGCCTTGGTCCGCGATTCTTCTCTTCAGCCCGCAATTCGATCTAACCCGTTCGATTTTCTGATCAGTCGGGGTCGTTTTCAGGCCACCATCGCTCCTCTCATCCATGGTGCAGGGAGCGCCGAGCCTGGGAGAGCCGCCCAATCCAGTTACAGAATCTACGCCCAAGCGACCGAATCGGGTAAAGTGACAGTTCTAAGCAGTGAGGTCGGCAGAATCCCAATTGGGGTGGAGCGACAGGGCGGTGACAGTGACGTGGCGTCCGTGCAACGGCCTGGTCCAATAAGATGCAAGGAATTCTAGAGGGGGGCCGGCTAGTGGAAATTTTGGTGGGTGTTCCGACCGGACTCGGCAGGCTCAACACGTTACTGCAGAGGGCCGAAAGGTTTTGAAACCCCGCGACTTTCCTTGACAAGTAGACTCCAGTCGATTGCGGAGGAGAAACATATCCACGTACTCCCGCGGGCGGTGCGCTGAAGAGATGGCGTCCGCTTCTCCTCTGAGGTGGTGCTTGCGCGCCGGCTGCAGAGGCTTTGCGCCCAGACGAACCTCGAACAACGGCGCCGCCGCCGTCGCAACAGCACTCCCGATCTTCCCGAGGCGCGCAATCTCGACCACGAGGGCCAGGAACGCCGCGAAGGGCGGCGAGGATGGTGGCCAGAAAAAAGGTGGCAAACTCCAACCGTTAGAGCCGCTCGAGGAGGAGATGGAACTGTTCCAGCGGCCCAATATCAAGACCCTGCACGACGCCGTCATGCTGGCCACGACGCGCGAGGAGCGCGAGCAGGCCGGGTACGACGAGACGCGCGGCCAGCAGTTCCTGGGCGGGCCCGTGGAGAAACTCCGCCGGACCGTGACTGGCCTCAACCGATCCTACAACGCCTTCAAACCCAAGCCGCAGGACTTTTGGAACGAGAACGCGACCGACGAGGATATGATCGTGGACGAGGAGGGCTCTGACGATTTTGAGGAGGACGACATCATGCCCCCGGCTCACGCCAAGCTGGAGGACCACCGAGACATGCGCGAGTATGCGCGCATTGCCATCTGGGAGATGCCCCTCCTTTCCAGTAAGCGCATACATGTTTGAGGAGCATTTGTCTTTGTCCCTTTAAATGCTGACGCAGGCGTCCCTACCTCTTACCAGAACTCGCCAAGCCATTCGAGCCCCCAACCGAGCAACAGCCGTTGCGCTGGCGCTACACCACCTACATGGGCGAGTGGCACCCCGCCGAGAAGAAGGTCGTTGTAGAGCTCTGCCCAGACGACCTCGATCTCACCGACGTCCAGAGGCGCAAGCTTGCAAAGCTGGCCGGCGCCAGATATAACCCCGAGAAGGGCACGATAAAGATGAGCTGCGAGTCGTTTGAGCACCCTGCCCAGAACAAGCGGTACCTGAGCGACTTGGTTGCGAAGCTCATCGCTGAGGCCAGGGTACGTTGGATGCTAAATCCGCGATTCATCGTGTATGAAACCGATGGACATTGGTTGCAAGCCGCTGACAATCACACTGCAGGACCCCAAGGACACGTTCGAGGACATACCCCTAGACACGCGACACCACACATTCAAGACAAAATACTCATTCCCCAAAGAATGGCGGATGACAGAAGAGAGGAGGCAACAGCTGATGCAGATCCGCAAACAAGCCTACGAGCTGGACGCGGCAAAGAGGGCAACCGGCGAGTTGGTTGACGGCACCGAGAAGATCCAACAGTCAATAGCAGCTCCTGCTAAGGACGCTGACCTTGAGCAGGCACTGGCGGACATGGTGACTGTTAGGGCCTCTAGGGCCGGTCAATCTGCTGCGCGCAGGCTTCCAATGTTATAAAGACTCGCCGGGACGCTCGGTTGCCATGGCTGCCCGCACGGCTGCGTCCACGAGGCCGGGATGAAGTCTGTGTACGCATAGAATTCTGTATTCATGTGTAATATAAGCAAAGCTGCGCACGCAAGCCTGCCACTACCAACCTGCCTACCTGTATCCAGAGGTAGGTAAATATGTGGCTGTTGTTGTTTCAATATCCGTTGGCGGATATCACAGGCCAAGCTTCGTTTGAAGGATGCGACAGAAATAAGATTCCAGCAGACGCGAGCGCTAGCGATGCGCCGAGAACAGTTTTTCAATGTTGTCTCGTGTCTGCCCGAACTGCCGGGCCCCTTACCCCGTGAACGCTAGAAATGGTAGTTCCCGTCTGGGCACTCATCGGCGCACAGCCTTTAATCGTCAGTGATAAAGGGGGAGCGTATGCGTATCCTAGTATGGTGGTAGCGTATCCTGATTGGCTGTTGTGTACCTAGGGAGCTCCCCCTCACAAGCGTGTGTTACGGGTTTCCTTTTTGGCAGGGGCAATGATGGCGCCTTCCCCGAACCCAAACACTCGTATCCCTGCAGACCTCGGCTCAAGCCTCAGGATGTGGGGAAAAGCGCATGCCTGCGCGAACCCAGCCCAACGGTCATTTCCATTCCCTATGCCAGCGGGGCTCGACGTCGCCGCACCCAGGACACATGCGACCGGGGGCGGAGGCGGACTAACAACAGCTAGTTGTTACCCCTTTCGCCAAGAGTTCGCATTTCGGCCTCATTGCTTCCTTCCTCGAGAGTGGCGACAATTTTCCTGCATATTCTCTGCCCTCCCATAATCGGTCGCGCTGTTCTGAACCGCTGGAATTCCCGTCAAAGCATCTGAAGAACTCGCCGTCTTATCGCTTCCTTCATCCAATCGTTAGCCAACCAAGAGCGCGTTAAGCCTCTCCTCGCGCGGGCCCTGCAGGTTCAAGCCCCAGACGTGCGTGCAGCAGTTTCGCCAACTGCCCGAGAGACGGTGCTGCCACCTCAAAACTCATCCACCCTTGTTCTGATTGCCATTTTTTCCCGTAATCTTTTTTCTTCACAAATCCCCTACATTCTTGGGATACGGAAAAGATCGTGAGCCGGCAAGCAAAACAAGATGGCTCCCGTCTCAACCAAGAATGTCGAGATCCCGGCCTTTGAGGCTACGGAGCTCGACAGCATCGCGCCAATGTGCCGCAGGGCTAGGGCCAAATTCGATTCGCACGAGACCAAGGATGTCGAGTGGCGCAAGATACAGCTGAGGAAGCTCTACTGGGCCATTGAGGACTTCACGCCCAAAATGGTGGCGGCCATGATGCAGGACTTTGGCAAGTCCGAGTACGAGGTCATACTGAGCGAGATCATGTTCATCAAAAACGATTGCATGTTCTTCCTCGAAAAGCTGGACGAGTTCACCAAGGACGAGTCGGCCCCGGACGTGCCGCTGGCTTTCCGCCCCAACAACGTCAAGGTCCGAAAGGATCCTCTGGGCACCGTCCTCATCATCGCTCCCTACAACTACCCGATCCAGCTGCTGCTCTGCCCTCTAGTCGGCGCCATCGCCGCGGGCTGCACGGCCGTCCTCAAGCCATCGGAGCTGACCCCGGCCGTCGCCATGGTCACGCGGGAGATGATTGAGTCGAGGCTCGACCCGGACGCCTACGCCGTCGTCAACGGTGCCGTCCCGGAGACCTCGACCCTGCTGAACGAGAAGTGGGACAAGATCTTCTACACCGGCGGCCTCACCGTCGGCAAAATCATCGCCAAGAAGGCCGCTGAGACCCTCACGCCTGTGACGCTCGAGCTCGGCGGCATGAACCCGGCCTTCGTCACCCGTAGCGCCGACCTCCGCCTCGCCGCCAAGCGCCTGCTCTGGGGCAAGTCGATGAACGCGGGCCAGGTGTGCTTGTCGCAGAACTACGTGCTGGTTGAGCGCCGGGTCGTGGACGAGTTCATCACCCAGCTCAAGCGCGCCCACACCGAGTTCTTCCCCACCGGCGCGCGCGAGAGCGACCTGAGCAGGGTCGTTAATGAGCGCCACTGGCTGCGCCTCAAGGCCATGCTTGACGAGAGCAAGGGCCGCATCGTCGTCGGCGGCCAGATGGACCGCGAGACCAGGTTCATGGAGCCGACGGCCGTCCTGGTCGACTCGACTGAGGACTCCATGATGACGCAGGAGTCGTTCGGTCCCATCTTTGCCATCATGCCGTTTGACGACCTCGCCGCCGCCATCAAGATTGCTGCCCGCGTCGACCCGACGCCCCTGGCGCTTTACACGTTTGGCAACAATGCTGAGAATAACAAGGGTTAGTTCCGTGCAGTGATTCATCTTTTCCAACAGCTTCATGTCGCGATTTTGTGGACTTTACGCTAACATGGCCGGCTTTATTCGAACCCAACAGTTCTCAGGGAGATGAAGTCGGGTGGCGCCTCGATCAACGATTCGTTCGCGCACGGGTCCATCCACACGGTCGCCTTCGGCGGCGTGGGCACGTCGGGTACTGGCTCGTACCGCGGAAAGGCTTCGTTCGACACCTTCACGCACTTCCGCATCATTGCAAAGACCCCCTCGTGGATGGAGTCGCTGCTGCGCCCCCGCTACATGCCGTACCGCATGGCGGAGCTGCGCCGCCTCGCGATGCTCACGGCCAAGACGCCCAACTTTGACCGCAACGGAAAGGTGATCCGCGGGCTGAGGTACTGGGCCTCGTTCCTCTTCACTCTCGGTGGGGGCTGCTTCAAGGCCATCGTGGCCAAGTGGCTCGCCTGTGCGGTTGTCATCTACATCGTGGTATACGGCTTTGTCATGCCTGAGAGGCTGGTTCCGATCGTCCGTGCCATCTGGAACTACTAGTCGGCCCCTGCATCTTCTTTGCCCTTGTACTTTGTTATTTGAGCCGCATCCAAAATGTTTGCCGGGAGGCCCCCGTCTGATTTTGACTTTCTTGGTAGGCGGCCGGCCTGCCTCGTGATCTGGGGGGTGTCTATATCATGCACACGCGCGCATGCAGTGTAATGCCTGTTCTGTTCTGTTTTTGTTGTTTTGTTCTTAGGAGGTGGTGTCGCTGCACATACTTGCAGCCTAAACTCCCGACAATTCCTACGGCACGGAGCGTTAGGCCTTCCCTACGAAACCGTTGGGCTCGAGACATCGGGCCTCTTCCCCTGGAAAATCACTTGGGCGTTATTCTCTTCCGTTCCGATGGTCACACAGCCCACGGGGTATGGATGCAAATTGTGAGTGCGACAAGCGTATAAGGTCCGCCCACGTGGCCGACCCCGTGCAACCCCCTCATCTGGGTGACCTATCTCGCGATACATGTACCCGTGTGCCCAGTTGTTTGCTGCTCCGACCGCCCCTACTGGAGTCGTATCGACCGCAGACCGGACGAAAAAAAAAGTCATATGCGTCGCTGCCGCATTCCCCCGTTTTTACCGGCTGTGTGCTTGGGCATCAATGCCGTGCTGTAACCCTAGTGGAATGGCTATATAAGTGCTGCGGTGGATGCCTTCAAATACCTCCTGGAGGGCGCGCGGACGACGGTGGCCGCCTTGAAACCCGACCGCCTTTCACCGACTTTTCGCCGCAGTCAAGGTGCGGCTCAACATGATTGCAGATCCCTAATAGGTAGATCCCTATTCTCCTAATCAGCATGGGACTTCGACTGACGATGCGGCTACCCGTTATAGTTCTGCCTAGCATAGGGTTTCCGAGGCCATGACATTGACATGCCATCCAGCGATGGATGAAAGAACAAGGTGTGGCGAGGCCTTTTTTTCGGGCTACACATGCGTTGCGTAAATCATGGATGGATAAGACAATGCCAAGAGGGACAGCTCAGCCTGCCGGGAGCCCGGATTGGATTCCGGGGTGCCACCCAGAACAGGTCCCCAATATACGCCCGGATTGGCTGGCTTGGACAGCGCCGTAATAGCGCAGTCTTTCTGTGTGGTGTAACAAACAACACAGCACACAGCAAACAGCACACGATCCCACGGGGCGGTCCTTTGGCGAAGCTCCAAGAGCGAAGCAAACCATGACAGTCGCGGCGGCTATGACGACGGCAAGATCACCGTCGGGTCAAGTGCACCCCCATTGCGCCTCCGCCCCTGGTGAGAAAAGCAACGGGAGGGAGGGGAAGCACGGGGGGTTCGTTGCAACCGCCTACCTACGCCCAGCTTCTATGTGCAAAGGCGGGAGGGGTGGTGGGGAAAACGGGCAGCGAACATGTGCGGGTTGTCAATCCGTCTACTGCCAACCAACGGGCCTGCTCTCTCCAGAGGAACCGCGTGGCGACACCTTGTCGGGAATAGTCACAAGTGGCTTTCCCCAGGGGGGTGTGAAGTGGCGCCCGCGGAGTTGTTTCCTATACCCTATACCCAGGTGCTTGGGAAGGATCGTCGTCAAGTGACAGGAGCCCATCACGCCTAGGCTTGCGGGCCGTTTTTTCCCGTCGAGAGGAGAGAAAAAAAAGAAGAAGGAAAGTTTACCGTGTGTTAAAACGAGGCGGAGATACCAAAGCCATGGAATGTGAGGAAAGGATAGGTTCTGGTTGATTCACCTGCGACGCGGTTACCTCAAAGCTCTGGATCAGGGAATGAAGTCTCTCCCGTGCCGCGGGTCGACATAAGATGACACACCGTCTACACCACCCACCGCTCCCGGGTTGTCATCCCCAGGGCCACCAACACTACTTTCTGAAATTCACATCCATATTCAATTTTTCTTCCGCCAGGCGGAGACGGGCGAGTGCGAGACGAGGATGAGGCGAGCGGCATGGCACCAGCAATCGACTGGATATAAACACAACGACCAGGCAGAGTCCGGCCAAGATGTTGCCATGTGGGTCATGGACCATTGCTCCCTCCAAACACAGCCGCGACATCTGCAGCAAAGGTTGGCGCCAAACATTCCTCTCGGAGGGCTCGTGATCTAACCGACGCCTGTGTTACACAGCGCAGACCGCGTCTTTTAGTTTGGCGAGCCCCTCGGACACGAGGGATCCTGTCTCGGGCGCCTGACCTTTGCCCCGACGCTGCATCTGACAACAGGAAATCGGCTAGCAAGCCCTGCGCCAAAGACTGGGGGATAAGTGGAGGGCATTTAGCCGCTGGATCGAAGTCTACACATCGCGCGGATGGTGGCGATGCAAGTTGCGGGTGCGGAAACGCACTGTCAGAAGCTGGTTCACCCCGGGAGAACCGAACGCCCGAGAAGTCAGTCCATGCGACATCGGACAGTGATGTGTCTGATGGGCCGGCAAACGAATCGACAGAGACCGGGCCGGAAGGTGGGATCTTCAACGTGACGTGGAACACCGACACATGCTGGGCACCCAGTTGGCAGGCAAGACGAATAACAGGCACAACGGGGCCACCAAAAGAACAAGAGAAAAAGAAGAAGGAAAATCATAATGAAGCAGAAGCCCTCGCTGCCCTTTTAGGACAAGCTTGCTATGAAAGCCTATCGGAGGTTTTGCTGGGTTTGAATCAACGTTAAGGGGCGGGTTGAACCAGCCAGCCTGGGGGTCTTGGCCACCCGTGAAAGAGGGCTGTGCTGGTTTCTACGCCACGAACGGTACCCGTTCGGCCACCCTGTTTGCTGTTGGTACCAGATGGGAATGAGATTGCTATCCCTGTATATAAGTGTTATTCCTTCGATAATAGAACGGAGCGGGGAAATGACGAGCACGCCGGCCAGCCTACCTAGGTAGAAAAGAGCCCTATGGATGGAGCCAGGCTCGGGTAGCATCCGGGAACGTCTCTAGCCAAGACCGTTAATTCTCGCGGATCGCCTAGGCGGTCATCCGCCCACCCACCTACTCATGCAAAGCATTCATAAAGCAGGACTTGACTTGCCAGTGGCTAGGTACCTATGTTAGATCACGGCCGAGCCTGCCACGTTGGGCGGGCGGACGGGCGGGCAGCTAAGCGCAACTAACGGGAACATTTCCGGCCCGATACAAAGTTGACGGGATGGGAGGCGGGCAGAAAGGGAGCAGCTAGACGATGGGTGGCAGCAAGGGAGGGCTGTGTCTGGAGCGCTGTCACATCAAGGTGACAAGGCAGAAACTTGCATCCGCCAATCCATGTTGGCTGACTGCAAAAGGTAAAAAGCAACGAAGAAGAAAAACAAAATTTGGATTTCGGAGATGAAAGAGCGGTATTTCTGCGGACTCCGCCACAGCAACTTGCAGTCCAGCCTTCCCTCCAGCTCTATCCCATGCAGCTGCAGCTGCAGCGTCTGCAGCGTCTACAGGGTTCACGACTCTCGATGTCTGTGTGCTCTTCATCGGTGCTTGTGCTATACGTTGGTTTGACTGGCTCCAGTGGGCTTGTAGCGGCGCGGCGGGGTGGAGCTCCACGGGTTATGCGCCAGACTCCCTACAGCTGCACGAGCTGCAGCGCAAAAAATGCAATGGAATGCAGCGCGAGCACACCTTGCTAGCTGCTCGTGCCCAGCCTTCCTGGCTCCCAGGGTAATTTCTGGCTGCCGACGCTGGGCCGCGACGGGCTTGGCCGCCGGCCTGGCATCATTCTCGCAGGAATTAAGGGCGGTGATCATCTCGAATGCCTGTCCAACGGGGGGTCGGTCACGAATTGGCGATCCCAAATGGCGATCCCAAATGGCGATCCATTTTCCCACGTGGTTGTGCTGGTTTCTAGCGGGCCCCTCGCTGCCCCTCCAGGCCGCGACCCGCCTGCCGGTGCCTTCCATTTAGGACATGATCCATGATCCCAGCCATGTCAGCATCTTCTCATGTTCCATCCCAGCACCGCAGACTGCCACCGAGCAGGCACAACAAGCGCCGCGCAATCCACACACCAAGGGTAGGTACCTCCCGGTAGTATAAGTGGGCAGTCTGGACCTACCTAAAAGAGAAGCGGGCTCACATCATGGCACGGCTGTGGTTGCGGCTTCTCTGGGCCAGCCAACCACAAACCCGCCCCTCCAACTCACTCATTCTTGGCCGACGCCTTGCGCGGCGGGTCGCGAACCACGGGCGCTTTGCGGAAGAGGGCAAACGAGCTGGTGAGGGTTTTGCTCAGCCCGCCCTCCCTCCATGCCCGTCCGCCGCTCTCCCCTCTCCCGACCTGCCACGCAAGCAATCAATGCAAAGCCGCAACCTCGGAGGCGCGCTGCCACTTCTCCCTTTTTCACATTGACGCCTATTGATTGGGTTCTGGCCTCGTGCGCGAGCGCCTCTAGGTACGGTACCCAGGCCAAACACACATTCACACCCACACCCACGCCCACACCCTTCCGTCCTGGCGAGGCGGTGTCGGCGCCGTGGTGTTTCTTGTTTCACCGCCAGCTCCCTCTAGTTGGCCGCGTCCCTTCGCGTTTCCCCTCCGCATTCTCATGCCGCGTCCCTTTGACCCTCTGCGGCGTCCTGTGATTGCCAACGCCGGGGCCTGATTTTCCCTTCCATCCGAGTCGATGGATACTTTCCTATTCGCCCGTTTGCTGCAGGCTCCAGGATGGACACCGAGCCCCCACCTCGACCTGCCTCTACTCTAGCCTGGCTGCCTTAGGGGAGGGGATGGTAGCAACCCCCCATGCATTGTCCAGTTTACCTGCCTGGTGCCTTAGCTTGCACCCACCCTCACCACCACCCCTCCCTCTCCCAGCACGCAAACAATGCTCATGTGCTCCACGGCCGGGCAACAGACTAGCAGCCTATGGAGCCGTTTCTAGAGTGAGGCTGCCAGTGAGGACAGTAGAGGTCTGCCCGACCGTACACCATGGCGTGCATAAATTCCAGGGTGCGCAGCGGGAAGGAACCCCTTCCGGTCTCTGGTGTGGAGGATCGCCGTATTGCCGCATCCTTGGCTTGTTTGTTCGTCTGCTTTCCTGCTTATGTAGCTCAGGTAGGGATGGAGCTCTCTTCCCGCCTGTCCCATCGATCTGGGTGTCTTCGCTACAATTGTTGGCCCGCGCAGTCTCACCGAGAGCCCGATGATTGAATCATTTGCTCCCCTTGCCCATGGAATCATCGCACACACCCTCGTGCCACACCCCCTCGAGTGGTACCTCGACCGTTCTGTTCCCAAGGAAAGGCTATGGAGGCTATGTACCTCGAGTGCGGCGTGGCTGTACCTGAGCTTGATAAGCTAGTGCTGCACTTTCTGGGTTCTTACCACCTCACGCTCACCTCTGGTCTCGGGATTGGCATTCCAGCCAGAGTTTTGAATTGTTTGCTCATTTCTGCGTCTCCTATTCTTTTTTTTCCTTCCCCTTCGCCTGTGCTCGTTTTGCCCACGTATGAACCCAGACTCGGGCACCAGCAGTCATATCTGGATGGTCACCTGCACGAGACAAGCCACGCCCAAAAGGACCCTCATCACTCTTCATAAAAAGCGCTTGCCGCCTCCATCTTTTTTGATTCTTTTTGGAAAATGCGAGCCTGCGGCGATTGCAGCCACACCTTCGTCTCTGTACCCACCCCTGTTGGTACATGAAAGATCCTGGGCGCTTCCTGCCATTGGAGAGCCTTCATATCGACAACAGCCGGGCTGCACACCACCACCACCACCACCACTCCCCTTCTTCCTCTATCCCTCTCCCACATACTTATATATTCCCCCCCTCCCCCTCCCTCATCATCCCCAACACACCGGCCCCTCCCCCTCCATACCACGACTTGAACTTGCTCCTTTACACACCATATATCACCCCGTTTCTATCCTGAGTCTCTCCCATCACCAGCATGCTTCAAGGCCAGTTGCAACAGCCTATTCTAGACGGTGGACAGTGGCCTATGCAACCCCGGACGGACAGGATGAAAAACAGCCGCCCAACAATCGACATGTCCATGCTTCATCAAGAGCAGGATGATATGGCACACCCTGAGAGGATATCCTTCGATCCTGGCGAATGGTCGAGTGCGTACGCTGCTAGCCCTGCTCCGAGCACTCCGATATTTCCCACCAAACGGGAACCTCGGGATCCAGCAGAGTTGCTCGGCAGGCACGAAATGACAAGGACTATGTCGGCCATCTCGGCCATCTCGGCCATGTCATATGACAGTGCGTGCAGAAGCAGCATTAACGACGGCCCAGTCAGTGACATGGAAAGCATGGTCGACGCCTTTCAGAACAGTCCTGGTGGCTACAGCGCATACAGCCAGACTCACCAGACCGCGTACAGCCAGGCGACAAGTCAATACGACCCCAACGATGGCCATTTCGAGTACAGTGTCAGCCTGTGCGGCGAGTCCCTGGACGCATGCCAGGCGGTATCACCCATGGACCAGTCAATATACGGCATGCAGTCACCCCTCATGCCCTATGCTCGTTCCACTAGTTCATCTCAGTTGGAAGGCTCCCTGATGTTGTAAGCTTGCACAACCCCTTCCTGATACAGTATCTCACCGGGGTGTAGCTAACATGGAAAAAAAAAGCATCGACTCGCAGCAGCACGTGGAGCTACCGCCCTCGCCAGCCCAGACAGCCGAGGTGTTACAATCGAGCCCCAAAGAGAAGTTCAAGTGCACCGACAGCGGTTGTGGAAAGAGTTTCAGCAGGCAGGCCGATCTCCAACGACACTACGACCACGTGCATCCCGCGCCTGATTCCATAGAGAGAGGGCACGCCTGCGACTACCCGAAGTGCGCACGGCAGGCTGCCCCTTTCCGCCGCAAGGATCACTTCCGCGACCACCTACGCGAGTTCCACAAGGAGGACCTCCTCAAGCGTAGTGGCCAAGAGCCACCGGACTGGTTCAACGGCCGCAACATCAAACCCAGCTTTTGGAGATGCGTCCGCTGCCTCCGCCGGATCAACACCAACAAGCACAACTACACGTGCCCCAAGTGCAATATCGACTGTGAACCAGTTAGAGTCGAGCACAGGGAGAAACATCGGTGCGCGACTGTGCAGGGGCCACTGCGGACGTCCAAGAAGAGCCGGCCAACACAGAGGGCGACAACTCGACTTGCGCAGAACTTGGCAAGCCCCGACACACTCTCCCCGAGTGCGATGCCGACCACGAGCTGGCGAGGAGCCGCGACAGCCCCAGCTGCGGCGAGGAACATGATGCTCTTTGCACATACTTCTCCGTACGCCGAAGTGGACTCCCCCTCAAACGGCATCTACTACCCGGAGGATCAGCTGTCGCCCTCGGGGTGAGACCAGCCATCCAAGTTCCTCTACCGCTCATTTAGGCGCATCACCCTGGCCTCTAAAAGTTCGGTCTATGGATGGTGCCCTTGATGAAAAGCTCTCGACAGCCGACCTCCTTGCTCTTCACAGTCCCACTACTTACCCGCTCCTGCCACTCGCGACCTTTTGCGGCACTCTCAATGGGTTCCTTATCCACCTAGTTGATCCGACTCGCTCTTTTGGCACTTTTTCATTCCACATTCCTCAACTCAGCACGGCGTGACTTAATCGCCGCTTTACTTTTGAGTTTCAACGAGCGTGGCTGCCGTATTTCTTTATGCACTCTGCCGATAGTGTTGCCACCTTTCAATCACCATTTTACGCAAGCGTCTCTCATTTCTTGACTTTACGACTTGCCGCACACAAATCCTTGTTTACATTCTTTATCTTTATCTGCTGTTACGTTGCTTTGCGGGTTTGGAATCGTTTGGCTTGGTGGCATTCTATTGCTCTATTGCTGTCTGTTATCTTCTTTGCTGTTCCGCCGAAAAAGAAGAAAACTCACGAAAAAAAAATGCCAGTGGAAGGGGTCACGACATAGTGTTTTTGGACCTGTTTGCTTTTTTTTCCTCCCCGGTTCGGGAAGCATTCAATGGAGTACGGCTCGCGTTTTCTTTCAAGGCAGGAGGCAATCATGGGGTGATAGAGAGTCGGTCACTCGGAAGAGGCAGGCGAGGGCTGCTCCAAGCATGGGGGGGAGAGGGGTGGTACGTTTTCATTGTGATACCCGGGGTCGTTGTGATAGACGATTTCCCATCCCATCTTCACGCCTCGAAAGCGCCAGAGCGACCCACCTGCCTGGCAGTTGGGAGGCAAACGAAGAAAACACGTTAACACGACAAGGCTTGATCACGAGGCTTGTTGTCGGGCAGTTTCCTCTCGGCCCCGGAGGCTGAATACCGATACTGCCCTACATAGAAAGATAGATAGAGACTAATCGTACATAGCCAATCTACCTGATAGAGGTGCTGCTAGGCAGCAACCGACACCAACACTACAGGACACGCTCTCTCTGCTTGATTTGGCAACTTATGTAGGTGGCTCCGGCCAACACCTCGGTATAGAACGAGAGACTCGGGTCGGACATGCACCCCAATCCCCGACGGGTAGGCCAGGGCTCCCACACCGGGCCATCAGACAGGTACGTACTTCGGGTAGGTACCCAGGCATGCAGGCAAGTACTGTGCAAGTGTCGCATTTGGGAACGCACCCTCGAGCACGCTCACCCGGATGATAGGCGTGAGCGCCAGGCAGGCGCCTGGGCACGCAGGCTCCAACAAATGGTGGCGTTTGCTCGTGAAGATGCATGCGTATGACCAAAGCTGGCCTCCATGCTTCACCACCACCACCGCCGTGACAGCAACAGGGGCTGCCTTAGATGCCTAACTGTAGGTAGGTGGTAGGTACCCACACCTAGCAAGGCACACGAATGTTTTGCGATAGGGCAATTCACGCACCTCTAGACAACGCAAGACTCGCTGACGCCCGACAGTTCGACGAGGGTTCCATGGAAGGGTAGGACTTTTCCCTAGAAGCGCGGGAGAAACACGACCCCCTCCCGAAAAAAAGGCGCGGCTGCGGTTGGAGGGGGAGGTGAGGGGAGGGGAGGGGAGGGGAGGGGGTGTGGGCGCAGCGATGGGGGATGGGATACATGGCACTGCAGGGCGCTGCTGATTCTGCTTGGCGCGCCATCATGGCGACCTTGCGTCTGCTTGCATGCGGCCTGCATAGCTACCACCTAGCTACTAACTACATGGAGGCCCTGTGGAGGTTGTCCGCCTCCGGCAACATGTGTTGGCGAGGGATCGAGGGTCGGAGGGCGGGCCCCCTGCCCACATCTATCGGCCGACGTCAAGAAGGCCAACGTGTGGGCACTGCATCACATGTAGGTATGCGTGGGAAGGCAACCGCTTATGGGGCCGGTTTCGTTCGCATCGATTTAACCTGCAAATGGCCTCAGATGGCCGGGTACGCTCAGGTAATACGGCAGTGTGCAGTCGGCACCTGTGCAAGACGCGGGAGGCCCAAGAAGCAAAAAAGAAAGAGAAAAGAAGAAGAAAAAGGGCAAAAGGTCGATCCGGCAGGCGGTTCCGTCATGGTTGGTGTGCAGGGCATGTGTGAGCCGAACGACTCGTATGTCCGTCGTATCTCAGAGGGGGGGGGACCTTGGCTCCGAGCGAACCGAACTTACGGTCTGGGATCAATGTCTGCATCTTCTCGAAGCAAAGATGGAAGCCCGGCAACAATTGTGGCGGTGATTTGGTTTCTGGTTTTTTAATTTGCGCGCTGCAAACCCGATTGGACTTTCCAACTGGGCGTTCTGCAGGGCAGTTTTTCCCCCGCGGGAATTGATGGTTGCTGCGCCTCATGAGCCGAACTCAAATGCAGACGGATTGTGAGTCAAATGAGCAGATGCAGCAACAGTGCATCCGCCAGGGTGGGAAAATGCAGGCAGATGAAGGGCGGCTGCCGAGGCGGATTCTGCATAAGGCGTCCGCCAGTCGGAATCGTCTCCTCTCACCAAGTATGAACGCATTCCCTTTTTTTTTTTTTTTTTTTTTCTGGCCCGACATCACCACCGTCACCACCGTCATCATCGGCGTCACAGGAGCACTCACTGCTCAAGGAACGAGTTGTATCATGGAGGGCGGATGATTTCCCTCCCCGCAAGCTTGAATTACCGCATCTAGACCGGACGCAAGTGTTGTGTGACTCTGGTACACACTTCAACCGAGCTCTGGGTCAAGAATCCCGGCCGGCACGTTTGGCATGATGGATGGCCCCTTCCCCTCACCCGTGCCGCGCCTGCCCCTCTTTCCCCCAGATTCGTGGCTTTTGTCGGCTTTGTTGGAAGAGCCAATTGAGGCCCCCCCCCTTTTTTTTTTGACTGGTTCTTGAGCTTTACTCGCGAATGGCTTCATAAATACCGCAAAAAGAAAAGAAAAAGAAACAGTCGCGACTTGCTCTAACGCTCCCCTAGTATCCCTTACATATTCAGTTTACTCCGATATCAGGACCTCGCTCGCAAGGACCCATCCATGCCCCCATTGACGTCTTAGCCGGCCCCGCTGCGCTAGGATCTGGGGACATATCGCTCGCAGCGAGAGGGGAAAGAGCTCCACGCCTTGCTGGGGTGCGAATCGCCGAAGTCGCGGGTTCGAAAGTGGGCTGCTTGTGAATATCGCAACAGACTAAAACCCTGCCGAGCGCTGGTTTTGTCTGTGGCTCGCACTAGGGAAGCCCTCGCTCACTTCAAAGCGTATCCCGTGCGAGGTGATTTGCTGCTTGCTTGCTGCCGCCACCGCTGCTGCTGCTATATCGCCTTGCTGTTACTGGTCCTTAGGTGCGCCGAGCGCATCCACCCCCCCTCCCGAGACTCTCGAGTCGCGAGAAGAACCGATATCTTCCCGGCATTATTCCGCTAGCCAGACAGCGCATCCCCCTAAAGAAACCCGCTGGTTATAATATACAAGGCAGGTGTCTTACCTCGGCCCATGATGCGTCCCGCCGCCTCCCGAGTGTTCGGCCAGTCCGCGCTCCTGGCCCGCCAGCAGCTCCTCGCCCGCCCTCACCAGCCCCTCGCCGCCGCCGCCGCCCGACTGTACCTGCCCCCGCTGGCGAGCACCACGCGCACGCGCACCATGGCCACCGCCGCAAAGATCAAGGTCAAGAACCCCGTCGTCGAGCTCGACGGGGACGAGATGACGCGCATCATCTGGCAGTCCATCAAGGACAAGTTCATCCACCCCTACCTCGACATCGACCTCAAGTACTACGACCTGGGCCTGCCGTACCGCGACCAGACCGACGACCAGGTCACGCTCGACGCCGCCGAGGCCATCAAGAAGTACTCGGTCGGCGTCAAGTGCGCCACCATCACGCCCGACGAGGCCCGCGTCGAAGAGTTCAAGCTCAAGAAGATGTGGCTGTCGCCCAACGGCACCATCCGCAACGCCCTGGGCGGCACCGTCTTCCGCGAGCCCATCGTCATCCCCCGCATCCCCCGCCTCGTCTCGTGCTGGAAGAAGCCCATCATCATCGGCCGCCACGCCTTTGGCGACCAGTACCGCGCCAAGGACCTGGTAGTCCCCGGCCCGGGCAGGCTGACCATGACCTACACTCCTGCAGGCGGTGGCAAGCCCGAGGAGATCGAGGTCTTTGAGTTCAAGAACGGCGGTGGCATCGCCCAGACCCAGTACAACACGGACGAGAGCATCACGGGCTTCGCCCACTCGAGCTTCAAGCTGGCGCTCACAAAGGGCCTGCCGCTGTACATGAGCACCAAGAACACCATCCTCAAGAAATACGACGGCCGCTTCAAGGATATCTTCCAGGAGCTGTACGACACAAAGTACAAGCCCGAGTTCGAGGCCAATGGCATCTGGTACGAGCACCGCCTGATCGACGACATGGTCGCCCAGATGATTAAGAGCACCGGCGGCTACATCATGGCCCTGAAGAGTAAGAGACAGAGAGAAGGACTTGCTCCGTGAACTTGTTTGTGACAGAAAGAAAAGGGGAACCAATAACTGACGTGTGAAACCCCTCTCTTTAACCAACTTCCAGACTACGACGGCGACGTGCAGTCCGACATCGTCGCCCAGGGCTTCGGCTCCCTGGGCCTCATGACGTCTGTGCTCATCACGCCCGACGGCAAGACGTTCGAGTCGGAGGCCGCCCACGGCACCGTGACGCGCCACTACCGCGAGCACCAGAAGGGCAAGGAGACGTCGACCAACCCCATCGCCTCCATCTTCGCCTGGACCCGCGGCCTCGTCCAGCGCGGCACCCTCGACGGCACCCCCGATGTCGTCGCCTTCGCCGAGAGCCTCGAGAAGGCCTGCATCGACACGGTCGACGTCGACGGCATCATGACCAAGGACCTCGCCCTCGCCTGCGGCAAGACGGCCCGCGGGGACTACGTCACCACCAACGAGTACCTCGACGCCGTCGAGAGGCGGATGAAGTCGATCCTCAAGGAGAAGCTGTAAAAAGCGGGCTGCTGGGCCGATTTGGAAGAGAACGGGTAGTTCGGGTGAGCCACTCGAGTAAAATCTTGGGTGGCAAGAGGGACGCGAGAGCCCCCTTTTTGTTTGCCCTTGTTCTTGTTCGCTGCAAAAGCATGGTCTTTGTCGGCTTTACCCCAACAAACCCGACGACCAATCCCACCCGCAGCTGGGCTTAACCCAAAAATCCTGCCCCCCAGCATCATCTCGGGCTAGCGCACTCCGCACTCACGCCAGCCATGACAACGTGCGGGAAGCAGGTTTCTGCATTGAATGGCAAATCCCACCTATGAAAGGAATGGGGTGGTCAGAAAGAATATTCCTGGCTTGTTTTTTGGTTTGTTTCTTTCTTTCTTTTCTTTTCGATGTTAAACTGGGGGAAAAAAGGAAAGACTTGCTTGGATATTTCTCACTGCATAGGTTCCAGCTCCCGCCAGCCGATCTTGTTGGATACATATCGGGGCCCATCCGTGTCGCTACGAGGCTTGGGGCTGGACAGAGATTCTTGTAAATAGGATCGAGACGCTGTCGTGGTGTACGTATCAAAGTAGTACATACAAGCATTTCATATGCCTGCTAGGCCGATAGGATACAAAAAGCGCTGAATGTTCCTGTAGAGGGCACATGGAAAAAGAAATCGCTACAGGCAGCAGAAAGCGTGGATGGCTAAACGTTGATTAATGGAGCAGGCCTATCCATCCAGTCAATCCCTGCCGAGACTCCCTCGACTCCAACTCCAAGCGCCCAATCTTTTGCCCGTTTTTGTAAGCCATCGCCAACCCCGACACAACTCAGCGCAGCTCTAACCTATTCCTACACGGCTGCAATATTGTTCACAAGTTACATGGCCAAGTTAAATAAGGAAAGAAATAAACAAAGGAAGAGAGAGGGCGGGTGCAAGATCTAAAAACCCGTCCGAGTGCAAGGGGACACCCGTCCCTACTCGACCTCGTCCGTGTCGGGCTCGTCAACCGCCTCGGCGGTGGACAGGTGACTCCTGCGCGACTTTGCGCCGCGGCCCGTGGCTGTCGGGGTAACGTCGCCGTCCCCGCCTTCGCTCTTGCGCTTCGACTTCTTGGCCGGCCTGCTGGACCCGCCCTTGGGCCGGTACCCTGAATCGTCGTCGGCAGGGCGCTTGCGCTTACCGGCGGCACCCTTGCCCGCCGTCGGGGTCGCCGCGACGGCGGCGTCGGCCGACATGGTCTCGTCGTCGTCGTCGTGGGTCGCGACGCTGGCGCCGTCCTCCAGGTCCGACGCGGCGATCATCGACGCCGAGAGCGACGAGCGCGCCGCGGCGGCGGACCGCTTCGTCCCTCTAGCGCCCCCAGCCGAGGATCTCCTGTTGGCCGTTGGCGTCGTGGTCCCCTTGGCTGCGGCTCTCCTATCGGCCGCGCCGCCGACCGACTTGCGGCTGCGCGCCGCCGAGCCCAGTGCGGCCTTGTCGCCCGCGGCCAGGCGGCCTTTGTGGCTGCCGCCGTTGTGGGCGTGGTGGTCGTCATCGTCGCCGTTCTCCTTGTCCGCTGACGTCTCGCCGTCCTGCAGGAACGTCTTGGGCGCGTGCTTGCGCAGCCAGTTATAGACGCTGGTCGGGTTGCGCAGCGCAAAATCGCGGCTCGCGGCCGACATGGCCTCGTCGGCGGCCGTGGCGGCCGCTGCCGCCCCCCGGGAGCGACCCTCGCCTCCGCGCTCGCCCTTCCTGCCCGTGGTGGCGCCGTTGGACACGGTGCCATTGTTGCCGCTGGCCTCCTGCAGCGTGGCGAGTGCCTTGGGCGCGAGTGTGGGCAGCTGGGGTAAGGCTGGGGCGTCGAGGTCTTGGCGACGCTGGGCGATGCGGCAGTCGGCTTCCCACAGGTAGTTGTCAATGTCGTCGGCGGTAAGGAACGAGGCTGGGTGGCTGGCCTGGGAAGGGTCTATGATGGCGCCGGGGAATCCCTCGGTTCCGGCTTCCAGGTCCGAGACAACATCGGGGAACAAGCGTGCCGCGACTGCGTATTTGTGGTGCGGCACCTTTTCTAAAAGTTCGGCGAAGGACTTTCCAGATCGCGGTGCGTCATCGTCGTCTGTGTCTGCTCGCCTTGGGCGGTCGATAGGCAGGACGGGTTCGTCAGACATGTCCTTGGGCCTGTTTGCGAGGCTCAGATCGAAGCGCCTGTCCGTCGGGATCTGCGGCGCGTTGTTGAGATCTAGGAGCATGTCCAGGAGACGACTGAGGTTGGTCGAGGTTAGAAAAGATGCAGACAGGATCACGGCAAAATGGGAAACACGTACTCAATCTCAATGGCGATGCGTTTGTTGGTGTCGATGGCTTTTTGCTCCCTGCGGTACAGCTCTTCGCTTTCGCGCATCTTACGGTCGAAGTTGTCGCGCATCTTTCTGTACTTCTTCTTCCATGACTTGTACGAGCCCTTGGATCTGTCGTTGCCGCCGTGTCCGACGTCCTCCATCTGGAGGTCCGAGTGGGACGCTGTCGCATCGTCGTCCATCGCGGCGTCGTGGTCTTAGGGGCCAGGCTGCGTGTGCGAGAGAGTGCGTGACGCGATGGGCGATTGTCTGGAGCTCGGGAGATGGCTTGTTCGAAGCCGCATGAAGTTGGGGTTAAAGCCAGGCGCGTTGAATTGAAGTGACGTGATGGATGGTGATGTGGTTTGGATTTTGTTTCTAAAGTCAAGTCCTTTCGCAGCCGAAACGCGGCGCCACGCAAGGGTTGATGGAGAAATCAGGGCAGGACACAGTCGTGTCGTGATGCATGTTCTGCCCGTAGCCCTTGCTGGATTTGCTGCTTCCAACCGCGCGTCCCCGTCGACGAGAAGCGCTGCAGCCAGAGCTGCCTTCCCCAAGAATCCACTCTTCTCTCTCCCTGGGCTGTCTAGGTCCGGCGATGGATGCAACCAGTGGGGCGGCGCAGCTTGCTCCAGGCAGGGGCCCTGGCTAGCAGGCGATTGCCCAACCAACCAAATCGACGCAGCGGGCGGCATTGACAGCCCACCCACCTCAGAACGAAGCTTTTCGGCGGGGGGTTGTCCGCTGCTCTGCTAAGACCAAAAAACAAGACGGCCTCGTCTCTCCCAGGCGCCCTGCTACTTCACACAAACCGTCCCGCAGCCTGACCGTCATCCACGAGGTCCGTTGACACCGCCAACCACACCAGGCGCAAATCATAACCGCCGCAGCGCACAACGTCTACTTTTTGGGGCTCATCAAGTCCCCCCCACTTCCTTCCCACAACTCGCAGCGCCGCCCCCTCCCACCAGGCAAAGAGTCGCTGCTCCCATCCGTCGCTTCTTTACTTTCATGTTCCGGCGCCTCCTGGCGCACAATATCAAAATGGCCGAGAGCGCAGCGAAGCGTCTCAAGACGGCGGCGGCGGACGGCGGGCCCGACGTCGCCATCGGCACCCACAACGGCCACTTCCACGCCGACGAGGCCCTGGCCGTCTACATGCTGCGGCAGCACATCCCCACCTACGCCGGCGCTGCCCTGGTGCGCACCCGCGACCCGGCCGTGCTGTCGGGCTGCCACACGGTCGTCGACGTCGGCGGCGAATACGACCCGGACCGCCTGCGCTTCGACCACCACCAGCGCACCTTCAACACCACCTTCCCCGGCCGCCAGACCAAACTGTCGAGCGCCGGGCTCGTCTACATGCACTTTGGCCGCCAGATCATCGCGCGCCGCCTGGGCGACCCGGACAGCGACAACGAGGCCACGGTCGACATGCTCTACGCCAAGCTGTACGAGAGCTTCGTCGAGGCGCTCGACGCGCACGACAACGGCATCCACTCGTACGACCCCGCGCTGCTCGCGGCCGCCGGCGCCGAGAAGCGCTTCTCGACGGGCGGCTTCACCCTCGGCGCCGTCGTCGGGCGCCTCAACCCCAACTGGAACGACCCCGTGCCCGAGGACCCGGCCGAGGCCCAGGCGGCCGAGGACAAGCGCTTCGAGGCGGCGTCGGCCCGCATCGGCATGGAGTTCGACCTCGACCTCGACTACTACACGCGCTCGTGGCTGCCCGCCCGCTCCGTCGTCGCCGACGCCTTTGCCCACCGCGACGAGCACGACGCCCCGGGCCGCGGCGGCGGCCGCATCCTCGTCTTCAAGGGCCAGTCGGTCCCGTGGAAGGACCACCTCTACAACCTCGAGGCCGAGGCCGAGGCCAAGGGCGCTGCTGGTGACAACAAGGTCGTCTACGTCCTGTACCCGGAGAAGCCCGCGCCCGACGCCAAGTGGCGCGTCCAGGCCGTGCCCGAGTCCAAGGACTCGTTCCAGAGCCGGCTGCCGCTGCCAGAGGCCTGGAGGGGCTTCCGGGACGAGGAGCTCGACAAGATCACGGGCATCCCCGGCTGCGTCTTTGTGCACGCCGCCGGCTTCATCGGCGGGAACAAGACGTTTGAGGGCGCCCTGGCCATGGCCAAGAAGGCCCTGGAGTCGTCATGAGGCTGTGAGGCTGGCAGGTCGGGCGCACAGGCAAAGGCTGGGGATATCAGGCAAATCCGTGCCCACCACAAAGGGCAAGGGCAACTCGGGTCGCTGGGCTGGCATTTTGGGTCATAGAGAGGGGATATGCATGGAACGAACCTATGATGAAAATAAGACATGATACCACTCTCTCCATGATTCTCCGCAACAGAGTTTGCACAGTCCCGTGAAAGTCATGTGAAGGCACGAATATCAGGCGAATGAATTATTAGGGCTCATAGAAGTTGCCGCCGTTGTTATGAGTGAGTGTTGCCGAGCGTGGATACAGGAGGCAGGATCCTAATTCTAGGGCATCACATCATGGCGCAGTCAAGCTATGCATCTTGGATGAATAGCACAAACGAGCAACGTTGGGGTTCATAAGCAAATCCATGAAATCACGAGAAAGACTGGGGAGGGGGAAAGGACATGTGCCCACGTCATATAAACAACCTCATATCCCATATCACCAAATATCAATTTGCGTTCATACCGTTCCCCCCGCAACTCCCAGTTCCAGAGCCAGACGCCGCAATTGTTGCGCGTAAAAAGGTCGCAACAGATCGAGATCAAAATCGAGAGCAAAACTGAGCAAGAAAGAGAAGAACGGCGCAGATAGGAGATAAATGGGAGGGCAAGCATCCCCACCGATTCCTTATCATAGCTCGCCACAAAGCCACCGCACAGTCATAATCCTCCCTTCATGGTCGTTTCGTTTCCCAGAAGAGGTATTCATTCAACATCAAGAGGGGACACAGAAGGCGGGGTAATTGTTCACCTGGATGCCCAGATAAACATCAATCCTGGCCTTGAAAGGGAGAGAGGAGATATAGAGAGAGCTTTTTGTGAAAGAGAGAAAAGGCTCAGAAGTGGCGATAAAAGAATAAACAGGAAGAGAGACCCAGGCCATTCCGGCCTCGACGCAGATCTATCCTCGGATCGGGATAGCCTCGGCCTTGGCTGCGCTGTCGGGTTGCTGCAGCGCGGCCTGCTTGGCCCCGGCGGGCGCCGCGGGGGCGGCGGCCTTGTCCGTCTCCTCGTCGGCGTCGTCGGCGTCGTCGGCGCTCGTCTCGCGGTGCAGGATGCTGCTCTCCTTGACGGGGCTGCCGGCGGCGGCGGCGGCGGCGACGCCGGCGCTGGAGCCGGCGGGCGGGTGCAGGTGGGGTATCAGGCCGTTGGCGAGGCCGGAGCTGCCCGACGAGCCGCTGGCGGGGGAGGACAGGTGGGGGATGTTCTCGGGCACGGGGTGCTGAGAGCCGACGGAGCCGGCGTCGACCGAGTCGGCCTTGCCGGCCTTGGACAGGGCGTAGTCGCCGCTGTCGAAGTACTTGCGTTCCTTGAGGTGCTTGGCGAAGTGGTCCGACTTGGAGGGGAGCTTGCCGTAGAGCCGGAACAGGCGCTGCTCCTCGGGAGAGAGGGACTGGGTGGTCGTCAAGCAGAGAGAAGCGCCGTGGTTAGCTGCGGGGTTCGGCGACCGCGGATCGTGACACATGGGCTATTCAGGCTCGGGAGAGATTGCGGGGGGAAGATGGGGCAGAGGGTTTGAAGGTGTCGGAGGGGCTCACGTTGATGTCAATCTTGTTCTTCTGGTGAGGATTCATCTTGACTTGCGTGGCTGCCCGCGGACGAGACGAGCAGGCTATAATGGCTGGGTCGAGGCCGGGAAATGCCCCGCTCGAGATGCTCGCAGAGCCGTCGTCTCGTTTGGGTCGGGTCGCGCAAGGGCTGGAGAAAGCGAAAGGAAAGTAAAAAGGTAAAGTAACGAGCGGTTCGTCAAAGGAGGGCTGCTGGAAAAGGAGGTACAGAGAACGAGAAAGTAGGCCACGGGTGGCTATTTAGTGTTGTACAGCCTTTTTGTTTTCGCCTTGATGTTTTCGCCAACAAAAATACCAGCCAAGGGCGTCGGTCAATCCGTCGTTTCGAGGGGATCTGAGCCTGATATCAGGTTTGGTTGATTGGAGAAAGGAGTACGGTCGAGGTTGCACGCCCTTCCTCCCCCCTGGGGATGCGGGGCCAGGCTGCTGCTTAGCTTGGTCCAGGGTGGGGAAGGCGGGTGGGCCGGCTTCTTGGAGCTGGCGCTGGAAACCAGAACTGATGTCTGTCGGGCCCCTGTTTGTCGGGCCCCCTAGCTGTGATTTATCGAACGTCAATTGTTCGATGTGGAACGTCGGGATGGCACGACGTTTGCAGCACACAAAGGACGCTCCCGTCCAGCTGGTCGAGCTACAGTCGTCCCCCCATCTCGCTGGGCCGTATCGATCTCATACGTCAAGTCAGCTACCTATAGCGCGAGACGTGTCTGTTTTGATTGCCCTCGCATGAATGTCTGGTATTATTATCTCATGTCGTTTCCCAGGCAAAACCGCCCCTTCTCCATGTGCCCGTGACTGGTCTTTTTAGCGGGGATGGAAGCTCTGCAATCCTTCTATCGAATGCGAAGGAGCTGCCGTGCCGAAAGCTGACTACCATCTGCTCCTTCTTTTGTTCCACTCACACGACTCGGCTCGTCACGTCTGGCCATGGTGAATCCATGTGCCGTTCTGCCCACACGCCACCAGGAAACGGCACTCGCGGCACCGCTCACGGCGGCGTGGACTATACACAAGCGACGGCAAACCAGGGTCCCGAGTAGGATCCTGCAGTGCAGCTCCTGTGCGGGCGGGAACGCGCCGGCTGTGGGGGTCACAAGACCGCCGCCATGGGCAAGCCCTCAAGCCAGACCCCCAGAGCAGCCAACTAACACTAAAGCTTTCCATCCGAGCTTGCACATCACACCCTCATCACACCGACGGTGACCAAGAAATAGCTAATATTCGCCACCTGAAATACTACCTACCCCGTCCATTGCCCGTCCATTATCTATTAGGTATCAATCGTCCCCATCCCTGTCACCACCGACCACCGACCACCCACCGCCGGGGGTCTGTCACCGCGCCCGCAGCCAATGGACGATGGCCGCGAATAGAGGTGGAAACGACGCGATCGACCAGGCTCCCCCAAGTTCGGGCCACGCCCTCTGGAAAGCTTCCCCGCCCTGCAAAAGTCCAAGCCGGCGGCCACACCAGGACGAGATGGACCCAGCTCGTCTGGTGCCGCCGCGGCCGCGGCCGTCCAGTCTCCAGAGCCCCGTGCGGCCAAAGTTGGCGCGCTCCAGGGCGCCCGATTCTTGCTCCTTGCAGCTCGGGCAGATAGGCCGCCGGGTGTCGGAACCGGGGGTTGGGCCTGATTCGGTGGTTCTAAAGGGGGAAGCAAGAGACAAATTTCAGACGACTGTATAAGCGGTTGCCCAGTTTTGTTTTATTCTTTAGGCGACAAAGAAAAACGACGGAAGAAGACTACGACGGAAACTTCTCTCACTTTGGTAAGGCCAAGAGGGCAAACAAGCCCCCCATAACGGGCCGAGCCACAAACGTCGGCCCGCCTCCCGGGTAGCCCCCCGTGCTCGCGTCGTAGAGGTCCGTCATGGCCCTGTCTGACGTGGTGGCGTCGATCCACTTGCGCAACTTGGAGACGAACATGGTCTTGGTCTCGTTGTCGGCCACGGCCGCGGCAAACATCTGCCACTTTTGTTTTTATGTTCGGGTACGTCAGTCTCTCTGGTTGGCGTATGGATGGGTGGTGGTTCACAAGGGGGAACAAGGGAACATGGGAAGAAGGAAGCTTACGTCGCTCTTGGTCCATGTGTGGCGCGTGTCGAGGGCGACACCGAACTCGAGCTCCACGCTCCTGTAAAACGTGCTCTGCATGTCGTACACGGACTGGGGCACGAAGCCGAGGTTGAGCAGACGGTCACTGTAGATGTTGTACAGCAACCCGTGGCTGTCGGGCTGGTTGTACGACAGCGTCGTGTGCGGCGGGTTGGCCGCCGAGTTGACGGCCAGGCGCTGCCAGGCGTCGAGGTAGCTGCTCGCGATGGCGCCGAACGACTCCTGCTCCACGGCCAGCTCAGCGGCGCCTGACGAGGCCCGCCGCTCAATCTCGGCCATGGCGCGCAGGCCGATGATGCCCTTGATGGCCAGGTTGGTCTGGTTGGCTAGGGTGCCGGCGAAGTCGTCGGTCGACAGCTGGTTGGCTGGTACGAGGCTGTCGTCGACGAGGAAGGCGGCCCACTGGCGCAGCTTGGGCAGGCGCGCGCGCAGGTAGTCGTCGTCGGCGGCGCGCTGCGCGTAGGCGAGCGTCATGATGATCATGTTGCCGCACTCCTCGAGCGGCATGGGCTCGTCGTTGCCGGCCGGGTAGCCCAGGGCGTTTGGGAAGGTTCCCAGGTCGTGGATGGCGTAGCTGTTGGGGTAGTGGCCCGCCTCCTGGTTCTCGTACAGCGGGTCCAGCAGCAGCCGCAGCAGCCGCGGGTTGAGGTACAGCAGGATCGGCATGGCCGGGAAGATGACGTCGACCGTCTGTACGTCGCTGTTGGAGCTGATCTCCTTGAGGAACACGTACTGCTGGCCGCCGGGCCCCTGCGCCATCTGCAGCCCGCCAAACGTCTGCCGTACCGCCAGTGTTGTGATGGCAGCGTAGTCGTCCCCGCCCGCCGCCGCCGAGTCGGCCCGGATCCGCTCGTCGAGCGAGTCCGCCGCCCGGACAGCCGCGCTCCAGTCGCGGTGGAACCCGGCCGCCGAGTCGGCCGCGCTGCCGAAGTTCCTCTTCCACGGCCCCGTCAGCGCCGTGGGCGAGGCGCCCTGGCCCTGAAAGTTGACGACTGAGTCCTGCGCCAGCCCGAGCGTGAAGACCACCTCCTTCTCCTCCCCGGACACGCCGCCGAGGTCGCGCGCAAAGGCGAAGACGGGCCAGTTGTCGGCCACGGAGCGCGGGTTCCCGTCGACCGAGTTGTCGAGCCGCCCGTCGGCCGCGAACTGCTGCCGCGTCGCCACATCGCCGCCGCCCACGCGCGACGTTAGTCCCGCGTCCCCAGAGGTGGCGAGAAACCACGTGCCCCAGTTGGCCTGCTCGTTGCTCTCGCGGAACACTGCCTGGTCCCGGAGCGCGAACTCGGCGTACTCGACGGCGTTGCCGCCCGTGCCCGAGGTGCCCTTGCTCCACTGGATGATCTTGGAGTGGTCGCCTCCGCTGGCGAATTCTGCTCCGTGGGACAGGGGGGATGATGGTCAGTCACACACTGCCCTTTTCTCTCCTTCGGATATCCCTCGTATTGCAAACTCACCTCCCGCGACATCCATGTACACCTGCACGTTGTGGCTGGCCCCGTCAGAGGACTTGACCCCGACGCGCACGTACGAGAACTGCAGCGACTGCTTTTCCACGTCGTCCGGGTAGACGGGGGAGAGGAAGGTCACGGTCATGGCGACCTTGCCCCCCACGTCGAACGTGAAGATGCTCTTGGTCGACGTGTAGGTGAAGGACAGCTGGTTGACCGCGGGCGGGCCGGGAGCCGCGCCCATCCAGTTGTACATGGCGTTGTCCACCCGGACGAAGCCCTGCCATCCGGTGATCTGGCCTCTATATCGTTGGAGGCTGTCGTGTCAGTCGTTATCCCACATCACATGCCCCTCCTTCTTTGCTGTAGACTTACGCCCAGAACTTTGGCCACGTGCCAGGCAGAATGCCTTTGGCATCCCCATTGAGCCAGGTGTTTAGATATGGCGATCTCACGGCCAAGGGGATCGCCGGCGGTCTGGCCGGGGCGAATGTAGACACAGCCTGCGCCGGGAGGCCGGCGTACAGGCTGACGAAAGCGAGCAGGTGCAGTAGGAGCTTCATGTTCGATCCTCTCTGCTATCGTCAATATTCGACGAAAGGAGGCTGACGCTGGCTGCTTCAGATGCACCACCAAGCGCGCGAAAGGAGCGTCTGCGAGTGGGAGGGGGTTTTTATAACCGGCCCAAGGAGAAGAAGATCACAAGGAGAGGATGAGCAGTCCACCACTAGCCCAGGTTCGATGTCAGACATGCGGCTACGCCCTTGAATTACTCGAAGCCGGAAGAGAAGCCAAGCCAAGCCAAGCTAAGGAAGTTAGGAGCCTGACGGAAGGAGGTGGGTTTGGCGCATGGTGAGGCGGGACGACATGCCTTTTTTTTTACGACGTAGCCGACATTGTATCCTACTCACTGCTAACAAGTAGTTCCCAAAACACATACCACATGATCCTTGCCTCCTATTTTCTCCTTAATGTGCCTACTGCGGCCGCCAGGGAGCGGGTTCTAGACTTGACTGTGCGCAGGCCTAGCGACTTTTTGGGGGGTGGCAGGTGAGTCGAGCATCGAGCGTGTGTGATTCTACCTCGGTTAATATAGGGGAAAGGAGAGGAAAGATCGATCTCCCACTGCCACATTCCTTCTCTTTTCCGCCTTGTGATCCGAGTTTGCAGCACACACAAGGACTTGCTGTTACGGATACAAACTCCCCGCTCGCGCCGTGTCTGATCACGGGGAGACCCCCGCCCGCTGGGGGGAATAAAAGAGGGCGCGGCATATATGAATAGGTGGGTTGCATCGAGCAAAATGACGGCATGTTTCAATGCGGGCGGACCGACTTTTGTCACGAGGGCTACAAAGCGCGGGAAGAGGGCTCGTTGGAGGATGGGCATAGTTCGTCGCCCATTTCAGAACCCAGCCCTTTGGTTACCGATTAAGGCACGCCTCGTGCCGGCGCGGGCAGAGGCGGCCGTGTCTGGGCAGGGCACCACGGATGAACCCTTGGTGTTTGCATCAAAAAAACGTGCACAGAAGCGCGTAGTATAAGTAGAGTGTTGTGAATATGTTTCGAAACAAACGTTCTATGGGCCGCGCTTGTTTACCTGAAAGGGAACATGACTATGATGGGGAAATCTCGGGACGAGCAGGGAAGGACGTAGGTTGATGGTAAGAGGTCGTCGCGTCGTCTGTTTTCCCTTCTGTCATCCCGACTGACCTGACTAGGCCTGGCGGAGATTGGAGAGTTGGCGGCTCTGATACACAATTGCATGCACGCCCGCGAATCGCAACTCTGCTCATGTGCCAAATGCCGTGCGCACGCGCACGTTCGGTCGGGGTCGCGGCGGCCGCACGGCCAAGGGGGAAGGGCGGGTTCGGCGCCTTCGGATGGCAGGCAAACCTTGTGATGATGAGACGGATTCCAGGCCCTCCCTCCCAAGAGAAAAGCCAGCAAAGCGGCGCCCCGTCACAGATCCCGTGACTAGACCGCGCCTGGGCCCGAAGCTGCCGCGCGAGGGTGCTGCCGAGGGATGGCGTGCGAGTCTAATATCGCAGTAGGAACTGACTTGGTACAAAAGGCCGTAGCTCCATCGATTAAGAGGGGTGGTTTCTAACATTAAAAAAAAGGTACAGCTTTGACCTGAAAAAGAAAGAAAAAAGGTTAAAAGTACAGTTAAAACAGTGGATTCCTACTGCCCCTAGTGTCCGGCAGCAAGAGCCGGCGCAGCCTGCCTGTCGGCCTCGCCCTCCTCCTCGGCCCCGGCGGCGGCCTTCTTCTTCTTCAGGCTGATCCAGCTGAGCCCCAGGGCGGCGAAGAAGGCGAGGCCCGCGCACGCCGTCGCGACGTAGTAGGTGCCGCGCAGGCCCCGGAGGTACGCGGCCCGCACCAGGTCGTAGACGCGGTCGAGGCCGCCGTTCTGCTCCATGACGGCGCGGAGCTGCGGGTCCCGCTCCAGGCGCTCGAGCGTCTGCCGGATACCCGAGGCGCCGCTGTTGATGAAGATGGCGGGCGGCAGGCCCGGCACGTCGGTGGCGATGGAGTCGAGGAGGCCGTTGGTGAAGACGGTCTGCGCGACGGCGATGAAGACGGCTCCGCCTGGAATTTGGGTGGGGGAGGGGCGCGTTTTAACCAGGTCAGCATAAAAGAAGGGTTGGGGCTGGTGGTGGTAAGTAAAGAAGAAGGAGATGAAAAAACCTACCAAGCGTCTGCATAAACTGCACCGCTGCAGTTCCAACCGGCACCCAGTCCAGAGGGAGCACGTTCTGGATGACGAGCACGCCGATCTGGAAGCCGCAGCCGACACCGAGGCCCGCCAGCACCTGGTAGCCGAACCACTCGCGCATGGGCGTGTCGAGGCCAAAGGTCGAGACCATGGCGCAGCCGACGGTGAAGAGCACCATGGACGGCAGGATGAAGGGGTTGTAGTACCCGACGGCGGTGATGAGCCCGCCCGTGGCGACGGAGGCCACCACCACCGAGATGAGCAGCGGCAGCAGCTTCAGGCCGGCCTGCACGGCCGTGTCGGCCTGGATGGCCTGGAAGTAGAGGGCGAGGTAGTAGATGAGCGGGAAGAAGGCGGCGCCGAAGAAGAAGGCGAACAGCATCGCCATGACGACGTTCCGGTTCTTGAACAGGAACGGCGGCAGCGTGGCGTTATCGCCCTGCCAGACCTGGATGCCGGCGAAGACGAGGGCCATGGCGCCGGCGCCCACGAACAGGCCGATGACCTGGGAGCTGTTCCACGCGAGCTCGCTGCCGCCCCACTGCAGCGCCAGCAGGAAGCACACGATGGCCGGCACCAGCATGACCAGGCCGACGACGTCGATGCCCTTGAGGCGCTGCGCCAGGCTCAGGCCGTCCGGGTTGTTGACGCGGTTGATGTGCAGGAACAGAAAGATGGCGACCATGGCGACGCCGCCGATGGGCAGGTTGATCCAGAAGCACCAGCGCCAGGTGACGTGGTCGGTGAAGGCGCCGCCCAGCAGCGGGCCCGCGACGCTCGCGATCCCCCACATGGCGCCGATAAGGCCAAAGGCCAGGGGCCGCTGGCGCAGCGGCAGCGTGTAGCTCAGGATGACGACGCCGCCCGAGAAGAGGCCGCCGACGCCGACGCCGGCGAGGGCGCGGCCGACGATGAAGGCGTTTGACGTGGGCGCGAGCGCGCACACGAGCGACCCGAGCTCGAACAGGGCCACGGCGGCGAGGTAGGTCATCTTGACCGAGAAGATGCGGTAGAGGCGGCCGTAGGTCAGCGACGTGGCCGTGCTGGTCAGCAGGTAGGCGGCGCCGTACCAGCCGATGTCCTTGACGCTCGCGAACTCGCCCGTGATGGCGCCCAGGGCCGGCGCGATGATGGTCTGGTCCAGCGCCACCAGGAACACCGACAGGCAGAGCGCCGAGATGATGAGCACCAGCTTCAGGCCCTTGGGGTACTGCATGTCGTCGTCGGCCCCGGCGCCCGTCTTGGGGGCCTCGGGCTCGGCCGTCTTGGCCCCGGCCGCGCCAGGCGCGCCGCCATTCTTCTCATCGGACGAGGCGTCGGTGGTGGGTGGCATCTGTTTGTCGGCAGCATGTTTGTCTGCTTGTTTCTCCAGAGACTGCCTCTCCGCCTCGGCGTCTGTGGCAGAGCCCATCTTTGCGGCACCAAGAGCTGGCTTTCCACGACGTTTGTGTTGTGATGTCCGTCACTGTTGTTGTGGCGTTATGGAGGGTTGATAGAAATTCTGCACGAGGCAGGGAGACTCGAAACAAATTACTGGGTGCGGCTCCCCTCGCTTTTGTATTAGCTCCTTTTCAAGCACTGCGACGCTCAGACGTCGGCTTTGGAAACGGATCGTGGTTTAGAGTCACAGTCTCCACGCGTTCGGGTTTGAAAGACGGGGAAATAGATATAAAATGCCGAGGGCAGCTATTGGGCTACAAAACACACACGAGACCCAAGTATTATCAAAAAGTGCTCGATTCGGCGTAAATTCCAGCCGCCTTTACGGACTGGGGTTGCCAGGGCGCCCGAGCTGGAAAGGGAGCTAGCAGAGCCAAGTGCACAAAGCATGCGGGCCAGGACGAGGCTAGTGAGTCAAACAGCCCAAGAGCTGACGGCCGCGAATTCAATGCCTAATCTGGCTTCGGCTGGGGTCGGATTTAAGTGCGCGTCTCGGGAAGTGTGTTAGAGCAAAGCAGCATGATGAGAGAAAGATAGATGGTACTTCCAGCCCAGCACCAGATCGTACCTCGCTACCACCCATCGCCCCTTTTTCTCAGATCAGGGCTCCCACCCCACCGCGGGATGGTGTAGCCCAGTCCCCACCATGCCTCAACCTTCCCTAAATCCTCCGGTCCCATTGGTTCATCTCTCCCGATGCCAACCAAACACCTGGCGGGCGCCATCGGTGGTCGGTGATTGCGTCTGCCGATTTGCACGGGGCTTGGCTCTTTTGGCTTTAACCCTCCGATCCCTATGTTCACAGAATCACTGATAGATCAAGCAAAATAATTTGAATGCGTGCACTGGGGGTAATTTTAAAACATAGAGGCTGTCATCGATTCATAGCCCATCCCTTCTAAGAACAGAAAACGTGGAGAAAACATGCGCAAAGCAACGCCTGGAGCCATCTACTGTGCAGCTGCCCTCTCCATCACAGGCGCTTCTCCAGGCAGACCGGATCCGAACGCTTCGGATACCTGCCGACCATGTTCTTCATCGACGGAAAGAAACGCATTCTCTCGCTGGACCCATCATCCTTGTGCTTGCCGGCCATGTCGTCGCTGATCATGGCCCACATCTCCTTCCACTCCATCCACTTCAAGCCGACGTGTTTGCGCGGTTCCATGATCTAGCAGGGAAAAAAAACATAACAGTCAGCGTCTGGCCTCCTGGGGAAAGAAACCAGCGGGGTGAGCCGAGGTAGGTAATCGTCAACAAACCTTGGGCTTCTGCTCGGGGTCGACCAGCTCCAGCACGAAGAAGAAGCAGCGCCACTGGTCGTCCTCGAGGAAGTCGTCCGTCTCGCCCCACACGGGCTCGTCTCCGACGGTCTTGATCTTGACGTCCAGGCCGATCTCCTCCTTCATCTCGCGCACGATGGCCTGCTCCGGCGTCTCGTCCTCGTCCAGGCCGCCGCCGGGGAAGGACCAAGAGTCTGAGAGTTTCCAAATGCCGTTAGCACAAACACGTCACAGGGGGGGATTCAGTCTCGTCACTGGGAGCGTACCCGGTGGGCCGTCGATCCTGATTGTTCTGGTCTTGAGCCTGCGATGTATGAGCAGGACCTTGCCGTCGGCGACGAGGATGCCCATGGTGCCCATTCTAGACATCTTGTCGTATTTGGGGCGTGAGAGTGTGTTTGCTTGGATGGTAGACATCATGGTGGGAATCAGTCGGGGCTTGTGAGGTTCCAAGAGCGATGTTTCTCAAATGGAGGGGTCGTGCTTTGGCAGCGGAACAGAGCGACTTTATACAAAGATAATGGAGCGAATTCACCGAGCAGCCGGACGGTCATGACTGCTGGCCAACACTACGGTTTGTGTGTGACTTCTTTGTGGTTTTGTCCATTCCTAGGTCTCACAGCCTCTTTTGGAGAACGCTCAATGTGTGTGCGGCTTAGAATATCAGGACAAATGCATCACCCAATACTAGAAGCAGGGCCAGGCATACCTGCACTATAGACTTGCCCAAATGCAGCATGTTTTCGTCGAACACATGAAGCCCAGGCAAAAGGATTTCTACGCTCCCCAACAAGCAACCACCTATTTCATAGTGAGCGCATTTTATCGTATTCTAACCCCAAAGCCAGATTAGAGGCTGCAGCAGTGTTTCTACGGACCCACTTAATTGAGAGGCTTGGGCATGGAGCACATGATGATCGATTTTTTCCACTTTCGTCGAATCTCATTCCTTTACTCTTCTTTGGAAGGCTCACCCAATTCGCCACGCTATAGGCACTTCTGAGCCAGGAGCTACGGCCTCCACCTTTGGAGGCTTCTTTGGACCTGCTCCGGCCATGTTTTTAGCCTCTCCTTGCCTCGCGCCTGCGCCATTGAGAGTTTCTTCTGGCCACAATTGAAGACCAACATGTGCCATGGCCGCCAGGTCGCATCAGCAAGCGCTCATGCCAAAACGCCGTGCCAATACGACATCTCGCACACCGACAGGAGCTTGATCCGGAGCCGCCCTTAGCCGCAGCTTAAGGAGCCGACGAGGCGCGCCAGCCGGTCCATGGCGGCCGCTACTGTGTCCTGATGCTTGTAGCAGTTGAGCCTGTCCAGCACAATGTGCAGCGTTGCGGGTTTGGTTCAGCAACGGCGTGTAGCTTCGCAGGAGCTCCAGTGCTAGCTCCAGAGTCTATCTCACCTCGTGCTGCTGCTCCTTGATCCCAAGCGACCTCGGACCGGTCCTTACCCCTGATTCCGGGCGCCCTCCAGAATTTGCCTTCGCTTCTTCCAAACTTGGCGCTCGCGATTACAACGTAACGGGCGAGATGGCCTCGGCGAGGTCGCACTCTGTGCCATCCGGATCCAGCAGACAGGAGAGGAAGACCGTCTCGACCGCGCCTCCTCGGGGGGTCAAGCCAGGCCTAGCGGGTGATACATGACCGCTCGATTATCGCTAGTCGGGCCTAGCAGAGCTGGAGACGCAGACCTCGAGCGGACGAGAAGGTATCTGGACGCTAACAATCCGGATCCAAAAGTGAGTGTCGGTTCACAGATATGCAAACAGATACACCATGCCGAGTTACTATGAGGATATTCGCTTGAGTGAATCTTTGTCACGGCGTAGACTTCAACGCAACAAGGTAGCATGGCCAAGTATTCAAGCTGCCCAAGGGCAGATCGACAAGGTCTAGTCAGATCATGGTTGATACGTGGCAATGGATAGAAACCACGAGATTTGCAAAGGCGGCGCGGCTAATAGACATGACGTTACGCCCTATCTGTAGCCGTTGAGGCGCGCGGTCCCGAGTGGTGCACGGGTTCTATGTCCCTGCGATGAGGATTCTACAGACCCGTTTCCTATCTTGTTGTTTCTTTCTTCGTAGTGGCAAGCCAAGCATCTTGTTTGCTATGCTACTGTCATGGATTCAATAGAGCAGAGAAGATACATATGAGTCTGCATACCCATTGTTGTCGTCTGCTGAGTACCCTGAGAGGTGTAGCGCCGTGAGGAAGATCTTCTTTCGTAGTTCTGTCTCCCGCTCTACCTAGTTGGCAAGATAAAGAGATGGTAGAAGCTCCGCTCCATAGAGATGCGTTACAAAGGTTCAGAATAAGGGACAGATGAAGGGGAAGCAATTAGAACCAGTGCCCGTATCAAAACGATGAAGCAAAGAGGGACCCATCGTTCTATAAAAGGGTGCATCGTCGCACCTCTTTCCCATGTGCCCATCTCTCCAGGCTCCCCATCGACATCGCCTTTCCCCACCAGCTGCCTAAGCATAGAAATCACAGCACGCTCCTCAACAGAAACAATCTACTCCACTTCCGTCAGCAAAGCGGCCATGTATCGCTATACGAGCCGCTCCTCATCCAGGACCGCCAGTCTCGCCCGCCAAGGCCCCAAGGGCGATGAGGCGAAGGTGAGCCCAGCCTCGTGCCCCATTCCTATGCGCAGACCGGATCTCGTAGACCACCATATTGACGCATAGATTCCCGCCAGCCGCCCAAGGTGCGCAAAATTCTCGGGGCCGTGAGGACAGTCCAACAAGTCCATATCAATCTTGGCAACGTTGGCGGTCTCGAAATCCTCGAGATTGCTCGTCATCTCAACAGTGCTGCAGAGGAGCTGCGGCAGGCCCGTCTCAAGGCGCTCGTTCCCCCTGTGGCTCACCACGGTCCAGCTAAGACCTCGCACTGGGAGCACGTCAACTTCGCGCTCTTTCGCGCTGCCGTGATTGGAAGCCTACTTGGAATTATCATTGTGTTGTTGACGCTTGTGCAATGGTCTGCGGCAAAGACTCCTCCTACCCTGAACTCAGTGGTGCTAAGCTGGTCAGCGAGCATCGAGACAACAACCGCTGGCAAGCACATCGAGATGAACGCCGCAGCCATCTTCGACGGCTATTGCTGAAGGGGGTTTAACCTGGTGGGGCACTTCGCGGACACATACTCTCGGTTCCCAGAAGATCTAGATTCATTTTTGTAAACCCGTCTGGTAGACAGTGTCATTAACTTCGTAACACCCTTTTGAACGCCCCAAACACCGTGCTCAGCTCGAAACCTTTGCGCTGTACTTTGCGGCCGCCTTGTCAAACAGCGCACTCTTCTCCTCCAGGTCGGTCAGGAACGGGTGGTCCGGCGCCTTCGCCAGCAGTGAGCTGAAGGAGAAGCGAGGTAGTCATGTTAGCAGCCGCACTCTTGGCGTCGATAGACAATGAAGACAAAAAAAAAAAAGAGAACATACGCAGAGTGCTCTTCTGGGCTCTTCCCAGCGATGACGGTCAAGACTAGCAGGTTCGCGATGGCGTCGGCGTTTGCGGGGTCCTTCTGGATGGCCTGCTCCAGGGCCACCTGCGCCTCCTCGGTGCGGCCCAGGTGCAGCTCCGCCACGGCCTGGGCGACGAGGGTCCGAGCCGACGACGATGCGGGGGACTGGGCGAGCTCTTCGAAGACGTAGAAGGCCTGCTGGTAGGCCTCGCCACCCTAGATTATCGCAAGAAATGGTGTCAGCTCCTGGCTGCGCGGGACGGGAGGGAGAACGGTCAGGGCGAGAGGGCATGACGCACTTTCCTCAGGCCAACCCAGGACTCGGCTAGGTTGACGAGCAGGCTGTCCTGGGCCCAGCTCCTTGCGGCCTTGACCTCC